ACCAACGACTTTATAGGATGCACTGCCAAATGCTGCTATCGTAGCCTTCAGTGACTGTGCAATAGGTAGTGTCAAGGGATATGACGAGATATACCCTTGCCTGCTTGATATAGTGAATGAAAAGAGACGATATGATCCTAACCCAAAGCATGAGATGGGCATAATCGAAGCCAAAAGAAAACTCAATTTGCTTCACCAAAAGATGTGCCTTGAGGGGTATCATGAAGTTCATGTACATCAAGAGAACGACTTCTTGCTCGTTCACCGCCAACATCCTGGATCACAGAATGGCTACCTCTTGATCTCTCGTACTGCTTTCCCTGGCCAAGGAACAGGGCACTCCCCCATACGTCTTCGTCGATCAACTGTTGATTTTGAATTTGCTTATTCTCTAAAAGTTGACAGCAAGACGTTGCCTGAAATAGAAGGTTTTCTACAAGGTTTTCCTGCCCATTTGGAAATATTGGAACCACCACAAGTCGTTCAGAATGAAGACGAAAAGGGCCCATTTGCTGAAATCATACTTTCGGACAGATTTACCCCAGGCTCCATTTGCGTTGTCAGGACATCCATAGGCAACAAGTATGCAGAGATAAATGAACTTGTGACAAAGATGGATGATGACGTTTTCAAGAATATGAATTTGACTGATTGTAACGTTGTTCTCTACCGCTGTTCAAGTGAAGAAATTGCAGCTACTTCTGGGGATAGTGTCTATGTGGTGCCTAATTTTGGAGAGCTTGTCTATGCTGGTTTACAGGGATTCATGTCTGTCCTGAGACCTATCATGGCTAACAATGACTTGGGCCACCCTCTCTGTGACAACCTTCGTGCTGGTCTTTGGGCCGTAGACTATATCATTCATCGCTTGAGAGTCCATCTGAAGCATTACCCAAACCTAGCTTCCTTGATTAACTGGTTCGAAAGCAGAGCAACATTGCTGCATAGCCTTCCCGATTTCCTGGTACCCAAGTATTTTGCATTGACTGTCCAGACAGCATACGACAAAATATACGCACACGCTCTAAGCCTCATGTCGCCACTCGTTCAGCAAGGTGATAAATTTATCAAGCAATTGGCCATGACAAGTGTTCAACTTTACGGCATTGTGCCCAATGCAGGTCTAAGTCCAACCGAGTCTACAGCTTCCCTGGCGGCTGGTCTGCCCCACTTTACTGTACAGCATATGAGAGTCTGGGGTCGCGATGTCTTTATCTCTCTGCGTGGCCTCCTGATTGTTACCGGCCAGTATGAAGCAGCCAAGAACCACATCATTTCTTTTGCTGGTTCTCTTCGCCATGGTTTGATACCTAACCTGCTTGACTCTGTAAGATATCCTCGCTATAATTCCCGTGATTCCGTTTGGTTCTTTTTGCAAGCCATTCAAGACTACTATAGACTTGCTCCCGACGGAAAATCTATTCTACAAGTCAAGGTTCCTCGTAGGTTTCCCAAGGACGACCAGTTTGTCGAGGTTGAGGAAGGATACAGGTACTCGGTGACTATTGCTGAGCTTGTACAAGAAATTATGGAACGTCATGCTCGCGGTATTCATTTTAGAGAACACAATGCCGGCCCATCTATAGATTCACAAATGACTGACGAAGGATTTAATATCGATATCGAGGTCGACTGGAATTCTGGTGTGCTAGTCGGAGGCAACGTTTGGAACTGTGGCACCTGGATGGACAAGATGGGAGAGTCACCTAAAGCAGGAAACAAGGGACACCCTGGCACACCTCGTGATGGTGCACCTGTGGAAATTACAGGTTTGCTCAAGAGCACCTTGCGCTGGATCAACGAGCTAGTGGCGCGAAAGGAGTTCAAATGGACTGGTATTGATCATATTGGACAAGAGAACAAGACAATTACGTATAAACATTGGAACGATCTTTTGCAAAAGAACTTTGAAAGAGTTTATTATATTCCTCTGGACGCTTCCAAGGACAGCAATTACGATCTAATCACCAAGATTGTCAATCGTCGTGGAATCTACAAGGACGTATACAAGGCCACTCATGCCTATACTGAATATCAGTTCAGACCAAACTTTGCTGTTGCCATGGCCGTCGCTCCTGAGCTCTTTGACAAGGAACATGCTAAAGAGGCTATCCGGCTTGCAAAGAATGTCCTGGTAGGACCCCTTGGTATGAGAACACTGGACCCAGCCGATCAGCAGTATCGTCCTTACTATAATAACTCGGAAGACTCTGAGGATTTCCAAACAGCTAAAGGTAGAAACTACCACCAGGGACCCGAATGGCTTTGGCCACTTGGTTACTTTTTACGCGCTGCAACTTACTTTGATGCCATATCACAGCAGGATATTGCTCGCATCATGCGTCAGCATCGTAAATATATTGAAGAAAACGTTTGGTGTGGTCTACCGGAACTCACAAATAAGGATGGTGCATTCTGTGCTGATTCTTGTACTACCCAAGCTTGGTCGGCTGCTACATTATTAGATTTACTTCATGATTTGATTGAAGGCGTATAAGCGTGTAATGAAGTATGATTGTATTTGAATAATTACTCTCGTTAATAAAACACATCTTTTGTAAGTAAATGGCTTCATCTAATTCTTATCAGTCAAGCTTAATGTAGGAAGTGAGTTCATTGAAGGGACTATTCATTGTTTCCTAAAAAAAAGTTAGAATAAAGTAAAGAGGGGGTAATGAAAGCTACTTTATGCGTCTTATAGGTTTCACATTAGTCATGACAACGAGGGTTATGAACGAGAGATTTTTCTCTGAATAATTTTGTTAAGCGTTGATCACGTTATAAGAGTGCTTTTTTATATTATCAAAATGATGTTGTCAACAATAAAGATAACTAAGAACACACAAAGTATAATTGCTATTATGCGAATATAATTTCTAAAGTAAGGCTGTAAAAATAAATAATGCACAGAAAAGCAGAAAAAAAAATCGTCCACTTTTTTCAGAGTATGCCATTTTCCAACTTGTTTGTATCCAAACACCGTAAAATAGACTTTTCAATTAATATCACCATACAAGACCTTGCCAACGTACCACTTGTCAGTGGAATATATCACGTTAAATGGAAATTAAAGAACGCTGAACATACAAGTGGTTCGACCAGCAGGTTTTTATTTACAAATATAAAAAGAAATAGTAATGCTTAATGTTGTAGATCACCCATTCGTGATCACTCCATCTTTTGGGGTTACCCAATCAATACATTAGCACACTTGGTTATTTCAAAAGATAATATATTAGGTCCTTGTGAGCTCAAGCTACAAGTGTTTCAAGAAATAGGAGGAAGTAAAGATGTTAGTTTTATAGGAAAATTAACCGTCAATCTATCAGAATACGCTGGTTCAGGATTAGTCAGTAGAAGATACCTGTTGGATGAATGCAAGTTCAATTCGACTATTAAAGTACAAAAGGAAGAAACCAATATAAAACCATGACTAATATCATCATCCAGTTGTCAATTCGAATGGATCAAGTATCAGAGTCAACAACTAGTTATGATACGTAAGATTGACTTATTTATAAAGTAATCTACCTTATTGAACTATATTTAGACCACCATTAAAAAAGCAACAAGCGTTTATAGACATACCAACGATGATCATTAATGAAAGACAAGCACAATCAGAACAACAATCGACAAGTAAGTTATACAATCTTTTTCTTCTCCCTTACATCTTTTTTTTTTTATCTTTCTTTGGCTTAGGTTCATCTGATAATCAAGAAATAAAACGATCCAAATCTTCGTCTGCACTTGTAAGATATGACTTCTTCTTTTCTTTATTCTTTAAGTAAACCCCTCCTTTTTCTTTGTTTTGTATTCTATAGCCACAATATTGTAGACAAGTAACACCATTTCACAATACAGACGATCCTTCTCCAACTGATCTCGTTGACAAACTATTTAAAAACAAACAATAAACTATTATAGTTGAACTTATTACAACACATTGTGAAAGAAATAAATAGTCTCGCAGTTTTGAAGAAGCGACATGCGTTTCCTTTTAATACACATAAAAAATGAGTGATTATGAATCAGACATGAGAAAAGCAATGGCTGAATCCTTAAGCCACCACCTTCAAGAACAAGAAAAGGAGCGTGACGACTTGAAAGAAGCCATTGCTGCCTCACTTGGGAAAACAGTAGAGCAGTTGACAGCTCGAGATCTATTATTAGCGACAGATCCTGTTCGAAAAAGACAACGATCTGAAGATCAGTCGTCTATTGTTACAACCAAACGTGTAGATACATCCAATTCAAAGTATTGGGAAGGCACTGTAAAGCTAACTTATGTCAGAGGATTTACTGGGCCAAACTATATAAAGCTGAGTGATATTGTTCAAAAAGTAGTTATTATGCATAACATATTCCCTTTCCTTAACCAATATTTATAGGATGATTTGAAGAAAGCAGTCATCACATCGTTTGTTTACAGCATGGACTATATAGACGAACACTTTCCTTTGGATGCAAACGTTGTCATTGTGGGGCACGGTAGACCAGTAAGTTTGCATGATGTTTTGTTGTAAGGTGTAGATGCTTACAGAATATATGTTCCAAAGGCCATGTCTGTTCAACTAGGCCCGACTAGAGTGCTTATTCAACCACCATTAAAAGATGAGAGATATGGTTGTTTCCATAACAAGTTGATGCTATTGTTTAGATCATCATCTTTACGTGTTGTAATTGGATCTGCCAATTTGGTAAGAATCTTATAGGTTCATATAGAGATGGGGAAGCTGATGCCTTTTAGGTCCCATGCGATTATGAGGATTTGGACAACGTTGTCTTTATCCAGGACTTTCCACAATTTATTGAACCTTTAAAATCTGCATTAGAGCTGCCTGTATTTGCCAAGGAACTATATGATTTACTGGACAAGATGCGAGTGCCTTCTTCAGTTAAAGAAGAGCTATTAAAGTATAACTTTGAAAAGGCAAAGGTGAGTGTTTAGCCGATTAATGAAAAGAGAAAAGACTTAGATCGAATTAGGCTCATATTGTGGCATCTGTATCAGGCATATTTGAAGGGGAAGAAGAATATAAAAAGTATGGACACACACGTTTAGCAGAAATAATACAAAACATTACTGGACCATTGGAAGCAGATAATCATCCAAAAGTGGAGATGCAGGTATACCTTTGTTTACTATTACTACCACTACTATTCTAAAGTTTATTTAATTGGTTTTAATCAATAGACATCTTCTCTTGGTTCCCTTACTGTCAGCTATCTACAGGAGATTTATCAATCCTTTTGCGGCGTTTTGCCCTATGCTGACGGAAAAGCAGTACGTTCTAGTTTCAAAAAGAATGAAATTCCTCCTGTAGATATTGTGTTTCCTTCTCGTTGTACTGTACAAGATAGTAGATATGGACCTCCTGTAAGAAAAACCGTTTGATATCATTTCTGTTCTAACGCTTAAGATAGGGCGCTGATTCGATATGCTTCAATACAGCCACTTGGCGGAAGCTTACATTTCCTCGTCAAGCTATGTGTGACGCTATCAGCCATAGACAAGGTACCCTCATGCACTCAAAAGTAAGTTCAGGTAAAGCAGATTAGCTTTCTTTCATGAATTAAAAAGTATCGCAACAGTACATCATAAGCACATTACCAAAAGGAGTGGGTAAAGTTAAAGGATGGGTCTATTGTGGGTCAGTTGCATCTATAGATAACTATTACACCCGAATATAACATTTTTTTAGGAGCCATAACGCAACAACATCAGCATGGGGAAAGTTCACTATGTCAAAGACCTCAAAGTTGCCCAAGTTAAACATTAGGTAAGATATGAGGGAGGGGAAAAACGTAGCCAAATGTCTTAACTTTTAGAAAGTAACTGGGAATTGGGTGTGGTGCTACCTTTGTATGAGGATTCAGACATACCTGCTCCATATCTACGACCACCACCTAGATATCAACCTGATCAAGATGCATGGACACAAAATATGGGATAAATACTTTACAAAAAGTCGTAAAATATATATACAACTATTTATTAAAGGCTCTGATGTTGCAGTTTACATATTTGAACATTCCTGTTCCAGTCTGAGTAGAGTATGTACCTGTATCTTATCTGCTACACCTAAAGACATCTCTGAGTTTTTATTTTTGAGAGAAAATATCTAACGTATACGACAAGAGGGAAACATAGAAACGGAAATAGATGAAGCTTTTATTACTTGACTAGAAATGAATTGCAAATAGAGCGTCTTGAACCAATTCACTTAGTTAATGAAGCTTTGTAAAGGTTAACTCCAAGGATTGTGGTGCAAGATAAAATGGCCTTTCGTAAGCAATATCCTCATAGTGAATCGAGTCCTTGGGAACATCAATATCATATCTTTGTACTAAAAACAAGTATTAGCAATAGTATTTTCTGGGCCCTTTCAGATAGCTTACCAAGCATTGCCAAAGCAACTTTCTGTTCGGTCAGACTAAAGTTCATTCCGATGCACTGTCGTGCGCCACCTCCAAAAGGTAACCAGGTCATGCCTTCATGTCCTTCTGCTTCTCCACCTTCCATAAATCTTTCAGGAATAAAGTCATCTGGGTTATTCCAAACCTTGGGATCACGCTGGATTGCGCTCACGTCGATGGTGATTCTTGTGCCCTTTGGGATGAAAGTGTCATCCAGGTACATGTCCTCTACTGCATCACGCAAAATTAGTACATCGAAAATGCTACACAGTCGAAGGCTCTAAGTAATACGTTAATTCCTTCAACGCGCATTAAACTGACAAAGTACCTCTTTGATTACAGCGTACAGGTATTCCATTTGTCTTAGTTCCTCGAGAGTAGGCGCGACATCCACAGACTTTCTTCCCATAACACGACTTACCTCTTCTCTAAGCTTCTGTTGAACATACTATAGCTAACTATGAGATAAATGAGGAAATACTTTTTCAATTATACTAAAGGACCTTATTTTTGGCAAGAAAATACAGAGTAAATGAAAGTACGTGTGCTGTAGACTCATGACCTAAGATATAATCAGTCTTGGGAGCTATCAAGAAGCTCTACACAAACTATACCGGCTAAGAAAAATACTGCGACATTGTGCTATATGTTAGAGAATGAATTAGTAAAACTATGCTGACAAGCTAGCAATTACATACTCTCATTTCCATATCGGTAGTCATTGCCTCTCCTCTTTGTTCAGCTTCCAGCATAAGCGTAAGCAGATCCTTTTCATTTTGAGGTTTGTTCGCATGAACCCCACTTTGAACCTCTAAGCGTTTCTGCTTGACTAGTTGATCAAATAACTTGTTTAAATTGTTCACAGCGTTTGCGCCCTTTATACGCTTTGGATAAATATATCGGAGAAGAAAATCAAACCCAGTAAAGACGTTTGTAACTGGATCAAACAGAGTCTCCATCACAAGTTTATATTCTGCACGCCATTTCTTTGCATCCCCCTTCAAGGACCCAAAATCGAAATCTATTTATAAACGTTAGTTCATGCGTGCATCACTCTGCGGTGGCTTACTAAATATGGCGAGCCCAAGGACATCGAGAGTAAACTCTTGCATTGTTGAAGTAACAGGAACTTTGCCTTTATATTTGTCAATAACAGCAAAAAGAGTGAGGACAACTCCAGCTATTGTCTTTACAGGCATGGAGCGGTGAAAAGCTGGGTTCATGACCTGGAGGATATAAACAGACATGCAGTCAATATTTGTCGGAATGATCATGCGAAATTGACTTGCTTTTACCTTTCTTTGCTTTTTCCAGTTTTCACCATTAGAGTTAACTACATTATCAGGGCCTAGAAACTGTACAAAAGGACTATCTTTTCCAACTGTCTCCATCAGGAAATGAGACTTGGGAAAGTTTTCTTTTTTTTTTTTAAAAAAAAGAAGAGATCAATGCTTGCTGTCATAATTTGTTGTTTCAGCACATACCTGCTTTTAATAAGAGCTGCTTGGCAGCAATAGGATTGGCGACATAAACCGTCCAACAGAAAGGGACTCGACTCTATAAACATGAATAATAGTTTTTCATCAGTGCATAGACTTACCAAATAGAATCCATTACCCTTCCGCATTGCAGGAAGCTTTAGACGCTTTAAACGTTCAGCTGGTCCTTCACGGTACAAAAATGATATGGCCATCGAGAGAAAAGATATCTTGGGAATTGATCTAATGTTCTTTGGTACATAAAAGAAAGAGTGAACTTGCTGAAGTACAAGCAATAGTATAGCAGCAGTGATACAGAAAGTTTTTGGCCTATCCTTGATCAGTGGTAATAGTCTTTTGAAAGAAGTAGTGTAAATGTTTATTAATGAGTTCATGGCGTCTCTTGTGTCCTTTTTTTAAAAAAAAAAAAAAGAAAAAAAGAAAAAGAGGACAAGAACCGAAATAGAAAATGGAAAGCTGGCAAGTATTTATACATTCATTAATTGCAGTTCAAAAAAAAAAGCCATGGATGATAAGTAACACTGTTGATTGTATTGGACATGAGTTTTTGTTAAAGGATATATTAAATTTATTCAATGTTGTAACGCGTGTTGTGGCTTTATATAAATTGATTATATTGTATAAATTTTACTTTATTAAAAGCCCATTCAAAATCGAAAACCATGGGTTAGAGTCATTTTGTCGATCTATTGAGCTGCATATATACGCCTTTTTACATTAAAGAAGCCACCAATTGTATGACCCATGTTTATATCAATATCACTTTTATGCATCAATACAAATGTATATTTAGTTCTCCACATACTTGTGTGAGTATTCTCTACAGTTACTTCATCTCTGTAGTACCAAGCAGGTTTACGATTAGAGAGATGAAGTGAATGTAAAAGCTTATTATAAACTGTTGCATAAAGAACGATCAAGGCCGAGTTACACAAAGACACGCTCTTTCAATGCACCGCTTCTGTGGTTCTCGAACCCTTCAAAGAGATAAATGCGCGTAAGAGACTAACATGCAATGTCATTATTTTCTCAAAGAAATAAAATCTTTAGATGCAATCGATCGACAAGGGAGAAAGAGAAATGGTGGAATTCGCTTTTTAGGACAATTGAAGTCAGCCCTGTGGGATACTTGAATTTCACTTTTATGTGTTACATGCATGACCCTGATAAGAAAACATGAACAAAGCGTACAAAACATATCGATTTAAAAGCATTGTTATGTTTATTCAATGTCATAGGAAAGGATGGATTTAATCTCACAAATCACAACATCACTTGACTGTTCTTTGTTCAAATATTTAACGTTGCAAGGGATGATTAAATCTCTTTTATGAAACAAGTAAAAGGAAGATATGGAATCCATTCTTGACTATTAGGGCTTAAGCCAATCAAATGCTGTATATGTATTTTTAAAATTTGAGCAAATCGGACTCTGGATAGATAAATCACACACAAAATTGAAAAGGGAAGAAACTTGCTAATATTATAGTGAGAATAAATACCTTGTTCTATTAAGAATAATTGAAGATATTTATATTGTGATGATAAACAGCAGATTGTTAAGTGGAAGGGAATGTACTTCGATTTCGACTGTGGAGCTCACAACAACATGCGTGTGACTGCTTTCGGTCTGTTAGAGTCCTCATGCTGCAGTTCGGAACACCGCTGCCGGAAACGGGGGAAGAGGGGCGACACAAGAAGGACATAGAGAAGGAAGGACTATTCAAGGGCAGATTTCTGTTCAGATCATCCTCCCTCTCTTTCTCCAGATTTTAAGGTTAGAGAACAACATCAAGCTCATCCATCTACACAGCATCCTAACAGTAATGATTATAATGATAGATGCCTCCCAAGTTCGATCCCAGTGAGGTTAAAATTATCTACCTCCGTGCCACCGGTAAGAAAAATAGAATTACATGACGAATGTGAAATTGACAAACATTGTAATTTTTAGGTGGTGAAGTAGGTGCTTCAAGTGCTCTTGGTAAGAAGAAGAAAAAATATAGAAATAATGGAGATGATTGACATTTTATTATTCAGCACCCAAGATCGGTCCTCTTGGTTTGTCTCCCAAGAAGGTCGGTGAAGATATTGCCAAGGGTACCAAGGATTGGAAGGGTCTTCGTGTCACTGTCCAATTGACCATTCAAAACCGTCAAGCTCAAGTTTCTGTTGTTCCTTCCGCTTCCTCTTTGGTCATCAAGGCTCTTAAGGAACCCGTTCGTGACCGTAAGAAGGAAAAGAACATCAAGCACTCTGGTAACATTTCCTTGGACGATGTTATTGAAATCGCACGTACTATGCGTTTCAAGTCTTTGGCTCGTGAACTCAAGGGTACCGTTAAGGAAATTCTCGGTACTGCTTTCTCTGTCGGTTGTACCGTTGATGGACAAAGCCCCAAGGATATCCAAGATGCTATTGACGCCGGTGAAATCGAAATTCCCGTAAGTTGATGAGATAGAAAAAGAAGAGCAGTGCATTGACTGATTGTATTTGTGATTATAGGAAAAATAAATTTGAACAACTGTTTAGACAGACAAATTAATAATAAAAAAGAGATTGGAAAAAAAAAAAAGCATATACGTAGACTGACAGTTTATGTTTCATTCGGCAAAAGAGAGATTGCTTTATTGGTTATCAGTTACCCTAACAACGATTTTACCCATTGATTGATTGCTTTCGAGATATTTATGGGCTTCAATGATATCTTCCCATTGGAATACTTTATCCACAAATAGTTTTAATTTCCCATCTCCTTTAGCGAAATGGCTCAACACTGCATTATTGTAGATTTCATTTCGTAATTTTGTTTGATATTCTACAGTACGGGCACGAAGATTAGAACCACGGATCTATAAAATGATGAGTATATTGTTTATTTTTAATTATAATTCCATTACCGTTAATCTCTTTCTCAAAATGGTCGAAAGGTCGACCTGATCAGCAACTTTGCCTAAGCATGCGTTATTGAATAGATTGCACTTTTTATTTTGGTTTACCAAAGGCTTACCACTCATAAAAGCCAATATGACCATACGGCCATCTAAAGCCAAGCTGCTTACGTTCTGCTCCCAGTAGTCTTTACCGATGACATCAATGATGAGCTGGACACCTTTTTTATCAGTCAACTCGTTGATCTTTTTGTTTTGAAAAAGAAAGATTAATCAATATGTCAACAAGGGTTTGTTCATCCTATTTACCACTTCTCCCCATTTTTGAGTCTTGTAATTGATGGCTTTGGTTGCGCCGATACTTTCACAGAACTTGGCCTTTTCATCCGAACCAACGGTTACGTAAACGTTACGTCTAATCATATGTAAAGATCATATACAATCATCATAAAAAGTTAATACTTACGCGCCTCTGTCCTTGGCCAACTGAATTGCAGCTATGCCAACACCGGATGCACCTGCATGAATGAGCACATCTTCACCTTTTTCCAATTCACCAACAAAAAAGAGAGCTTGATAAGCAGTGAACCAGGTTTCTGGGATGGCAGCAGCTTCTTCAAAGGAAAGCTTCTCAGGCTTATGCATGGCTAATGATTCTTCAATGACAGCATATTGAGCATAACCACCTCCGGGCATGAGTCCAAACACTTCATCACCCAATTTAAATTGAGATACTAATAAAAAAGCCAAAAGTAAGCAACTTTTACATTTACATTCTATTACTGTCATACCTTTTTCACCAATAGCTTCAACAGTACCAGAGACTTCGACACCGAGAATATGACTAGCACCTGGAGGAGGAGGATAAGTTCCTTGTCTTTGGTTAATATCCATTCTGTTCAAGGCAAAGCATTTGACCTAATAAAAGCTAACTTGATAAAAAATGGTTGTATATAATCTCTCTCTTTTTTTTTTACCTTGACTAAGATTTGAGTGCCCTTTGGAACAGGCGTTTCGTGTTCGCCCAAGTAGAGCTGGGAAGCATCACCTTTGAAATATGAAACGCGTTTAATCATATAATAACCATGAACAAGAACTGTTTACCTGATTGTTTAACTAAAACGGCACGCATTATTTTATATTCGAGTTAATAAAAGGGAAAAAAAGACGTAGAAAAGCGCTTTTATATCAAGTGCTTACAAATGTACAGTTTTCACATGAACTCCGATAAACTGCATCATTCATAAGGATTAGTCATTCACCCATGCTTCTAATAATCTCTTTTATCTTTTCAACCTGAGAACAAGTTAAATTACTAAAGCAAGAACATAAATATGTCTCGGATAACAATAGCACAATGTACCCTCAATGATTTTACAGAGTTTCCTTTTGACCCTTTCAAGTCTTGTTCGTGGGTCTCTATTAGTGATATGTTGACTTTAGAGGATATCAGACAGTGTATTGATATAAAGTAATATTATTATACATTATTTATTAAAAAATAAGATAAATAGTATATCGATAGTTCATTACGCCTTTATATTAGCTTCTTCTTGATACATTTCTTTTGATTTCTCATCTTGTCCTACAACACTTGAACTTGCCCTTGTGTTCTGCTTGAGTTCCTTTTCAGCATTCCATACTAAGCATGACTTTGTAGAAAAGACGACATCTAATTCTTCCAATGTCTTGTTACTTGTTTCTGGATACAGGGCATACACAATAGGAATAGCCAAAAAGTTAAAGGCACCGAATATTAAGAATGTGATCCATCCGATACCAGCAATCATAGGTGGTGTGATTTCCATTACTAGGGCATTACCAATAGACCAACCGACGACACTCCATGCGCCACCTTTTGCACGTACTTTGGTAGGATAAATTTCAACAGGATATAACCAAGGCACAGTCAACCAAGTCATGCCAAAGAAGGCTGTATACAAAAATGTAAATACAGTAGCACCAATACCATAACCAAGTGGGTTTTGAGACATGATGTCAGGCTTTGTGAGTACGGCAACAAGTATAAGTGATACACCCTGACAGACAGCTCCATAGAATAATGTAAATCGCCGACCCCACTTATCAAGCGTAAAGACAGCCACGAGTGTGGAGAGCATGTAGGAGATATTGTTAATACCTGAGAGTAGTTGTGACGTACGTTCTGAAAATCCAGCACTCTGGAAAACAATAGGAGCATATACAGTGATAACACCAATGCCTGTCAGTTCTTGAATGATCTGCAACCAAATGGATAGATGAACACGACGAGGGATGTTGAGATGATCTCGATGGAAGAGCATGCTAAAGTAACCAGGTTCGCCTTCACTCTCTTCTTCTCTGATAGCTGTGATAATGTCCTGATATTCTCGTTGTACATCGGGGTGATTTGGATCTCCATTTCCTCTGAGAGCTGCGAGAATACTTAAGCCTTCGTCCGTACGACCTTTCTTTAGCAGCCATCGCGGGGATTCAGGAAAGAAGTTAATACCAATGGCAAGGACAATGAGAGGGATCAATTGGAAGGCGATTGGAAATCTCCAACGAAAACTTCCTTCAGTAAAGGCCAGTCCATAGGCTAACCAATACTATAGCAAAACATTCATACGATCAGATACAATCCCCTTTTATCTCTTTCTCTTTAAAACTTACAGCTACAACAACACCCAAGATATTTAAAGTAAATTCCATAGCAATCATTTGACCACGAGAGGTATGATGAGATGTCTCTGCACTCCAGACAGGCACAATGGCATTACTGTTTTATAAATTAGTAAAACTCTTGTCGTGAATGCTTTGTGAATACTTACAGATGACCTGTACCAATACCGGTAATGATACGAGAACATATCATCCAAGGCACATTCATGGCGGATGTCTGTAAAGCGGCACCAACAATACCAATGGCTGATCCGAGCACCACTGTTTTGATACGTCCGATTTTGTCGCCAATCCAACCGCCCATTAAAGCGCCGATCAGTGTTCCGGCATAGTAAACAGCAACAATACCACCTAGCAAAGCTTCCTTTGATTGAAGGCCCATCAATTCAACATAATCAGGAGATATGTTGACACCACTCATGACACCTTGATCATACTATATTCATATTAGTCACTATCAATAGTAGTAGATCAAATCATTATTTACCCCAAAGAAAAATATGCTGAGGCCAGCAGCAAGATTAATCATCAAAACAAGGTTTGCGCCATTAAAGTAATGGTATATATTTAGTTTCATTGATATTATTTACAAATTAAGGTTCCAATGAACAAAAAGGGCGAAAGAAGTTGATTTATATACTTGCCCGAAATAATAAAATCCATATATAGAATGCCCCGCAAAATAGTATTACATCATGTGCCACTTTCAGGACAATGCCATGGTATTTCTGTAGAGAGTCATATAATAATTGGTGGATATTCTCCGAGGGAAACTTTATTCCTGTCAGTTTTCCCATAAGAGAAACCCTTTTATAGAAAACAGATAACCGAATGGAGAATTTTACTAATAAAGTCTACAGCTCAACTTTAATTTAAAGAAAAATATTTGTTTACTTCTTAAAGTCAATACATGTCCTCATTCTCACCCTCCTCATCGGCGGTCCAGTGGATACCATGGAAACTGCACTTTGACTTCCTAATTTTTCCGTTTGAACCCCTCCGTCACCTTCATCTTATTATGTGTAACAACGGATGGTTAAGGTTATGACAGAACATGATACGATATTTCCAAATTGACAAATCAGATAGAAGAAAATGAAGTACATTCCTGGACTATTGCATATGAGTAACATATTAAGGACAAAAGAAAGTCTATGTGGATATGGAGATGATGCAAAGCTGTTATTGCCACGGGGGGACATGTACTCTTATGATATAATAAAAAGCAAAGTGGAGACATCAAAATAAATCATAATGTTTTTTATACAGAAAAACATCGTTGAGTACTATTAACAATTGACAAAAGATAACTGAATACAAGGCAATTGTCCGTCATTTCGGAGTTGTAGCCTTTCTTAAAACCTTATGGCCATACTTTGAAACAAGATGGCAATAGAATGTAAGGAATAAACATGCCTTGGCTGTTGAATGATAAAATATAGCCTTTATATCATTAACGATACATTTCCTCCTTTTGAACTTTAAATCAATTTAATGTAATAACCAATACTAAAGTAAAATGCTTGATGCATCAATTTAATACTCTTTTTACAGCTGAAGAAAGAGAAAAGCTCTACATCTGTGTTCATTTGTCTTTATTTTTCTACATTCTTTAGCATTCCCAAAGAACAAAAAATCACACAATATGCAAAGTTAAGTGTAGCAGGAGAGTAACTTTTACCTCTTTGACAACTTTTGAATGTTCCTCCTTAATAAATTTATCAGGACTAGGCCTTTTTTAAGGAGTGATTAAGATATGTGGGCGTAGACGATATTATCATGTGGGATATAAACAAATAAACAAATAAAAGGGAGCGAATGCATCTTTTTTTTTCCCTCTCTTTTCTCATTCTTCAACTATTCTCTTGGTCTTTTGGTCTTTTGAATCTCTTGGTAAGTTTTTTAAACTTACTCAGTACACAAGTTGCGCCAGTTGTATATGCTCGGTTCTTAAGCAAAGGTCTCACTATGGAACTCGCACGATTCTTTCCTGATGAAGCCTGAAGCCCACTCTAAATCGATTATTCTCACCAAGTAGGAGGCCCTCCGGACGTCTCTGAAAAGTCAGTGGATAATGCGTCTGTGGCGAAGCTTAAGGTCGACCCTTGAAAGAGAGCTTTCATAGTGCTGTACTAGTAGCTGGATTCTGCGGTCATTGTTAGCCTGACCAAAAAAAAAAAATTCTGCTGTCCTCGTTAGCCCATTATGGTATTTACTGTGTTTAGCTGGTTGTTCTACTATGATATTTGGTGTGTTGAGGTGGTTGTTCCACTTGGCGTTTGGTGTGTTTGTCTGGTTCTTCTGAATTGCTTGGGGGCATTTGTCTGCATTTTGTGTGGTTGGTCTGTTCAGGAAAAGCGTCCTTTGAAAGTTGGGCAGCCTTTCATGGGAGCGCTAGCTAGCAACAATCATAATGCAACTTGTTTATCTGGTTTTGGGAACTCCGTACTGACTTTTTTTAGGTACATTTTTAGGTAATCTTTTATGTTGGCTTCATATAATAATCAATAAACTACTTTTTTCTGAAAACTATTTCTATTACATTTTCTGTTGCAAAATTGATAATAAACGTGTTGAATCATATCAAGCGTATTTTAGTACCATTCTTCATAAGTCATGCGTTATGAATGCAATGTCTTCAACATGGAGTGTTCGTTCTAACCCTAAAACGCGCCTAAAAAATAATTTTTAAAATACGCGCCGCAAGTGTAGGCTTATTCCTCACCTTTTTAGTCTCCATCCTAAAAAAGCTAACCAGAATGACAGAAACCATGCAGACTCATCCCATGGAAGTAGACGCTGATCATTCGTCCATTCCTATAGTCGATCTCTCAGAAAAGATGAAAACATGTACGTTGTGTGTGTATCTATGCCCTGACGTTTAACGTACCTGTAACTTTAGTACAATGCGAAGAATCCAATGGGACAACACGATCTTGTGCTTATTTGAAAAATGGAAAGCTCGACTTTTATGAACCCAAGTTATTACTCGAGAATCACATGTTGATTGCACAAAGTATAATGCTACAATTGTACAAGACACATACATTTTGCTAAGATGTTGTTAGAAATCATATTCTTTCGAGACTTTCGATACAAAATAGAAACAACACATGACTTGCATACACATCCTCTGGAAATACCACCAGCGTATTTAGATGTCATTGCTTCAGTAATACAAGATAGGTCAGTGACAAAGAAGAGAAAAATAACGTTTGTTGACACTATCGATAGCGATGAATCATTGTATGCTTTAACCAGTCGTATCAATGATTTGTTATCACCGTATGGTAGAGACGAAAGCTGTAAGTAGAGTTTCTGTTTATGATACAAAGACTTATTGTGTCTATAGTATCGCATAAATTCGAATCAGCTATTCAAAAGGCCATAGAGCAAGTCGCAACTCGTGTAAAATACGGATTGTCCAAAGAGGTTTACAAGTCGATCAAAAATACAACTGATAAAATGCCATGGGTAAGAATATGCTTGTAATTATCAATGATGACTGAAATCAGGTAGCATTTGTATATATACCGTTGGGAAGTCAAAGACATAAATTTCTTTCCTCCTGAAATACAGCAGGCTGTACTTACAAGGAAAAAGAAACGGATGGAGATGAGCGAAGAAGTATCGAATTATATAAAAAGCCTGCCAGTTGAAGAAAGCTTAGGGCTGATAAATGCAAAGCATCGTAGAGCTGATAATGTAAGAAAAATATCAAACGTTCAAAAGGAGCTTATTAACTTGTTATGACAAAAGAATGAAAAATGGTCAGCCAAAATTGAAAAGGAGAGGCAGCAACGAGAAGAGGATAAAAAGAAATGGGAAGACGAGAAAAAACGACGTCAAGAAGAGCAAAGACAGCGTGAAGAAGAGAAGAAAAAGAAGCGTGAAGAAGAAAAGAAACTGAAGGAAGAACAAAAGATAAAGCGTGAAGAAGAAAAGAAATTAAAAGAAGAACAAAGAATAAAACGCGAGGAGGAAAAGAAATTAAAGGAAGAACAAAAGAAAAAGCGCGAAGACGAGAAGAAGAAGAAAGAGCAGGTAAACAAGAGTAGAATAGACACTTGGATCAACTTTTAATGATCCTATCCTTAGTCACAATTACGGCTTACGTCCTTATTTACCAAAGCAGCGCCTAATGAGAACACTATTCCAGAAAAGATTGTCGAGCCATCAAAGCCAACCTTATTCCCACCATTCTATGTCAAGGACAATGTCACTATTACTGAAAATATAACATTCAATTGGCCATCTCCATCAAACGATACAGACGATTTTATCAACAAAATACGTTCTCCTTCTAATAATATCAATGTAAATACATTTTTATCTGAGCTATCATCAGAAGCAAAGCAAAAGAGAGGATTCACGCCCTCTATCGACATCCGCACACTGCTGCTACCTAGTTCTGCTGATTTATTAAATACACCTCATGTGCGCATGACGCTTCGTATGAAACTATTACAATTTACAGAAGATGTAAGGCCTGCCTATTATGGCACGTTTACACAAAAAAGCTCTGTTATCACAGGAAAGACACCATTTGCTCAAGATACTAGTAACTTTGATTACGAGGTGGATAGTGAAGCTGAATGGGAACCAGAAGGCGAAGGTGAAGAGATTAACAGTGGTGACGAGGATGAGGAAGAGGTATCCGATTATGTTGATCCAGAAGATGTAAGAAGATAAATAATACTCGTATAGTCTTACTAACGATGAATTTACCAGTCTGGCTGGGTTGTGCCTGAAGGTTACCTGTCAGATAACGAAGGCGTAGAAGGAGAGCATGATCAACTGAATAAGCCTCGCACAGCAAATGCACCTAAAAAGAAAGCAGCGATACGAAAAATTGTTTTAGGTCCTTATTTTGAAGGAGAAACAGACCAAGATGAAGCGATGAAACCTTTTGAAATGCAATTCTTGATAGGTAAGTAAAAAAAAAAAAAAGAGTCAAGCTTGACCCAATGCTCAATCTTGTGTAGATATTCCTGAACAAGGCTTTGATCCTTTCTTTGAGGAACTTTCACGTAAGAAAACAGGCAATATTACATCATTTACAAACGCTGCAAATATTGGAATATCATCTACACCACAATCAATCCCAAACCACAATAAGGTTGAATTCACAGAAGAGCATAAGAATGCTTTGATAAATGTAAACATTTCTGTATTTAATTTCTGAAAGCTTACATGTTGTTTGAATAGCTTATTAATGAGAAACAATCAGACTCTATTCCCAGTATTATTTCTGAAGCAAAAGCGACAGATATATTAAAGGATGTCTCAAAGCGGCAATTGGAAGCTAGAATAAAAGATATTGCCATAAAGGAGAAACGTGGATCAGACACAGTAAGTGAGTAATAGGAGGTAAAAGAAAAATCATTTATTTTATATATAGAGAGCAACATGGTACATAAAAGAAGCATCACCTTAAAAATACTATCAGAATAAAAATAATTAGTCTTTTTGCATCCTTTTCTTTGTCCTTGTGCAACTTACCAAACTAGCTGCAAATACAATGTCTCGTTTAATGTCTTGTTCTGCCTGTTCCATCTTTTTGTATAGGCTGGTATCACCTACCATGCGTGCTGCTCCCATGACTTCGCGACAAGTTTCGTCTAATCGTGTGATGCAGCGAACAATAGAGCCTTCAAGAACATCCGTCAAATCAGTAATATGCTTGAATGGCTGTAATGATATAAGTATACTTGTTTAAAAAAATTTAGCATGACTTACCAAACCACGCGCCCACTCATAAACAACTTCAACCAATTCAAATCGGAAACTGGCAACATAATCTTCCACAGAGATGGCCAAACCACACTCTGCTTGCAATTCTGCAAGCTTTCTAGCGTACGTCAGCACAACCTCTTTGCCTTTGGTTAGCTTTGGCGTTAATCTTGGTTCACTGGCATTACGTTCTTGAAACACAAAGCAGGATAGAATGGCTACTACTTCTGCTGGCTCAAAGTCTGCAAAGACATTATCAAGCACAAGTTCCGTTAACAAAAGTTCATCAGCTGAATTGATTTCACAAGCAACGCGGCCCTTTAGTTGAACGGTGCCCTGATCATCAATATAATTCAATCTACGTAAAATTTCAATACGCTGATGGTAATCTGGAAGAAGCTCCAAGTTTTGGTCTGATATGGTCATCTTTAGCATTTCAATTTGACTGGAAAGCCTCTTGTGCGCATGGATAAGCGAGTACTATACAATGTGTAAGCTTTCTCTTTTTTAAAAAAAGCTAAAACTTACGTGTTCCTTGAGTTCTGGGCACTTGGTGCATTGGAATTCACTGCGAAGCTTCTTCATTAAGCTGTTCTTTGAGCGTAGCATTTCTTGGAATTCGACGTCCTTGATCTTACCCCAATCATATTCAACTATACCGCCTTTCTTTGCATCAGCACCAAACGACTGGAGTTCCTGTACTGCCTTGACCATGTCTAGATTGTTATCTTTACCAGCCATGATAGCATCAGCGTCAATCTTGAGGGACAGTCGAGTGATAAACAAGATATCGGGCGCAGGAACAGTGATAATCTCAGTTTCGCTATTGCCTTCTTCTGGTGTACAAATTTCTGTAATTGGAAGAGGTGGTGTTTCATCAAGATTGGGCGTATCACTTATGTCGAGGTTTTTATCCAATAGAACAAGACAGTAGAAAGAGCGATGTTGGCTATTGGCACTTGAAGGTAATGGTTTCAGTATGAGTGCAGGCGCATTTCGATATACGTTCGTATTAATGACAACCAGACGTCCCATACATAATGCTCTGTTCCCTACAGGTGTTGCCGTGATGAACTGTGTGATCATTGTACGATTCAGATATACCACTTCACCACAAACGTCGTAAAATCTTTCAATATCAGGTTCACAGATAGCACAATCCAGTTGACGAAGTGCACTCTTCTTTTGTTCATTTTCGTCCACGAGTCTCTTAGTATCAGGTAGCAGCTTTTGGGTGCTGTTTTCGGAGAAACTGCGCTTGATCATCTCTTCTACCTTCAATGCCTCCACACGAAGCAGATTAAGTATCATGTTGTAAGTTAATCTAAATTGAGATTCTAATTTGGTTGGCTTGCCAAGAATCATTGTAGATAAAGTAGAAGCTTCAGGCGGCTCGTCACCACCAGTTGCAATAATGACAACACCAGTGCTATCAAGACCACGACGACCTGCTCGACCAGACATCTGTGTATATTCACCAGGTAATAGATCACGGAAATTACGCCCGTCATGCTTGCGAATACTTGAAAAGACGACACAACGTGCAGGCATGTTGACGCCCATAGCAAAGGTTTCGGTGGCGAACAAGACTTTGATTAAACCTCTTGCAAATAAAATTTCAACAATTTCTTTCATGATGGGCAAAAGTCCACCATGATGTACGGCAATACCACGGCTCATAAGTTCTCGCATTCTCAATATCTGAGGAAGATGCTTGTCTGACCCACGAAGTCTAACCAAGCTACGTTCAATAAACACGTGGATTTCGCTCTTTTCAAGATTGCTACATAAATCTGTTTTGGACAGACCAGATGCATATTCTTCGCATCGCTTTTTAGAGAATGTAAAAATGACAACAGGTAAAAGACTCTTGGTCTTTAGCATTCCGATCAGATGCACAAACAGATTACGATCCTTGAATAAAAACAGAGTAAGATATAGAGTTAACTGGAATGAGTTATGAACAACTTACTGACTGCATAGCAGCATGATAGCTGCGACCGATAGGTTTTCCTCCTCCTCGAGACACAGCGCCTCCTCTGCCGCCACGCCCACCTCTGGTATTGCTGTTTCCGCTAGACTTTTCGATTTGCTCTTTACGTTTTGTCATTGCGTCCTGCGCTTTCTTGTATCTAAGATTAAAGCATCAGTGCTTGTATGCTTTTAAGCAGACAAAGTAGTTCACTTTACCCTATAGTGCTTATCTTATTTTCATTAGCAGCCACGATCTTGTATATGTCTCTATTTGCATATAGATAATGTTCCAACGGAACTGGTCTCTTCATTGTACTAATTACGTATATATCTTTCTTTTTAGTGCGTCTATGATCAAAACATATTAGATTAAACAAACAAACCCAAAATAGAAGCCTTACCCGACCCAGCCAGCAAATTCTCTTGTGTTTGGAACTGTCGCAGATAGTAAAATGATGTTTACATGTGCTGGAAGCATGATAATAACCTCTTCCCAGACTACACCTCTCTACATCAACAATCGTATTGTTTGATCGCTTTTTCAATTGACAAATATTACAGCTTACCTCCAAGTCATTGACATAATGTACTTCATCAAAAATAACAAACTCTACGTCACGAATCAAATCTGCACCTCGATACAGCATGCTTCGTAGAATTTCAGTTGTCATCACCAAGCAACTTGCCTCTGGTTTGATTTGAACATCACCAGTAAGAATACCGACATCATCTCCAAACGTATGCTTAAAGTCTCTAAACTTTTGGTTACTCAACGCTTTAATTGGAGACGTGTAGATGGCTTTGGTCATATGTTTTGTTGCCAGTGCAATTGCATAGTCTGCCACAACTGTTTTACCAGCAGACGTGTGCGCAGCAATAAACACAGAATCACCCATTTCCAAATGGTATACAGCTTGCTTTTGAAACGTATCGAGTTCGAATGGAAATTGCATGGCCATTTCAGGGACAAGGTCATGAAAGTTCTCAAAAGGCTCATTGACATTAATCTCGTGAGCCCACTCACGGCGTTTAAGTGCCTCGCTTGCAGTTGTCAGTTTTTTGAGAACTAGCTCTTTTTGTGGTGGAAGAGATGTCGGGAAAAGTTCATCTACTTCTTGAGGTCCTATCATGGGTTATTAGATGTAAAAGAAATGCATGAAAAACACTTTTTTTTTACCAGTTACATCTGGAGCCTCCTCTACTTTGGTAGTTGGTACTGGCTCTTCTACATGACCATCAACTGGTTTAACCTTTATGTCCAAGAAATCGAATGTACTGCTGAGAGGGTCCATCATATTTTCGATACTGAAAACAGTGCTCTTTTTGCTAATGGCTTCCATCTCTTTCTCTTGCTGCTCTCCCTCGTCTAATCAAAAAAGTGTCAGAAATTAGGACAAGGCAGCACATATCCTATTCACCTCCAAACAACAACCCTCTGTCTAATCCTGGCGCGATATTACCTGCACCTAGCTCATATTTAGTATGATTCCAACATTATGTATGTACCGTGCCATACCGCGCAGGTCAAAGAGGTCGACGTCCACATTAACCTCGACATGACCTTCATCCTCTTCTTCAATAACTTCTGCTTCAAGGCCACCAGGTGCAAAAGGAAATTGCGCTGCAGAGCCACGGACAAAGTTTTTTGTTGAACCAAAAGATCTCGAGAAGCTTGTGGAGTTGATTGCAGTGAGGTTGGGATCGTCAATAATAGATTCTCTGTATCCAATGATATCACCATCAAATCCCTGACGCGCCACATGAATAGTTGTGCGAGGTTTGGCTAGTTGTGAGTATACATTGTTAGTATAGTCAGGTGTTTCTTCCCAATATCTATAACGTGTAAGTATGACATGTGTATTTGCTCTTCTTTTTAACTTTACTCTTGACATTTAGAGAGCCATGAAGCTGGAAATGTTCTTTGGGGAGTAAGAAATGTCTCTTCTAGTTCTTTTTTTATGTCTTCAATTGTAGGTTTGTCGAGTTTGAGAGGCTGTTGTAAAGATCAATAACATGTTACCAGCACGTTATGAGAATCTAACCTGCTTTTCATCACTTCTAAGCCTAGAGAATATCTCAAAGAGTTTATCGTCGTTTACTATTGAAAGAATTAAGCAAAGAAGTTAACAATGAAACGAAATGATTTACATTGATTAGACATTCTGTAAAAAAATAAAGAAAAAGTCAAGACACTTGATTTGTATCACCAAAAAAAATATCAGCTACAAAGGCAGGCGAAACAAAGATTCTATGAGGGTTCCTGACCCTATTTTATTAAAATAATTTAAGCAGTAGGGAATCGATCATTTTCAGTAGGACAGTAAACCTAAGTTTATTTAGTTGGCATGGTTACAGATATGAAACGATGACTTACTTTGAGTTTATCATCAAACTTCATATGTTTTGGTTTCTTATCTTTGCTCAGGAAAATTTGATTCCAAAAGTTCTATTGATAGCGTGTCTTTTAAGTAAACTGTATAGTGTCAATTTGGTATTAATTTACCTTTGCAATCCATTGATGACCCTTTAAGCTGGGATGGAAACAATCAATATTACTACAAAGTGTGTATTAGACCATATCCTAGACTATAAATGAACATAAGTGTATACCTAATGGCATCAATAGGAAAAGAGAGAATATCAATAGGAGCAGGACTATACATAACGGCAAAGCTACCACCAGATTTACCAGGATATCTAGCAGCTATCTTTTCTAATTGCTTATTGTATCCCTCAGAAGCAGCTTCCATTGCCTTCAAGCCTTCTTCAGATGCACCACAGACACATTCCTTGGCATTTTCCAAAAGTCCATTTGGAGGACAGTAGTCATGATGATCAGCAGTTAAACGGAAAACATTAGAGACCTTGAAAGTTCCAACTATAAAATGTCTTGGTGTCTCTGTATATTACTGATCAATAAATGTACCACTTACGCAAGTTGACGACAACACGAGGAATCTCTTTTTGGATACGCTGAAGGGCAGCGTTAACGTACTTTCCATAGAGTTCAGGAGTAACGTACTTGGAATTTTCAGAAGCACTGCAGGCAGCACACTGGTCATTACCTTTTTATAGCTTGAAGTTAGCATTGCCTAATGCAAGATGTTTCCCAAAAAACCTTACTGCCAATTTGAATGGTAATGAATTTCCAGGCCTTTTTAAAGTCTTCATCTTTCTTAAAGTAACTCTTCATACCTGTTGTATAGATAAAGTATTAGTAGCAAGCAACTAAAGGATATGTCTGGACTTACGAGGAATAAGATAATCAAGTTCATAATCAAGATTCATTGCAATAGCGCCACTTTGAGCACCATCAAGGTTATCAATCAAAGGTCGGTCTAGACAAAATGTTTAGTTTAAGCATCAAAGAAAACAAGCAAAAAATACTTACAGAAACTCTTTGGAATTGTACAATCCTTGGCACTGCAAAAGGACATGACGTGGGCAAGCTTTGATGCGCCTTTAACATTAGGACTGTAGTGCTTGACAAAGTTTGCGAAAGTTACTGCATCAGTATCACCGCCAATACCATAGCTGTTACCACGAAATTCCATTATTGAAGTGAAGTTTACGATACCAGTACCATGAGCACCATGATTGACTCCCATCATGGCAAAACCGGCCATGATACTACAACAAAAGGAGTAAGCATTGACTTTACTCTTCTAGTTTATCCAAAGTACCTGTCACCAAGAGCAGCAACAACCTTGATATCATCAGGACGAAGGTCAGTAACATCTTTAGGAGGTGACTTTCGTGGAGTCAACGCTGGACAGTCAGAGATGGATTGAACATTGGCGGATACTATTCCGGCAGCGACCAGGAGAGGAAGAGCCAAGAGTTTGAATTGAACCATGATGATTTTCAAAGGAGAGAGGGGCTGCGAATAATGAGTAGATTCGGTTCAGATACGTTGACCGCCTTATATATACTTTACGAGGACGTAATACAAGGACTTTTTCACTCTAATTCAGCATTAAGCTTATAGGCTATCGCTTTCAGTATAATTAAGCTAGTAACCTTCATTTTCATTAAAAGAATTATAGCATTGTCCCTGAATGTTAACATGTCCGATCAACGCGGCAATAACTTCTTTTTAGAAATGGCACTTGTAACTATTGCTGTTTCACAGAAGAAGCTTTATGCTAAACTTGTAGCCAATTGTCTGTCAATTCAGTTGCTTCCACTGCAATGTGGATTGCCATTAATATGACAATTCTATAAACTTCTATAGTTACACACTCGCATGAAACAAATCAAATTATAATGATTCTGTTTACGATTTTCCGACATTTAATGTATCTGATTAAAACCCAAGCGTAGTAACCATGTAGATCAAATTTGGAACCTGCTAATCAATCCTATAATCGCTCGCTTGACATACGAATTGAGGTATGGTGGGGGATTGTAGTTTATTTATTAATGCCGCCATCTTCCTTTTAGCCAAAGTGCGTTCGTGACACTTTCAAGATTATCTCTCCTGGGGCATTAGATTGCTGATTTGAATTTGCTTCAGAGGTAACAATGCCTTTTTTTCATATGATTGGTATAACAGTGATCACAGTAAAGTATATTCTTGCTTAATTATTTGCGAGGCAGACGTGAACTATCTCAGTTTACTGCTGTATCCTTTATCGTTGGTTTATTGCACTAGAATACTTGATGCTAAAGGAAGCTCTATGGCGCGATATTATGGATATTTTACCTGATTACACTGAGTGACGCATGTCATTGAAAGAGTAATGGTACACAAACATTGACCTAAATACAATGTTTGATAAAAATGAAGTTTATCCGAAATTAAACATTTGGCACATAAAGATAAATGTTTAAGGCCACACAGTTCATTAAGTATGTTTAGGAAAATTTTCGTATCTTATGGAACAATCAGAAGATGACCGCAGTTATTGATAGCTTAAAACATTGCTGTATGAATACCAACTTTATATCTCTACTTCAATAGATGATGAGTAATCCTTTAACCCATAGCAGCTAACCCATAAATGTTATCTACATCCTTGTGGAATATTTCTATATAAAGGTATCTGTGTAGCTTACAGTGAGATCACACATGCTCTACATCTACATGGAACTCCTTGTTACAAAAGTGACGAAAGCGCATTCACATGTTTGTTATTTACTAAAACCATATAGTCTGACACGATTTTCAGGAGCAAGTGTCGCTTTGATTTAACATTTCCGTATAGGCCGTATTATAAAATAAATCGAAGCGCATGGACCGAAAAAGCCTTGCTCATTTAAAGTGAGGCGGAGCAAGCATAAACCTGACAAGATAACTTAAAATTTTAAGCGTGTACATCAGTTTACCTTTTCGCTAGTCACGTCTGCATAAACAATTTACGCGTCTATTTCGAGATCTAATTTTGAAGCAAGTCTGAGTATGGCTCATAAGAACTTGCAAGTATAATGTAAATATTTATCTTTCATCTCTTTTAAACACAAGATTATGTTGCCTATAACAATGAAAAGTCAGAAGGAGTTTATCAGGAAAATACGATTTCAATGCTAAGCATCCTACAGTCACCTTTTGTTTATTCTTCGGAAAAACTTATTTATATAAATTATCCTTTCAATATATTAGTACATTAGCTTATTATGTAAAACGATATCTTTGCTAAAGTAGTCTACCTTTTCTTTTCAAGAATAGGTAAGATGCCGCGATTTAAGCGTGTTGTAGATTATGACCAGATCTGCTTAGTAGACTCAGCTTAGAAGAATGCGATGGAAAGTAGATACAGATCTTTTAGTCGTAATGCCCTTTGTAATGTATTTAGAGTCGCGTTTAAGAGAATTTTCATAATCAAGTAATGACAAGGACTTGTTTCCATCTCTCTCGTTTGGCCTTTCAGAAAGCTACTATACACGCTTATAATAATGATAACATTCAAACCTTTTTCATTCTTAATTAGAGAGTAATTTCGGACCAATTTTAATTGAACATGAAACAGAATTATCATACAATATAGTCAATGTATTTGTACCTGTGACCATAATCATAACAACGACAACAGTGTCTTTCTTAAGCTGAGCCCTTTTACACCTCATAAAGAAACGCATTCCAAAATCAGTTAAAAATATAATGCACATTTCTAATCCTGCCTCAATGTCACCTTCCTTAGCCTAAATAATTAGGACGTTCATTCGAATAATGAAAAGCTTTTGTAAAATGATTTTCTTCGTTTACTGTTCATATTGTCTTTTATTTGAGTTCTTGAAATTACTTCATATTCCTCTAACAGCTCTCCTCAAAGTTACTGTCTAAGAATAAGACGTTTGTTTGGTATGTGGTTAGGCTGAGAGTAAATATACAAGAAGATAGACACGACGATTTTCGCGTCTGCATAGCTTTTCTCTTTTTTTTTTTCTTTTTTATTTTCTTTCTATTTTGGCCAACACTACATGCATCAGAAAATAGGCTAAATAATATAAGTACGATATCACAATCACACTTAATTGATCAACTGACAACATAAAATTAGAATAAATAAACAAGCAACAACATTTCTTTTTTTCTTTTCCTTCTTCTTGAAAAGAAACAGAACAAGATGGTGAAAAGCTTTGTTGGGCGACATCATAGGCAATGGGTAGAGGTAGCGCACATAGTATTGATCTAATTTCTGGTGTATTTTCTAGTTCATGTAGTGTTTTCCTTTTATTTTATTTTAATAACGTGTACTACATGCTTCATTCCCTCTTGTCAGCTCGCTCTTATTGGCAATGAGCTGCGTGACTTGGACAATCAAGAGCCCAAAGCCACCATGCCATTGTGAGCAGATAAGCCCATAAGGCGTGGTTAAAATGCTTGATCAAATCAGTGCGTACTTGCACTTTCAAACCGACGCTGGCGCCAGCACTTCTTTCCGCAAGCACGCCGTTCATGGGCACAAAATTTGCGTTTCCACCGCGTCTGTGGCCGTTCGGCCTTCTTTAAGCGATGGTGTCCCCACCAATTATGTAAGATATATTTCATATAAAGAAGTAACCGCATTCTCACTTTCTATCATATTCATAGGATGTCGAGGGGATTGAGAGACTTCCCGCTCACTCTCTTTGTGCCTGCGGAGAACAGCAGTGGCAACAACATAGTAAGATTTATAAAAAATATGATGATATACGCTTACGCGTTCTTAATTTTTAGAGAAGAAGGATGGAGAACCCTCCTGAAGGAGGCCCACCATAAGATGGAGGATGAAATTGCCGATCTTCAGGTCAGGTTGGACCTTTTGGTTAAAAAAAAAAAAAAAAACAGAAACTTGATGAATTAATCGGTGATGATTAAAGCGCTTTTTGTTGTTGTTGTTGTTGTTGTTGTGTTTTGTGGTTATTTTTTTTTTATAAAATAAATGATATTTATTATTTCATGAAAGAAATTTGGAAGGTGGTTATATATCTGTGTATTATAAATAAGAAGTCTGGTTCCTGTCAGCAAACGCTTGAATAAGCATGTAACGCAAAATAACTTCCTTTGATGAGCATTAGTGGTTAAGTCAATATGATAATTAAAAGTACAATCTCTTCACCGCATTCACTTGTCCTGACGATAGCAATATTTCACGGGGCTGATGATAAAGAATAAAGGACCTTTGACTGTAGCTGCTCTTGCTCCTTTTACGTTATTCAAAGACATTCATGTAAGCTCCTTGAGTCATATGTATCTCCTTCTTCTTCTTGAATTTGAGATGTAAACAAAAGACTTGATAAGAACATGATGAAACGTATGCTTGGATTAAGGGAGGTTGACCCAGGTTTTTCCATTTTTGTAGTGGGTTATCAATAAAACATGGAAGAGAGTAAATAGCTTAAATCCATGACACAGTCAGAGCCAATAGCTGAAGTTATTCATATCATAATAATGAAGACAAGAAATACCTTTTAGGTCAAACTTTTCGTGGACCATCTCTGATTTGAATAAAACACCAATTCCTAGCAGCAGAGTGCTCCCATACTTATCAACCTACAAAGAGTACATCTTTGCTAGAAGAATGTAAAATACAAGCACACATTTTTTTTTCATAGTCTTCATATAGAATGATATCATCAAGGCAAATAGGTGATACTGATACAATGGTATGTCCTAAGCTGTTTCATTAAGCTGAATTGTTATTTCAATGTAAACAAGACTGTTAATCAAAGAGACAATGGCATATAAAATAGGACGAGTAGTAGTTATATATGAATATTTGAATAAATAAAACACAAAGTAACATTTATTGATCAAGGCTTCGTGCAAAGATTCGCACATGTCAACGATATCTCTCTCTACTTTTTGTGATTGGCTATGGTCTGCATTTAATAAACCTTATTTCCTATTTTGTATTGCATGCAATGTTATCTTTAAAAAGTTTATTTGCACTATGACACTTTAAGGATAAAGTTTTTAAAGTAAGAATATTGATCCTTGGGTGTTCTCCATGTGCTATCAGATCCACCAAAGAAAGTATGGAACACTAGGCAGATTTGTAAGCATAGCAAAACTTGGATATTAAAAAATACTTACTGATACCAACAACGTGGCCTGTGCTGCTTGAACGGAACGCAACGTTCTTCACATTAATCTTTCTTACACCGTTTACATATAGGCTCATTTGACCGTTACGCTTGCCCTGAGAGTTGAGTACGAGCTCCTGGCGGACAGTTGTCCAGGTGCCTGTCTTAAAATGAAATGTACCTCTACCTAAGCTGAAACCATAGTCTGGATTACAGATATTGATCTTATTATCACAGAGGTTCTTGCGTTGCTTAGAATTAGGAAGATATGCATAGATTTCGCCTTCACCGTCCGTTCTCCACATGAGTCTTAATAGAGCGCGTATCAATCATTTTTGTACAACATTAGATTAATTAAATTGCTATGCTACCTTGTTGTAAAACAGGAACCTGATTCATCGCCGCCAGTACATTCACCATGACCACCATAGAGGCCAGGAAGTTTACCACCTAAGGCGAAAAGCATTATATAACACAGTGATTACAAATGGTTTTCTTTTCTTACCTTTCACAAAGTCAAAACCTTTAGGAAAGAAAACGCTATATTGAAGTGTAACCTTTTTTGATTTTGCTGTAATACTAAGAGGTTCAGCTAAAAAGCCAACACCACCGATGGGATGTATTTCAGGATTTCTTGATTTTGCGGTATACTTTACACGAAGCACCAAATCTTTGGTTTTCTTGGAAGGATCTCTAACAGCAGCATTCTCATTTTCAGATCCACTCCAGGCCCAAAGCCACCCTCTATGCTTGTGTATTCCCCAAGTTGTGCTCCATTTACTTTGTTCACCGACTATAGCTTTTTTATACTTGTTCCAATTCCAAAATGTCCATTTCTTTACTCCTCTCTTTTCAAGTGTATGCGTCAAAGGATCACTACTGGCATTGACTGCACTGAGCAAAACTATAAGAATGGCTACATAAAATACAAAGAGCCTGTAAACCATTCTGTAAATTACACAATAACTTCTGTCAATTTGTAGAAAAAGAATTAACTAAGAAAAAAAAAAACCTAAAAAAGGCACCTTGGTTTATATACTTTTTCACATATTGCAACGTGAAAGAAGTTAATTAATGTGGCACAAACACTTACTCATTTTTCAGGCAGCTGTCAGTAAGGAAAACAAAGAGGAAGAATGCGGGCTAATGCTCCTATCTGTTGACTCTACACGTTTTAAATGGATCATGTTTCTGTTTCTATGGAACATGACCTTCCTATTGATGCCAATGGCTTAATCCTATCTCGTTTCGGAAAATCATTTTAATCTACTACACTAAATGGAAATATTGCTTGGCTGTTACAGTAAATAACGAGCTTTGGGTGTCCCAACTATACTGTCTTTATGATCTTTTGTATTTTTTTTTATCCATGTGCTTGATTAGACTATTTACCAAAAAGGTGAATGCTCGCATGGAACAATAAGATGTCCACGGAGAATTGAACTCAATCTTGTCATAAAGGTGCAAAATAAAGATAAGTATATAATTCAAATCCTTAAGCTCTTGTTCCAGTCTTAGTTTATCTGCTTACTGTACACCAAAACTCTTATCAGTTTTGTTAGAGGGTTCCTTATATGGTCCCGCTTGAAAACAAAAGCTACTGCACCTACAGATTAAGGTTATGACCTATGCTGATGATGCTTTGGTACATCTGACTCACCCGAAGGAACTTGGTCCTTTGCTCAATACGCTCAACGCATAGACTCATGCTTCCAATGCTAATCTGAATAGAGATAAAGCACTCGTGATATCGCTTTCTGGTGGTCCTCCCAAAGTTGGATCGGCGAACTGCGTCAATACGACATCCCATAATAGCATGGAAGAACTAGTTCATTCGCTGCTATTTATCTCGGGTGCTCACTTACTAGACATTGATCACATATTGCCATATCGTTTACCAAATGTTATGTAATGGTTTATAAGACACAAGGCAAAGACAAAAGAAGTACTCTTTGAGACTAATCTTTATTCTGAGATAAAGACAGAAGGAACATACAATTCAATAAAGGATCTACTATTTATAGTTGCTATCAAATGGCTGGTAAGCCACTATTCTAAGCGTGGATTATAATTACTGAGGATGTGATTGACTAGCGATTCCTGAGTTCATAAAGAAAACTTTTAATTCGTTCCTGACGCTGATCTTATTGCTCATTTCATGATCTGGGCTATGTTACTGCTTTTACCGTGAGAAGAATCGTCTTTTAAAGAAGTATATCCTTTTATGTAAAGAAGCAATGATTCATATTTAAAAGAGAGATTCTATTTAATTTGACTTATCACTAAAAGTGTGTACACGTAATCTTATCATGTATGAATTCACTCTATTCATACCGATTACAATCGTTTATCTCAATGTCAGTCCTTAAGCAGACATTGTTCTACGACACCAAACACACCATAAAACACGTTTAATTGTCAAGATGCTCTCTCTCTTTCTCTCTCTTCCTGGATTCACTCGCACCTGCTTATCCAAGGCTTCCTCGACCAGTTTGAAATGTATTCCAGGATATGATTTCCCTCAAGGACTCACATAGTGCTCTGAAAATTCTATCACAAAAACCTTTCTATACAATTATCCCACACCGCTTTATTGATCCTTTGTGTGGATATTTTGCAGCGAAATCGAAACAAAAAGCATTTCATCTAGAGCTACACCTCGAAAACGATTGATCTGGCCGACTGTGGCTTCGAGGCTTTTGGCCGTCCATCTGCCGCTCAATTATGAGCACATCGGAAACCCACACATCCGTACCGTGCTTATGCTTTTTAGCCTCTCGACAGGCTTTCAAGATCTGATTGTGTTACCCTTTTGATAACCCCATTGGACATATATTTTCGACTCTCATTTTTTCTGCTTTGGCGAAATAGTTGCATGAGCTACATATGCCCTTTGTCGTATTGCTAGGAGAAAACTGCACTGCAACCTCATAGAAGAACACATTTAATCATTTTGTTTTCATCAGTGCACGTATCAGCAGCATTTAAAGAAACAAATTTTTATCTTTGTCATAAAAGCTTTACTTCACATCGTTTTTATTTCAGTTACTTTCAAATTTAAGCATCTTTGTTTCGATTGGTTCAATAAACAACTGTGCTTCAAAGCTAAACATTTCAGTCTTTCCTTTTATGACTCCTTCGATTTTGGTGTCCTCGTCTTGTTCCAAATTTAGTTTTACGGCTTGTTCTATACAATGGTTTAGTAGGCCGATGTGTTCAGGATCATTTGATGTGATAGACAAGAGATGATAACCAAGTCTGTTTTGTTCATATGCATTCTTGAGTGTTCTAATCAACATGCTATCAAAAATAATTAAAAAGTGATTAAACTAAAACATACGACTTGAAAGCTTACTTTATTTTGCTTTACCAAAAGAAGGGGATATTAGATAAAGAAAAAGAGTCTTAAAACACGCAATGAATAAAGATATCTTTTATATGCAAATGCATTGTAACTCGCTCATTCTTTTTTAATAAAACTGCTAAAGACGGAAAGAAAGGACAAATATGGGCGATATAATAAAGATTTGTGTGATTAAGAACAAATATGAACAAGATAATACAGTGAAGATGTTGTGTGATTGAGAACAAATGGCAGTCGTTGTGGTATGGGCTCTGATAGATACGACAGGTGAATAGAATAAGATGAGTGTTATTTACCATAAAAGGGCATAAAAACACTGTAGCATTACACATTTGTAATCACAAGGCAGAGCACTATTGTGCCAAAATTTGACTTACCTGTTGACTTGATAAATTCTTTATCTTTAATCTCTCCTTGACCCGGGGATTCCAAACAATGATCTCTTTCTCGAGTTTTTGATTTGTCAATCGTCACAGATGATTCTCTCTCTCTCAGCATAATTTGTGTACAAACGAAACTGGAAGGTTAAAAGATTAAATTAGAATATGCTTCATTTTGTGAAACGGCTCACGACTAAACTCAATCATTCAACCTAATTTGCCTGTATCAGCTGATATGTAAATTGTTTTTGGTAAACCAATGTTTGATATTGATCCATTGGCTTTGCTACTTGGACAGGTCGCATTATTTTGCTTTTTTCCCCTTTGCACCGTTTCTTTTGCCCTGACCTAAATACACAAATGGTAATTAGCAAGCTCTTTTTTTAAGAGCCAATTTTTGAAAAATATAAAAAAGAATAAAAGTAAGCATATCAACTGAGGAACTAATTATCTACTCTTCATTTTTTCTTTCAAAAGGCAATCCGTGCTTATTTTTATTACATCATTTTTACTCTAATTTTTTCTTAGTGATTGAAGGAAAAAGGTACATTCGCCTTTCAATATACATAAGAGGGTCATGTCGCCCTTTATTTTATACAACATAAATATGTTTAAAGTAGAGAAACCTTATATAGGAGCCTTATTAGGCACAGTGTGTATTATATCTTCCTTATGTTGGCTAAACCTCTTTACAAGTTTAAATAAGCTCAATAACCAGCGAAGTTAATTATAATTTTTTTTTTTGTTGTTGCCAGAAACCTAACAATCTTCTGCTGACTGATAATAGCCTCTCTCATTTGTGCTTTAAAATTTAAAACGTCTTTGATTAAAAGTAATCAGGTCCTCCGACTTCTCTTAAAGGTTGAGATAGATTGCTACTTCGATATTTCGACTTGGGATAAATCAACAGCGAACTTACGCTCTATCAGTCTAAAAAAAAAAACAGACAAAAGCTTATTTGCACAACACCAGCTCAATTCATAGCTTGATTGTGAATTACTATTAATTCTAAGAATATTTCTTCATACTCAATATAGCTCAAATATAAGCAAAGACTCCATTAGTTTTATGTAGATTCTTGTTGTAGGATAAGGCAACTCCAGCTGTAGTGATGTATCCAAGACGGCATCGAATGGTTTGCTGTTTCTGCTTCATTGAGCCTTACAAATTTGCTTATTCCTTTGTTTAAATACTAAAATAGAACCTAATGGATCAATCCTTTTTGCTTAATTTACTAAAAGCTATCAATAGTATGGAGAAACAGGACATGCAGGTGATTTGTATTAACTCTCAAGCACCATATATATTCATCTGTTGCCATGGATACATTTTTATGTTTGGCTTTTGAAACTTCAAAACTGTAATGTATAACTTCGCTTAGTGGCCACATACTCATCTGATTCTCTTTTTCCTTTAGTTTCGCCTTCTCTCGTAGATTTTTCATTGGCAGGAATCCCAAAAAAGAATAATTTATCCATTTATGGAAATAAGGGACATTACACAACGCTTAACCTTAAATATACAAGCTTTTATTACAGCATAAAATAATACATAATGGTAATAGCAGTGATAAAATAAGTGATAGTACATATACAGCAAAATCATGGACTAACAACAGCATTCTTCACAGATACAGCAACAACCAATGGCGGCCAAACAGTCAGTAATGCACCCACCACCTCTTAATCGCAGAATGGAGCGTTCTAAATACAAAATGTTAATATTAGACTATTATACAAATTATCATCTTTACGATCTTGTTGTTCTTGTTCTCCCGAGTTTGTTTGGTTCTGTTGTGTGGTCATCATGTTTTCAGAAGCAGGATAGACGGGAGCAGGAGCAGTCAAAGGTGTCATTGGGATTTCGCTCATAGTATTTGCAGAAGTAGCAGGTTCAGACATAATTGATTCTATTTTAAAAACAAAAAGAAAAAAAGAAAATTTCTGCATTGCCCTCCTTTTATAAAAAAAAAAAGAGGCTTTAGGTGACACATTTGTATGCACACACACAAAAGCATACACTATACGGGCTTTATTTCAAAAAAGTAAAGTGAGCGATGCATACTTTCAACACAAACTTTTGAAAGCTGTCAACTAAGTATTCATAAAGTGGCTATCAAGAAAAAGCATCTGTTTCTATGTGTATAATTAAATGATATACCTCTTTAATGCTTATGTATGTTGTAATTCCCGTTTTTGCGATTTCCGTTTAACTGTAAAATACGGTGGCATGAACACTGTTGCCAAGCAATAAGAAAAAATAAACAAAATTGAACGTCAGCACTACGTCATAAGTAACTATTTATACACTTTATTCAGGTGACATGACTGAATTCACTTCATCATCATTTCTTTTAAACAAAGTAGCCCAGTATTTTACTCTTGTTGAATCAGGCAATAGGACACCTCCGTCATCGACAAGGTCCTTATCTTTCATTGGATCGTAAAACTCGTTCATGAACCTTGATTTGTGTGTATTCAAGTAATCCCAAATGCTAAAGGTCTTGTCCTGAGGTTTATACTGATTTCGTTCTTGCTCTGAATTAAATAAAAATGTACCAAATTGACATGAATATAGATGATAATGAAGTTCCAATAATAGCTCTTGATTAAATTCAAAGCGTGTTGGATATAGACACAGCAATTGATAAACACAATCTAAGAACTGATGAAATATCGGGCTTGTTTCTTTTTGATGGTTGTTGTAGTAAAATTTGTCTCTAAAGGATGACGCAGTCGTATTATCATTGTTGTTTATAAAGAATCGCTCGTTTGTCAAATGTCCACATCGATCCTGAAATTTATGTCCAAACGAAACCCAGTCTTTTTCGATCAACACCTGGAACCCTTCAAACGTGCGATAATATGGATCCAGGCACAATTCACTTAGGGATACCATTTGTGATGTACGATCCCATCCATCTGAACAATGTACGAGCACATGCGAGTTATACACATGAACGCTTTTAACAATCTCTCTTGTTCCGTCTATGAGTGTCGATATATGTTTTAGCCATCCTGATTTCTGTAATGCGACTTTGTTGACTATGTTATTTACACCTTGCATGGCTACGCAGGATGATTAATATAAATTAATGACGCTTACATCCTTTTTTTTTTTTTACCTTCGCACAGTTTTGCTAAGCTATCTCTCATGACATGAATATTATCGATAGCCACATAGATTTTTTTACAATTGCGGTAATGGTCCATATTTTCTGTTCCTGCTCCTCTAGCTACATTACCTACTGCATTGGCCATCGGTCTGGCATCTACGATCAGATTGGCTGCTGTAGATCCATATACCGTTTCTCCATTGGGTCCAGTCGGCACGTTGGATGAAAAAATTGACTCAATCAGCTTTTCGTCTTGTATTGATCTAGCTTGTTTAAATCCAACTAAAGGTTGGCTGCTTCGTGTGATTGTCGCCTATTACATAAAATTAAAGTTACAGCCTCTTTTTCCCCATAAAAGGATGCTATCTACATTATTATACCAGTGTAAATACGATAGAGTAGGTATTCTAGCCTTACTGCGGTATTTCGCCGCATGTGTTAACACTGCATCACTTATTTTAGATGGAACGACCAAGATGCGTGGATAAGTAGGTGAGTACTATAAATTATATATGCTGGTGAGTCATAATCATTTACTAAAATATATTTACCTTGTAATCTCTGTTTATGACAGTAAATCTCCATTTGTCACTTGCGCCAATACCCATACGTTCATACTCTTTAATTGGGTCATATATATTCCATCCATTTTCCGTTATAAAGGGCGCTTCAGGTTGAAAAGTGTATGCATAAAGTTGTTCTACAGATGCTTTTTCTTATCTTAATACTGCTTTTTTACTTATTCCATCTTGTTAAAACACTTACAGATACATGCTAACTTTTGAATTGTATCAAATACGTCCTGAGCTTCTCCTTCCTTGAGTAGACCCAAAGTGAACATGGTGAAATCTCTACAACGAATGACCAGTGGATGTCGACCGCTCTGCAGTGATGGTGGTTGCTTTTCTACAGTGTGTATGATAGGATAAGGCACCTACAAGAAAGAGAGAGATAAAAAGAGTCAAAAAGACAAGTTTGAGTTAATGTATGCTTAAGCATATACCCAAAGTTCTTCTGAATGTTTAAAGATCAGGTGATGCACAGTCAAGTGCAAAGTACCCACGGTAATGTCTTGGCCTTTTCGAAGCTCGACATCTTGAACCTTTTTTGTTGTTATTAGCTCCTTTTTATAATAATCAAGTCATAACACGTTACTTGAGCAATCTTTAATAGGTCAAGTCGGTTGGGCTGCATGTTCCCTTGAGAGGAGAACAGCGTGGGTAAAGCAACACGGCCAAGATTGAAAATGATGAAAAGAATTAAACAAGAGAGAAAAAAGAAGATGCTTTAGAGAAATATAAAAAGGAAGCAATGAACTTGTCTTATTTCCCTTTTATTTTTGTCAAGCTAAAAAGGGCCACAAAGCAAAAAAAATCGAATAAAAGATGTTTCACAGTCAGCATTTACAGTTTTCACTTTAAATTCGGACAATGTCAGATACAAAAGAAAATTAGTTTCAGACATGCCATGATGACCAAATTGATGTTTTTTTACCTGTAAGCACCTTTAAGTTCGCTCACCAGAATGAGGAGCAATCACGTTCGATGTGGCGCTTTGTTGTTGAGAAGGGCGTTGGAAAATGGCAGGTCGCTACTCTCTAAGCCAGATTTGCTTTGCAATGCAGAACATATTTTTGGCAGCCATAACGTCCCTATTTCAAAAAATATTACATTCGTTGCAGATTAATATCGAGTGAATAGATCTGTCATTTTCAGTTTGGTAATGCCTTATGTTCCTCGTTTTGCAGGAGTCGCAGACCTATATTTCGCTAAGGGTGAGAATGAAAGGTTGTCGAAAATTGTATTTACGTGTGGAATTCATCAATGTCCAAAAGACAAAGTTCACCCAGCTTTTCCTTCAGCCCAAGATGCTTGTATATCTTTTCGGACATACCGTGTCGCAAACCACGAAAACGGACATTGGGCTTATTGGTTCAACCATCCCCAAAGACAGCCAGGGGAATTTTGGTAGTGTCACCAATTTGAAACGCATGTCAGTGGGAGTTTCTGTTAAAAGTATAAGTAAAATCGTATGCAAAAAATAATTGATTAGCTCGCCTCGGTACAACAGGCAGATCTTCAACTCCAGGATTCTGTCTATTTATGATACGCCGTCTTTTCTTTTGGTTCAATCGATTCTTCTTCTTCTTTCTTCTTCCTTTGTTATACTTTGCTGATCCATTAATCAGAATGCTCGCGCAGTTATCCAGGGCTTTCTGCCAACCTCTATAGTTTTTCTAATTGAATTCTGCGACCCGAAAACCATAGAAGTCGAATAAACGATTTAAGCTATTTTGCATATAAATAATTCGCTCCAAATAATGTTGATCATTCGTAACTTTTGCTGTAGGAGTATTGGCTTCGATTTCCTTTATACCGGCTTGCCGCTTACAATTATCTTCAAACCTCATACATCTGCTACTGCCACTAGCATGATAGTATTCCTTAGTAGTTAAACGTCGTATATCGCCATTTCCATGGTATGAAGTGAAAGCATCTCTTCTCTCAGGATCTACAGCACATGGTCGAAAATGATCAATAATTTCATCAAAATTGAAATCAGTGATCTGCAGTTCCACATTGTTAAAGAGATCAGTTACACGCCGCCTCGCAAACATGATTCGACAGGTACTGTTTTATTAAAAATAATAATTGGTGCATATTAAAAAAAGTACTTACGCAAAGGTTAAAAATAAGATGCGTGCAAAAGAAGATGACATACAAATGAGAGTAATAAGTATCAAGGAAAGAATATAAAGAATTATACAGTTAGTTAAGTAAGAAAATTATTATATACAACTTACCCCGAAGGCATTCAGATGTGTCCTAGCGATAACTGGGACGGAGAATCATCGTCTAAACGTATTCTAGTTCTTGGTTGCTCCTGATCGTCCACTCTTCTTCGACGCCTTATAGGAGCAACAGTAACCCGGTGAAACCTATGAGGAACCATGACATTACGTCGAAGCCCACGAAGGATGTGCATGTAGTTGAGACAAGCAGCAACATCCCTGTTCCACAAGCGATATCTATCTGGAGCTGCCATGGCTGGTCTACAGTATAGATTGGTACATCTACAAGCAATGTTCAATCAGTATAAAGTCATCCAAGTGGTTAATGTATTATTACCTTAAAAGGCCATGGTAGACAACAGTAGGATATCGCTCACGTTGATACGGTCGTGGATTTGGAACACGACGGAACGTGTGGAGGCTCTCGTTGTGGCATGTTGGACAGTACCTACTGGTCTTGTACTCGTCTATAAGATAGACTTGTAACCCATGCTTCTTGAGGAGTCTTCGGAAACCATGGCCACGGATGGGCTCATGATACCTAGCATGGAGATCGGACCAGCTTCCCATTACAAATACGGCGTCTTCTCCAAACTTGGCACGTAAGTCTTAAATAAGTTTTTGATCGGCACGTTGTTTGTTGAAGTACGCTGAAAGACGGGCCTTGCGAAAGAGGGGGTATCCATTATCATGGTTTGTGATGGTATGTCTATAGAATACACTGATAACGGCAAACTGTTCAGATCTGGCTTGAAGGAAGTGGTCAAAGCCTTCTACGGGTACGGTGCTGCTTGGCTGTTGAGAAAGGGCTTGCTCAGCTTGAACGACATCAGAATCCTGGGCTTTGAAGTCTTACAGCGCTATCCATAACAAGATAATACCATTTAATATGTGGGCACTGATCCATTTCATCCATTGTGACCTTCAGAAAGCTAGAATAATGACCAGTTGCTGCCCCTGTGCTCGTTAGCTCAACATAACCTTCTTTCTTTTCTTGGCTGGCATCTGCGGTAATCTCAGGCTACACTTTATTAATCCTGAAACAGAAATCGCACCTAAAATCGTTGTTGTTTGTGCTCGGGTTTTGGGCACTGTGACCACAGTAGGAAATCCTTTTTTTTTGACCAGGTCATACTACGTTTTAAATTAATATGAAATACAGACTCATCGAGAAGGACGCGATTAGTTCTAAAGTCCATGTCCGTACATTTCCACTTATGAACCCAGTCAAAACGTTCCTGAATTTTTTCTTCACTGCTCCTATCTACAGGCTGAAATTGGGCTTTTTTGAGTGACAAGTTATATTCAGTTCTTACAAAATTGTAGACAGTGCTTTTAGAGATCTTGAGATCCTGAAACTTTTGAAGTAGCCGCTTCATTACTTGCTCCAAGGCGACTGAAGGATTCTCATCTATATATTCCAAGATTACTTGCTTGTGTTCTTCTTGAAGTACGCAAGCGACCGGTTTTCTTATGCTTTATAAAAATACCATCAGGATCTGTTTTGTACATTTGAGCCCATCTTTGAGCTGTGCGAACATGAACCCAGAATCCCTTGATCGCCGCTCTTTACGATTGATGCAAAGGAAGTTCCGCCAAGATAGCCTCAATCACAAGCGCTCTACGCACGCCTCTGTTCTTCTTATACATTGTCGCTCGACTATATCCCTAGACCCCATCCTTTGGCTACCAATGACCAGATCTGAAAGAAGTCGCTGTATACGTTGGCGCCTTGGTTGGCTTCCCAGTGGTCACGGCAAAACCTGTCCTCAGCACCCCAGCCAATCCTTCACCAAAGCCCACGTCATTCATTGTCTTCAGATGCACCGCAGACTTATGATGCCCGAAACAATTTCAGATCCATTATCCTTCCTTTTGAACATGCTGCCTATGAAGAAACCACGCTCCTTTCAAATCGCTCTCTTATGGACCATCTGTTGACCAGCTATCTGCGCCCTTCTTTTTGAACTTGACTACTTCCATCACTAAAAGCGTCCGCCTTCTCCGCCCCCTCACCTCGGGCAAAAGCCCCTCGATTGGTTTCTTCCTTCCCCTGGCTAGTGTACCTTACACTTGGTCCAATATCATTTCTTCCATAATTTTTTTACCCTTGATCCCATAAGAGTTTTTTAGTTACTAATTCTTTATTCTCTTTTGACCTGCCTCGGGTGAAGAAGTTATATTATTATTATCGTGCACCCACTTGAGGCTTTAATTGTAATAAAACTGTTTAACCGTATAGCCGTCTGAATATATGCTATTAAGAAACGTTATGCCTTTACCATTCGGCAAGCCAAAAATTTCTTCTAAACTGTTGTCGACATGTTAGTCAATATAATACAAGAATTGGGAGCTACCTACCTTCTTATTTCAATTTACTAAACTGGAAAAAATGAAAGAAAGTCGACTAGTGAAATGAATCAACGTTTCATCTGCTTGCTGGGTATATCATCAGACGGGAAGAAAGGACTAACGTTTTGAGCGTCCAGCTTAACAAATCGCCATTTCGTACTTGGCGGAGGAAACAAAACAAAAAGACGAGGTTGATATTACTGCTCTTGCTTTTGTAGAGGCTGGTCTTGCTGCTGTGGAGGTTGTCCTCTATTTTGCTCATAAAATTGCAAAATATATTTCAATACAGACAGGATCTGAAAAGGATGTTCAGTGACAATAGCCCTTGAGATTGGGAGGGTAGGCAGTTGGTATCGTATTGAAGTATACTTTCACCAACAAGTTGTTGAAGTCGCGGAGTACTATCCATATTGTCCGGAAACATGGCTTCTGTGATTGGTATTTGTGTTATGTCTCTTAAAAATACATTGTCAAGTATGTGACCAAACACCAGGTTCTTTATTTTACCCATCAGAAGCTCCTAAGTTTGTATATTAAAATAAATAATGTAGAAGAATAGGATATTTTATCATTAAACTTACCCTAAAATTTAATCGAATTATATGTATGAACATAATAGTTTTTATAAGTTGTGGCGACTGCTTCACAAGATGCACTAATAACTTGACCACAATTGCTTAAGCCATTGAGGGGCACAACCAGGTTTACATTATATTCTTCACCTGTTAACATGGCATATGTTTCTTGTAAATTTCTTAAATTCGGGTATCTTTCTTGAACGTTATCGATGGCAATTCAACCGTAAACAAGTCTACAACTTGTATACCAGAAGTGTTGGTGGAAGATATCGTCTGTCGAGGAGTTCATATTTCGAAGTATATAAAAATTTATAAAGGTTTGGGTCATGTATATTGTTCTCCGGAGAAAAGAGGATAAAATACGTATTTTGCCTTGGGCAGGATCACCATGAGCGTCGTTAGAAATGAATTTTTCCAAAGTTATTGAAAAGGTAAAACGTTGGTAAGCGCCCAAATCTCTTTGAAATAGTTCTTGTAAACTGAAATTATGGTTCCTGCAATCAGGGCTTCTTTTTGTTTTATACTCCTCCTCACCACAAGACGCACATATAACAATGTTTTCCGGATCAGCTCTTCTAGCTGCCTCTTTTGCCTTTTTCTCTTCTGGAGTATCTGGCACCTGGCGTCTTAAACAGCAAAGTTAAAGATGAGACGAAATTACACTATAAAAAACTTACGTTTTCTTCTGATAGGGTTGAACCTTCTGCTTCTTGGACGCCCTGTTGTTCTTGATCGTCTAACCTTTGCTGCTTTTTATTCTGAATAAGCTCTTCAGCAAGGGGATATAACATTGGGCGCATTACGAGTATACTGAGAAGAAAGAAAGAAAGAAAACGGGGGGGGGCTTCAACAAGGCATTATATATTAACACAAACTTAACATATCATTCTAATTTATCATATAAGATAAATTGGCATTTTCTTTATATTTTGCATTATAAATTGGAAGCCATACTTATCCTGTTGCAAGCCTGTAGTGTTGGCTGACTAAATTCAGTGATATCAAGCCACGGCATATTATTTCCTTTTTATAATCCTTAACTCAATAGAACGATATCCTTATCTTTACTCATCTTACTCATCCTAGTTTTATCTTAATTCCTTAAGTTAAACCTAGTCTTTATTCTCGTTTCTGAATATAACAGATCAATTCTAAAATCCGTCTTGCAGGCTTTTCAGATAATATATATTAAAAAAATTTGTTTCCTATTATATCTCTTCAATCTTTTTTGTGCCACGCACCGTGGTAATAATATATCCAATGATCATCCTGATCAATTATTTACGGGAAAACAAGCTGAACAAATCATTGCGGAAGTGTCAAGAAAGCTCGATCTGACAAATCAAGTAAAGGCCCCACAAACCTTCCAAGTGAAATCTTGGAAGAACTAAAGAACAGCTCGTCCATCAATTTACAGAAGAACATCAAAGAATTTGTTAAGAGCCTTTCAAAGTACGAAGGTAGTGAATGGACCAACAGTAAGATCTTCAACAAAGAGTTCCACAGAGAACTTAAAAGGAAAACTGCGGATGCCCTCTTTTCACCGTAATCTTTATCAAGCAGAATCTTTAATTTTATATAAATCATACCATCTGCACGCTAAGCATATTCCCAATCAACCTCAATGAATGTCGTATTTCTGTTATCAATGAACCAACATTCAATTTTAAACACACTTTTGAGGCTCGCATTAAGCATTTATAAGAGGCTTTACACATATATTATATGAATGCTAAAGTAGGTTGGTGGTGTATGTCTTATCCACGTTTCAACAGTATATTAATAAAAAAAAGGATTATCGTACAACCGTTTATGTATCTTCTATTAAGATTTTTCTGTACATAAGAATATGATTGTCACACATTATGAAAGATCTCTACAGAGAAGGGAAGGTTTGTGCGTATGCAGGCCATTACAGATAAAAAATCTTCCTGTAATATTGGAGTGCAATGGATAAAAAGTAGAACATAGATCCTTGACTGTTTATTTGACACGAGTGACAATTGGCTATCCAGTCTACGCAGTCAGAACATTATCCATAAACCAAACATTAGAGGTGCGCCTAAGGGGAGGGGGCATATCAAGTAAGTCAGGAAGGCTCATTGGCCATGACGTTTTGAAAAGAGAAAAATGTCCGGGTCGTTAATGTAATTGAGGAGTTTAGTTGGAAAAATCCTTTGAAAGATAAGATGATGTATATCGTCAGTCGGAAGACGGGGGGAAGAAAGAGAGATGAGAGAGCTGTTACGAGAAATCACATGAAAAATTAAAGGAAAGCATTCACTTAATGGAGAACGTGTTTGTCTAATCGCAATAAGACTCACATACAAAGTTGAACAGTCGGGAATCACTCTCTCTCCGAGGCCCTGGTCACTGAGGACAAAGGAACTAAGCCAGTCGCTAACGAAGAAATGGATGCATGTTTCAAGGGTCATCAAGGTATATAAAAAAGTAGCTGGAGAAGCCAAACACAGAGAAGGATCGTACACAGATGATTTGATTACAGTGCAATCATATGCTTTTTCTTAGTCCAGGAAAACTGCTACTTGAGATAATGCCGGTACATCTTGCCGAGGCGTTGATCACTTATGGTTGTACCAAACATTGTCCGATACCAAAGCACCACGTTAATGTCCCATTCGGTAAAAATTAAAATATATGAGGACAATATACTGAAAAGATTTACAAAGAGCTTGTGTCGACCAGTGACTGATCAAGAATGCGAGAGCTATGTGCTCATGAGGAAGAGACGTTACCGAAAAAGCATTTTTAATGACGTTCAGCCAATGTACCTGATGGCAACGTTGGTTTTAGTAAAGAGTGTATGACATTTACAAATTCCAAAAGTTTGTCTAGTGAGATCTACAGTTTTGACATCCAAGCAGACAAAAGGCCACTTCATTTGGCTGTGTGTGACTGTGAGTTCGCACATACATTTCGTTCTTGTGTTACCTTGGCAACTAATTATTGTTCAACACATGGTTCTTCCGCATAATGCTCATAAGCCACCCAATAGGGTTGGTTACCAAGATCACAAATCGGATAGATCTAACTCATCGCAATCTCATTCAACTTCTCCAATTCCATACTCGAAGATTCACGAGCGATCTCCCAAAACGAGAGAAAGTTTACTTCTTAACTCGAAGCCCTCTGTGCAATCGTCTACTGCACAATCCCATGTTGATAATCCCAGTAATCAGCAAAAGATCATCATTGAGACTACTCATATTGGTGTATCGCAATCGGCAGGTAGTCTGTTTTTTGACGTTTCTTCTCGTGCTGAAACGATGCGGGAAATTTACATGGCAGCCTTTCGTCAATTCAACGATTTTGTCGGTCAACGGATCCATAGATCAGGCAATAACCGATTTTTGGACGTTAATTTTGATATCGATGAAAATCGTGCCGCAGCCCTCAAGGCTGGTTTGGCCTTTAATGATGGTTCAGTCATTATAACACCATCCGTAGCAATGAAACCAGGATCAATGATTAAACGGGTTAACCTTGATCGTCTGCCATGGCTGCGCACCAGCGATCTGCTTGACGGTCTAAAGGCTACTTTTCAGAATTATGGAGAAATTCGCGACATCGGTGTTGTCAAAGATGCCGACTCTGGCACTTTTTTAGGTGCAGGCTATGTTATTCTTGACTGTTCTCCTGAACTTAATACTGATAATGATGATCCATTCTTGCAGCTATCACACATCATCGAGTGGGTAAACCCCGACGGTTCTAAGAATGGTAATATTTTTATTCATGCCTATTGGAAGGACTTGCCGACTTATTGCAAATATTGTCATGAGTCCGGACATTCTGCCTCTGAATGTAACAAGTCTCCTAGTGGCAAGCGAGTTTGTTTTGCTTGCCTGAAATCTGGACATATTCGTGCCAATTGTCCCGAAAAAATCAAGTCCTCCAAGAAATGCAGACGTCATCCTGTTCCTTCGGATGCGCGTCTTTCATCTGTTGTAGAAAGCTCTGCTGTTGTTCTTTCTCCTCCATTGGAGGATTTAGCTAAACCACCCACTATTCACTCGTGCGAGGCCATTGAGTCGCCCTCTCAGGTGTCCGACGTCGAAGTTGATGTTGTTAATCCTAATTCGTCCCAGTCTACAGAAGCTGAAACCTGCTCTGACACTTACAATTCTCCTACTCGGCCCGTTAATTCCCTGTCAACGGACAACGACGTTACGCAGGCTCACTCTGAAATTCTTACTTTGGAGACCACTAGGTTTGGCTCTCCAACGGACTCCTTTCCTCCCCAAGAAGAGTTTATGGAGTGTGATAATGATGAAATTGCTAAGACCACTTTGCCTGTTATTAATCAATCGGCCTGCTCTTCTAATGCATCTAAGTATGCCCCTCGTCCCAAACGCAATGCTAAACCTCCTCTGCGTTATGAGGATGATTCTCGTTATCATTAATTCTATGAATAATAGAAATCAACGTAGGGCTATAAGGTTGCTCTCTTTAAATTGCAATAGTTTGTTTAAATTGAGTAAACCAAATTCACGAAAACATCTTATCCGATACATACGTCTCAAACAACCTACATTTGTTACCTTACAGGAAGTCGACAATAGTCAGAATCCTTTAAATCATTTTAGTACATTACACAAACAGTTCTGTAGTTCTCAATCATTTTGGAATCAATATTGCGGAATAGTCAGTCTCGATAACCAATTTCATCTAGAACAAATCCCTCTTCCTGAAGACTCCCGTTGCATCCTCACTCGAGTTTCTCATGTTAATCAGGAAGTTTCACCTTTTTTCATACTAGTTTTATACGCTCCATCTTCCTCGCCAAGAGAGCGTATTTCTTTCTTCGACAGTCTACTGGACTTTGTTCAATTTTCACCATATAGTGATCAATCTTGCATTGAACGTTTAATTATTGCAGGTGACTTTAATTACGACGCTTCCAATATTGCTTTACGTTCTTCATCTTCTCGATGTGGCCTACGCCAATGGAACCATTTTCTTCGTTGCCACTTCAGCAATGTTATGTCGGACCTTCATCAGCCCAATGCTCCTACATTCCGTCGAAGTGACACAACATCATCAACCATTGATTTTATTTTCTTATCATCATCTCTTTCATTGTCCTTTGCGAACGCAGTCATCGAATATATAAATCAAGAATGGACTGACCATGCACTGTTACACGTGGAGCCCCACTTGGAAACGAAGACGTCGAATGATCCTGGTATTTGGCGAGCTAATCCAATATTTTTACAAAAGGAGGATTTCTGCAATCAGTTGCACTCTCGCTTATCTTCCTACTATTATCGATGCTTACAGTCATCTCAGTTACCTCCCTCAGAACAATGGGATATGGTCAAAGAAGAGGTTAAAAAGTTTACTAGGAAGTATGGACGTAAACATACCAGCTGGAGGAAAAAGCAATTACAAGCTTTACAGTCTAAACGTCAACGCATTCTTCGAGGTAACCTCCCATACAGTGCATTGCAAGAGCATTTACCTAGGGTCAAGGCTCAAATCAAGAATTTACAGAAGGAGCTTACTGACTTAGCCGTCCTCAAAGCTGAACAGATTTGGCGCGAACGTGGTGAAATAGATGCCGGTTACCTAAAGCATTCGATTTCTCAGCGCCGTCGCCAGCGTCGAATTCCACATCTGATCCACCCTTCCTCCGGCGATCTTTGCTCTTCCCCAGAGCAGATGATATCTGCGGCAGAAACCTTCTATCAGGATTTGTATTCTCCGGAGCCCACTGACCTTCGAGCGTTGAATTTCATGCGGTCTCAAATCCCAGAAGATCTACATTTATCTTCAGAAGACAGTTAATCAATTTGTGAGCCTTTTGATTTTGATGATCTCCTCACCCAGGCTTCTCATGCCCCACGACAAAGTAGCCCCGGGTCAGACGGTCTCACTTATAGATATCTTATGCAGATTTTACGGCATCCTCTTTACCAAGACTTGGCATTACAAGTTTACAACAATGCTCTGTCTCAACCTGTGTTCCCTTCTACTTGGCTTGATACATGCGTCGTCCTTTTACCGAAAAAGGATGACTTAAGATTGCTCAAAAATTGGAGACCTATTACTTTAATTAATTGTGATGCCAAGACCTTTACCCGCTTGCTTAACTCTCGCCTAGGCTCGATAGTGGGCTCTCTTATCTCCCCATGGTAGAGTGGTTTTATGAAGAATCGCTTCATCGCTGATAATGGAACTCTAGTTAATATCGCAATTGAACAAGTTTCCATAAGAAGCTCTGAAGAGGTTGATTTGCTCTGTGATCAAGAGAAGGCATACGATCGGGTCCATCCCCTTTATCTGAACACAGTTTTACAAAGGTTTCGATTTTCTTCCACTTTTATTAATGCAATTGACAAGTTGTTTTATTCCACTACTATGCGTTTGAATGTCAATGGGTTTATTTCTCCAGGATTCAGACTCGGTCGCGATTTAAGGCAAGGGGATCCCATTAGTCCTTTATTATTCAATCTAGTGCTGGAACCTTTTATTCGCTCCATTTTATTTGGTGGAAGAATTCATGGCTTTGATGGTCCTTCACCATCCCTAAGAGCACTTTCTGCACCAGTGCAAGGCCCTTCAACTCTTTCTCCGCTTAAGTCATTGGCTTATGCAGATGATCTTTGTGTTTTTCTTCGGAATCAGGAAGATTTACGAGCCTTTCAGGAGCTTGTACGACTGTACAATCTTGCTTCGAATTCAAAAATGGATGACGACAAAACTATTGCTTTCTCGCTTTCTGGACAACCGTCTCCTAGCTGGCGCACAATTCTTTTCACTGCAGACATCAGTCAGTAGCATGATCGCACCTCTGACGAGCCTCTGAAGTATTTGGGCTACCCGATAATCCACTCTCATTCGCAACGTCAGGTTTTCTTGTCTGATCTGGTTGCTAGGCTTAAGCGTAGCTGCGATATGCACAAATGTCGCAACTTGTCTGTACGTGGACGCGCGACCGTGTTGAATACACTTCTTCTCTCCAAAATATGACACGTGTTACGAATTACTTGGATTCCTAAGAAAAATTTGGATAAAATTACCTCCATCGGCCGCCAATTTGTTCAACATCATCAACTTCCCTATATCAGCTACAATGTGTTGCTTCAACCTACACAACGCGGTGGCCGTGGTCTTCTCGATCCTGCAATTCAACAAAGCCTTCTCGCATATCGATGGCTCACCTCGTTTCTGTTGTCTGAGGCTCCTTCAGCCATTGTGGCTACATGGATGTCTGCCCATATCTTAAGCACAGCTCCTTTTACTCTACCAGACGGTCGTTTGCCTTTCTTCTTCCCTTCCTTACGGCAGGGTCTATTGCATCCTTCTCGTCCCAGCCTTTGTTCGCTATGGTTCCACGCTTTTGACATTCTACCTGGTTTACAGAAGCATAAGCTTTCCTTGGGGACAGATATGTCACAACCCACTCCAATCTCAGCGTCTGTCTCTATGGTATTACCCCTCTCTGAGGTTATTGATTGGTCTTCTGAGGGTCCTTTGTTGCTCAAGCGCTCCTCCTACTCAAATATTCAGGTGCATCTCGTCTAATGCTGCCTTCTCAAATTGGCTTACATGATGGTACTTTGGGTCAAACCACCATCGATGATACAATTCTGCCGTTGGTTACCCCATTAGTCGATCGTCAGGCCCAGCTAATCCAGCCTTCTCACATGCGAAAGCTTATTCGTAAAGCATCCCTTTCACAGGCTAAAGAGCCCTCAGTCGCACTAGGTAATTCAATCAGGTTTTGGAAATCTTTTTGGCGCATGGATGTCCCTTTGCCGGCTCGAAACGTTTGGTTTCGCTTGATTTATGGTAAGCCACCTGCCGCTTCCAATCTACACAAGATCATTCCCTCTTTCTCTCCTTTCTGCCGTCTGTGCAATCGGGATTCGCCTTCAGGAACCACTTGTCATTTCTTAATTGACTGTAGAAAAAAGTATCTCGCTTGGAAGCTCATTTGGGCCCACTTCTTCCCTTTGTCTCCATGGTCACGTCTTGCACTACTGCAGGCAACCTTACATCTAAATTTCCCTCAACAGAATTCAGTGCAATCTCTTGATTCCTCTAGTATCTTTGAATGCAGCTTGTTGATGATATGGAAAGCACACTGGCGTTTTATTTTTGATTCTACGCCCTTCGTACCTACCCTGGTGCTTCAAGAAGCTATTCGAGTGGTGCAGTCGTTAGCTCCTCCAACGACTGACAACCTCAATTCTTCATAGTTAGTGTAGTATATTGATTTTATTTCCTTTTTTTACTTTATTTTCTTGTATTTCGATTTTCCTAGTTCACCACTGCCTTTGGTACGTGGCTTATAAATAAATAGAATTTGGCTTTTATGCCCCTACAAAAAAAAAGATTATTGTTCAACAACCAGCCCACGTTGCATGAAGAAGGCTACTGATTTGATTAGTACGAATCCTTTTAGCTGCTCTTCCTCATAATTCTCCTCCTTTTTCCTTTCTCTCTCTCTTTCATTACCATAGAAACGAATATATTCAAAAGAGAAGTGATAATGGATTTAAGTAATTTTCAGCTCGTTGAAACCATGAATGATATGAAATGCTGAGAAGCTTCTCTAATAATGATCAGCAATACTCTCAGAAACAATCCAATAGTACGAATAACTATGACCAGTTTCAGCAGGATATCACTTTCTTATTTCAATCTAATACACCAACCGCCTCTTCTCCTCACGTAAGTTTATTCCTTAGCTATCATCATGCTTCAAAAAATCATCTGGCCAATCATTCATCCCCTCATTACAGAGTAATATCTCACCAAATTTCGGATTGTTATGAACAAGGAATATTAAGCAGCATGTCTTTATAAACGTTGATAAAATTTATACCAAAGAAAAGATTCATAAGATATGCTCACGCCCCTCATTTCTCCAGCCATGACTCCTTCTTTTAGTTATCAATTACAACAGCAGCCATAACAACAGCAACAGCAACAAAATAATAAATCAATCAATTTTGGTAACTTGGATTTTTCTTCCTTGTCTTTCCCGCAATGCTCCCTCAATCAGATGGCTCTCAACAGTAAAAGCCTCGGTTTATGTCTGCAAATCAGATACGAGAGCAATACGAGCAGCTAGAACAAGCGAAATTATTAATCACTCAAAAATTGTCCAAACTACAAAAAAAGTAAGCTACCATACAATAAAACAATATGCAAATTGAAAGGAGAGGCGAATAAAAGTGCTATTTACTTTACCCTTGAGAATATAAATACGATTTATGTCATACTCGACAGTCAAAGGCACCAGAAATATCACTGTCTGACTGTCATTGCTTTGGTGGAAGATCATGATTTTATCCTCAAAGTCATATTTGTTATTATCTTTAATGCTCTTACCACTCAAAACCTTCTTCAGATCCTCCATATTTGTCATCAATCTGGCATAATTGATGCATACTAGGCTGGCATCCTATTGCCTATTACTCAGAAATTAAACAAGATGTATAAAAACGACCTTTACCCAAATGCGCCGACAATTATATCAAAAACTCATAGAGACACAATTAAGCCTATATCACTTCATGTATTGAATACCCATCGTTAGTTATCTAAAGACGATAGTGTGTAGTACACATTAGGGTTAGCAAACTTAATATTTTCATTGGTCAAAAACAACAGTCAAATCATCCTCCCGCTCTTTCTCTTTGAAGCCCAAGCGGCAATAAAGAATGACCATATTTTCCTTTTTTATTTAGAACAACGCCAACAAATACAATTAAATAAAGGAGAAAGTATGCGATAGAATGAAGACATTGACATTCAACAAGATCTGTCTACTTGCCTTTTTGCTTCGAGCGTGTTTGCTTGTCTATGGTGAATTCCAAGATGCCTACATGACTGTCAAATATACAGATATAGATTATGTTGTCTTTACTGATGCAGCACGTTTCATCACTCAGGGACAATCGCCTTATGCGCGTGAAACCTATCGATACACCCCCTTACTTGCCATCCTACTGACGCCCAATATTTATCTTTTTCGATCTTTTGGCAAATGTCTCTTTGTAGCTGCTGATCTCATTGTAGGCTACTTGATTCACCGCATCCTTCTTCTTCGAGGTATGCCTTCCAAACGCGCACTCTTCTTTGACGAGCTTTGGTTACTGAATCCTATCGTTGCTAATATTTCAACTCGCGGAAATGCCGAAAGTTTGCTCGGCTGCATGGTCCTTGGTACACTCTATCTCATGCTCCAAAAAAGGACACACTTTTATGGCGCCTGTGCCCTCTTTGGCCTCTCGGTTCATTTCAAGATATACCCAGTTATCTATGCCATTCCTCTCTTGGCCTTACTGGATGAGCACGATACAGTGCCTTTGCCTCGTATCATGCAAGAGTACCAAGTCATAAGGTATCGATGCATGTATGCGCTCAGGCAAATGCCAAACCCACTCTTCACCTTCCTCCACCATCTTCTCTCCTTCCTTTCACCCATTCGTATCCTCTTTGCCATTACTAGCGCAGGTACCTTCTTCATCCTGACTGGTCTCATGTATCAAAGGTAAAGACTACTTTTTTATGACAAAATGACCTTGTTAACAATCTATTTTTTTGTCTGGTATAGATACGGGCACGAGTTCTTGGAACACACTTATCTCTACCATGTCACCAGAGAAGATCACCGTCATAACTTTTCGATTTGGTTTTATCCTCTTTATTTAGGTATAGATCATAAGAGTCCATGGATGGGATTGATTGCGTTTATACCACAGTTAACACTTGTCACTGCTATTGGTATCGCGTTTGGAAAAGATATTTTCTTTGCATGTTTCCTTCAAACCTTTTTGTTTGTCACATATAACAAAGTGATTACATCTCAGGTAAACAAAAAGGAAAAGAATAGATAAATATATATAACAGATTGTATAGTACTTTATGTGGTATATTTGCTTATTTCCACTTATTTTACCATCTACCAAGATTCATTTGAAATGGAAAGGAATTATTCTATCAGCTGCATGGATAGCAGGACAGGTATATATAACATATGTTTATATAGAAGCAGCAGTCTGAACTCATATATTTACACATCTGTTATTCAAAAGGCTATTTGGTTAAACTATGCATATCAACTTGAATTCTTGGCTCAGCACACATTCTTTCAACTGTGGCTGTCAGGAAGCTTATTTTTCATAATCAACGCTTGGGTCATGACTGAACTCATTATGAATCATCAATATGAAACAATATTTAATACGAGTGATAAGGTGCGATGGGTTTGGGGAATGGGTGATCCAGGATCCAAGCGGCTTTAGCTTTATTTTTTTAATTTAGATAAATCTACTCTAACAGGAGGACTTGTTATACTCTTGGCCCATTTGACGAGATCTACTTTTTCTGTTGCAGCAGAGATTAAATATTCATGATTCTACAAAAAAAAAAAAAAGACGTCAAAACTCGATCATTTTCTATATGTTATCTCTTTTTACCATCAAATCATTGGGGGTTGCTCGTAATTTGACATCTTTTGTTAAGCTATAAAATATAAAATGAGTAAAGCATAACATGTATATCTGAATATATAATACCATTTAGCAACAAAGTCCGTCAGATCCTGTGGATATTTGTTAGGTGGGAATGTAGGCACAGGTTCATGTACAATGTGTTGAAGCAATTCAAATATAGATAGAGGTGTACCTTCAGGTGGAAATGGAAATCTTCCTAAAGCCAACTCCATAAGAGTAATACCCAAGGACCATACATCTGATTTGACAGAATAAGGTGAACCCATGATACGCTCAGGCTATAAAAATAATAAGACAATGTTTTTCATATACATAGTATATTGATCACCATACACTCATATATGAACTTGTACCAACAAACGTATCAGCTACTGAATTGATCAGCTGTCCAGAGACACCAAAATCACAGAGCTTGATTTGTCCTTGTGAATTAACCAATACATTCGAAGGCTTCAAATCTTATGTCTATAATGAGTATGTATCTCTCTTTCTTTTTGTTTGTTTTACCTCTATGAATAATACGATGTTCATCATAAAGATAGATCAAACCATCCACAATCTAAAACAGTCAGCTCAAGCTTACACTATGAAGAAGAAATGACTTACAGCGTAGCCTACTTTCTTCAGTACGTCTAATGGAAAAGGACCATGTTTTTTATAAATTTGATCGAGCGAACTAAAGAATAGATGAGTATGATATCCTTTTTTGTATATATAATATGTATATTATTTACCCAGCATCCATGTATTCCATACAAATCGAAATATCCCCTCCATTCATAAAAGCACCATAAAAACTAACAATGTGTTTTGAATTACAGTCATGCATAAACTGTAATTCTCGCATAATCTGCTTTCGTACATTCATATTGGCATCTATGTGAACAATCTAGTGTATTTTATTATTATTATTAGAGACTTGTTAAAATAAGATGGTAGCTTTACCTTTTTGGCCATCACAGTATTTGTTCTCACATGTAATACTTTACTAACGGTCCCGCCGTTCCCTCTTCCTAATTCGTCAATGGTTTGAAAATCTTCTGGACGTAGATCCAATCGTAGTTCAAGACCAATTTCTAATTCACTTAATTGTTCATATAATTGACTGTAATCAGATACATCTGTATTTGTTCCTATAGTTGATCCTTTTTCTGCTGTACTAGCGGTTGATGGTTCAGATGAAGAATTGACGACAACAGGTGAATTCTGTAGTGTCAAGTTTTTGAAGTTTCTTTTCTTTCTTAAAGGCATTTTTGATAACATTTTACTTTTTATAAAGAGAAAAATAATATAAAGTCAATAGCAGAAAAAAAAAAAAAAAAAAAAAAAAAAAAAAAGGAGAGGAGAGATAAAAAAGAGGCACAGAGGAAAGAACTGAAGAGTGGAAGTTACAAAGGTCCGTTTTCCTATGACACAAAAAATAACTTCAAGCCCAGACTATTAAGCTTCAAATTCAGACACTTCTTTTGCCTTTTTTGGATAGATCAGAATTAAAATGTAGGGTGGCATTATGATTGGCCGGCTGCCAAATCAAGTCAACTCTTTGGCCATTGATTTTACATGATTCGTTTACAGCATTTTAACAAAAAGGCTTTGCAATAATTCAAGTTGCATATTTTAATTAACTAAAAGACTAATGAAAAATAATGTACTATTCGTTTTATACTTGGCGAGGTATTAAGCAATGCACTGCCGTTATGGACAGCGCATTAAATCCAGGAGCACCGTTAGTCCTTTAAAGGTCTTGATTTGTAAACAAAGATGTGGTATATGTTTTATACGCTGATAATGTTCACCATAGATCTGTAATGCATGAAGGTTGCCTTTGATACTTTTATTACTGGCTCGTTCCTCGGCAAACACGATACTACAGCCTAGTAACGTGAATGCAAAAGTGGCATTATACTGACGCGGTTTTGTCCTTGAACTGACATTCTATAGCGTTTGTGCGAGCGAATATGTCTTACAAGAGCCGATGTGACTGTGTCAGGAGTGACAGTTGAACTAAATGCTGCTTACAGCATGATTTCCAGACAGGGTTGCTTGAGAAGACTTCTGTTGTTGTCTTTCATCTATCCAATGCAAAGCGGGGCAGTTTGGAAATCCTTTCCTGTATGCCCTAGAGTCCAAAGAACGAAGGCGGGAAAACCGCGAGATATAGGCAGCAAGGTCTGATCTGGGCTTGCCTCTGGATCTACTTTCAACATCAACATACTCCACTATTTTTCTTGGCCTGCACCCAGACCTAGCAGCGACGCCATCTTTTTCTTGTTGATCTTCGATACGATGTTTGCGTCATGATATCGCCACTCAATCTCTTCATGTGTAGCAAGTACAATAAGCCGAGTTGCTTTCCAAACTCATGCCACAGGCGGAGCAGTTGGCTGGGATTCGAGTGGTAGCGTTGTTCACTATTATTATTATATTCTAATTTTATTTTCAAGAATTGTATACGAATGAAAGCCTCTGCTACTACACTGCAAATGGAAAGAAAGCTAGTGCATAGGTGCGATGTTTGACACGAAAGATAAGTCGAATCATGCGACATTACATATTTTCCGGCGTACTGACTGATTAATTAATATCTCATATAGCCACTTTTGGCATCGATTACTGCTTGTCGTCGATTGTGCATATTTTCAACTAATGTCTTTTTAATCATATTGCAGTGCAACCTTCAATTGATTATTTCGAAATTCATTTCCATGACGCGCTGTTCAATGACCCACGATAAATATTTAGTTGAATTTATATCAGGACTTTTTGAACGGACCAATACTCAAAACCACTTTCCCCTAATTTGATGGGTTTCCCTTCCACCGTTGTAACGTAAACGTTGATATGGTAACTGAAGCTATCTTCTTAAAAAGTCCACATTCTCCTTCTCTACAAGTCTTTGTACCAAAGGATAGAAGTGCTGGACCGAAATGTTGCTGCATGTGTCTTCATTAATGGGCACTATCAATGACGAACATCTGTTCGAAGCCAGTCCAAAATCGTATCATCATAACCTTTATACTTTCTGGTTGAAATTATATGGACTCTTCTTTTTGATAATTCTTATTCTGTCATCACTAGCCTTGGATAGAGAAGCGTGACTTATTGGACCATATAATGCATCTTCGCCTATTCATCGCCCAGTTGATGTGCTGTTTTAGCTCCAACGGATATCTCTCTCTCTTCGCATGTTCTTATTTAAGCATTGGTTCAAGAACAGTAAGGTAATAGTCAGAAACCGCTCTTTTTTAAGCAGTTAAATATAATAGCACGACAAACAAGAATGTCAGTTGTGGTCAATCTCAGATCGTCATAGGACAAGAACGGACTCTGCAGACACTATCTAGCAAAGTCATTTAAAAAACTCTTTTGTCATGTTTATACTGTGTTGTAAAATTAGTTTGAATTTACAAGATAGAACGATCTGAATAATACTTCTCTTTGATATATTGATATAAATCACAACAGGTCCTGAGATGACATGATTAATAACAATCTCAGGACCATCCTAAATGTCATTCGCTGTGACCGTACCATTACAATTTCAGGTGACTTTTTCGTTATTATTTTACATTCCGAATAGCGCATTTTGTAACATAAAACGGCATTCTCTCTTCCTTTCTTTCTTTCTTTCTTCCCTTTTTTTCTTTTTTCCTCTCTTTCCTTTCCCCCCCTTTTTTTTGTTTTGTTTTGTTCTTCTCTTTCTCCTTTTTAACAAATTTATACCCTTTTTTTCATATACATTTCATATTTTATAAACATTTATTTAATCATGCAAGAAGAAAGTTCAAATGGACTTTTTACGACATCCATTCAAATAACACAAGTTCATCCTAAAGAATGTGATTTGAATGATCAGGTAAACAAAAAAGCTGATATGAGAAACAAACATCAACTCATTAGTCTATATATAAGCTATGTTATCCATTATACCAGCGTTCACGTAAACGGTCTGTGTCTAATACAACAACAACAACAGAAACAACAAGTTCCTCTGAACATAACAAAAGACCTAGACTGAATAAACAAAACGCATTATGGAAGTTACCAAATATGCTAGAGACATTTGAATCATTTCCACCTTCATTTCAAACCGACTTTATATTACAACTCTTGAAGAAGTCAAGCAAGAGTACACTTCAATTGGTTAATGCATGGATGACACCTGCCATGAAACAAGACTTTATATCCAATTTACCACTCGAGATATCACGACGCATCCTCAGTTACCTTGATGCCTTTTCACTTAGTAGGGCATCCTGTGTATGTAAAAAGTGGAAAAATATTATTGATCATGATGATACGTCATGGATGAACCTGCTCTTACGAGACGGCTATACGCTCATTGATCCTATCACAAAGACTCGACAAGCATATAAAGTAGCTTATAGTCGATACAAAGTGCTCTATGCCAGACATCATACATTAAAGCAGAACTGGAAGAAAGGAAGAGCAGAGAGGAAGAGTTTCGAGGGCGTTGAAAAGTTTGTTGTGACCTGTTTACAGTTTGATGACGAAAAGATTGTGTACGGCGCAGATAATGCTCACGTTAGCATCTATGATACCGAGACAGGCAAAAAGAGAATGACACTAAATGGCCATGGAGGAGGTGTGTGGGCACTTCAGTATGTGGGTAACACACTAGTGACTGGCTCAACTGATCGTACTGTTCGAGTCTGGGATATGGAAACTGGTAAATGCACCCATATTTTCACAGGCCATACTTCAACCATTCGATGTTTACTTGTTACAAAACCTACGGACGACTGTCCGGCTATGATTGTCGCCGGTTCTCGTGACTCTACACTGCGTGTGTGGAGGTTACCTGACCCTAAGGATGAAGCGGGTCATTATTATGGCGAGGGTGTAAACCCTTACTTTGTTCATACCTTGATGGGACATAGAGATTCGGTTCGCGCCGTTGCGTCGCATGAACATATGATTGTCAGCGGCAGCTACGATAATACGGTCCGTGTATGGGATATTCGAACAGGTCGATTGGTTCATGTGTTGGAAGGACACCTTCAGAGAGTGTATTCAGTAGTGATTGATCCTGATAGAAATCGATGTATGAGTGGAAGTATGGACTATCAGGTTCGTATCTGGGATCTCAATACAGGAGAATGTCTCAAACGTCTCGAAGGGCATTCTCATCTGGTGGGTCTGTTGGGACTGACGAATCAGTATCTTGTATCTGCAGCCGCTGATACAATGCTCAGAGTGTGGTCACCTGAAACAGGAGTATGTCAGCATGCATTATCTGGTCACGGCAGTTCGATAACATGTTTCCAACATGATGATGAAAAGGTGATTTCTGGTTCAGAAGGCGGATTAAAGATGTGGGATATCAAGACAGGCAAGTTCGTCAGAGATTTGATTACAGATGTAGAATGTGTCTGGAGAGTAGCCTTTGATGAACGACGATGTATTGCAGCTGTATTAAGGTAAATAATTTGGCATCATTTTCACTTGTGTACTTACTGTAACAGTAGGCAAAATGTAACTTATTTTAAAATACTAGACTTTGGTGTTTACAATTTATAACTACCTTTCTTTTTTTTTTCTTCCATCCCATCTCTTTTTGATTGGATAACCGCATCTCTTTTTTATAATTAAACCCTTTTTTATGCATTAAAGAAAGAAAACAGAAATATAAATGTTTGTTGCATTGAGTTGTATGTGAAAGAAGAAGTGTTTTTTGGTTCCTTTAAAAATATGAACAAAAAGCACTTCCGATGGTATCCCAACCCCAAAAGAAAGGAACTGCGGTGTTGGCTCATAATAAATGAGGAATTGTTTATCTTTCTTAATTTCTGAAAAGTATTTATACATCTACAGAGAGACATCTAAACTGTCCCTTATCAAAGAAAGAAGTCAGTTTATTACAAATATGAATGCTTTCCAAGGAAGAAAGCCATATCCTCATACCGAAGAAAAGGCATAAGAAATAGCTTTCCAGTAAGACAAAAAAAGAGTAAGGTCAGCACCGTCGCTAAGGGCCGTGGTAGTTTGACGGTCCGAAACAAGGTCACTTGAGCGGTAACAGCAATGCCATGCACCATAAAGAAGCAAAACTGCTCAAACGTCATTTGCCTATTAACGATGGTCATAATAATCTCATGCATAGAGGCACTGAAGTAAAACACATACAGTCGCTTGTTGACACCTCGATCGTTAGCTGTATACAGGTATTTGATAAACAAGTTTCGAACAATTGAATTCCAACGACGGCTCCAGAAATCTTTGGGACTTGCATACACCGAAATGATTAATTAAAGATATTCCTTATTGTTGTTGTTATTGTTTACCTCGTAGCCAAGAATGGCTTATCAAATGGTTCTAGCAGGTCGATGCCACAAGCAGTTTGAATAACAGAAAGAGAAACTGTGCTTGCGTTCATTAAAAGATAGCCTTTAAATCCCATTAGAAAAGTATAGTACACGCTTGAAATAGAGTACCATGGATACTGAAAGAGTGTCTGCGGAACTTCTGGTAGCAGTGGATTGATCACATAGCGACAAATCGCCAGCCCGAAAAGAATACGCAATAGTCTTTGAACACCCCGGCGACGAATCTGATCTCCTTGTGGGTCAGTGGCCATACATTCGATAAAAGCTGTTTTAAACCAGGCTGTCAATGTCAATGTTCGCTTGTATTTTTCAGCTACATATACACCCGCAGATGTAATCAACCAAGGAACAGCTGTATAAAAAGTAGTCCATCCTTTTGTACGAGGTGCGACCACAATTGGCATGAGGATATGAAAGGTGGCAAGCCACAATTTATATTTATGATAGGGTATTGATGTACAACAACAGATGAAATAGTCTATAAGAATGCATCCAATATAAATACAAGCAAGTGCGAGATGGTTTAAATGAAATATAGGCCCAGGTATAGGAATATGGATGTAGGGAGCCATAGAGGCTGCGATGACCATCCTTGTAATTAAAAGGTAAAGAAAAGAACCATTTCAATCTCAGCCAACGTTTACTTTTAATGCTCAGCAGCATGAGCTTCTTTTTTAATAAAAAAAAAAAACAAAAAGGGAAAGGGGTATATGCACAAAGGGATCATCAGTTTACAGTTTGTAAAGTTCTATAGAACTCAGTAACGCGAGGATGAGCCATAACCTTGGCAGGATCAAAGTTAAGGATCTGCAGTCTTTCAAGAGATGTTGCACGCGATAAAGCAACATAGGCTTGTCCTTTTTCAAACACCTTTCCTAAATCCACCTTAACACGATCTAAAGTCTGTCCTTGACTTTTATGTATACTGATAGCCCAGGCCAGCATTAATGGAATCTGTGAACGAGAGGCAAGCACTTTACCACCAGGCAGTTCAAATGACCACTTTTCATATTCTAACACCAACTCTCTTCCGCTCGAGAACCGAACGACTGGATAGGGCGTCTTCATGTCAAGCTTTCCGTCATTTGTAGAGTCAATGTAACTATCCTTTTGACGCTGTGGTGTACGTAATGACTGCACTGTCGCATACTTTCTGTATTCTCCTCGACCAACAAAGCCGACGACAACACCCAATGAACCATTGACTAGGTCACCATCAATATTTTTCAGGAGCATGACTTGAGCATGCATCTTTAGCTGTATTACCTCAGGTGCTAGACACTGTGATACTTTGTTTTTATCTCCCTGATCGATTGCTTTGAACTCAACCGTATCTCCACGGAGCGCTTCAAGACGCAATCGGTTGGAGGTTTCCACTTGGTTTCGTAAAGGGTATCTAATATGAACAGTTAAATATAATTCATACAAGAAAAAGAAAAAGAAAAAAAAAAAAACTTACAGCTCAGTGGGCTCAATTTCATCATTGCCTGCTGGTTTGCGAGAAAGTGATTTGAATATCCTAATAGCTTCATCAGATAAATGTCCCACACGCATCTCATTCAATATCTTCACAAACGCTACAAAGGAGAAGGTCAGTCTTTTCTTTTAAAAAGATCATTCGTACCTTCATCCTTTTGTCTAAACACTTGTGTTAGCATGACAGTTTGCTTAATTACTGTTGACCAAGAATTAGCCTCAAAGGCAAACCTGGTTAGTCGGTTCGGATTGACAGGAGGTAACTGGAAAAAGTCACCACAAGCAATAACTTGGATGCCACCAAAGGGCAAAGTTGACTGACGAAGACGTCTTGCGATTTCTTCCAATTTATCAAACAGTTCTGCATCTACCATAGAGACTTTTATAAAGATTAGAATGGATGTCTTTTTATGTAGCAGAGAGAGAGCCTTACTTTCATCAATAATCAATACATCTGTCTTCTTCCATCGCTCGTAGGCTCTTCTGTTGTCATACTTGATTTTATCGACTAATATATCTACTCTATCATTTCCTATGCCAATGCCACCAAAGCTACAGGCGCATGAGCATATTTATTTAAAATGATATCTATGTTTTCTACCTGTGTAAAGTACAGCCATTGATATTACAGGCTGCAATACCTGTGGATGCTGTCACAGCCAAACCCGCTCCGTACCGTATACTCATTTCGTCAATAATGGCTCTCAGCAGGACGGATTTACCTGTACCTGCACTTCCTGTAAAGAACAAGCTCTTCTTATCGTGCAAGACCATTTCCAAAACACGCTGCTGTTCTGAGGACAATGTGGGTCTATACTCTACTGATGCTATAGATTGAGATAGTGCAGGGCTTTTGGATGTAACGCGACTGCCTTTAGTTCTTGACCAATTGTTTTCGGATATCTTGTTGGGTAAAATACGTCTTTTGTTAAAATAAGGCGGATCATTCTCGCCATCATCTTTTGGTGCTGTATAAAGTGAGATATTTGGTCTTTTCAAATCTGAGGTGTTTGTTGAGCTGTAAGGCGCATAGTTTGAGCTGTACGGTTTCACATCGTTAGGGCCAACCCAGTCGTATCTTACTGACGCTGTCTGTCGTCTGACTGGTATAACCTTATCCAGTGGCATAACAACAGATGGCGTAGAAGTGCTCTCTTGGCTGGATCGGAGGGGTCCTCGTCTGCTGTCGATAGGTGCCCACGCTTTTCGATTGTATTTACTTGTGTTCTTCATGCCTTCACTATACTCTGTCGAATGAAAGGAGCCCTGGCTGCTGGTTGGTGAATCGTCTGTGGTGAGGTCGACCCACTGCTTGTCACTGTCAGTACTTGTTGTCAAGTCAATAGTTTGATGTTGAAGTGTATTGGATTTTGTTGTTGTAAAGGAAGAAGTGATGATGCACGATTTGGTAGATTCAATCCTTTGAACTGTTGTTGATTGACGCGCAATAACAGAAGAGAGTGGCTCTGACTTTTTTGGCTCACTGGTCTTCTTAAAGTAATTGAATAACGTGTTGCCATTGTTATTTTTCTTTCGATCTGTTGACTTCTTCATGATTGAAATTGATGTTAAAAAGTGGACAATCCATTTAACCAAGACCTATTGAATAAAATAAATAGTCACATTAGAGGTCACTCAAAGAGCGCGCGTTAAACGCGATGAAATGATTTTTTATAATGGCCGCACTGGGCGTACAAAGAAATAAAAAGAGGTAGACGTGAAAGAGAAGGAGACTGGCCATACAGCTTCGTCAGTCTCTTTGTGATATTTATTCTTTGAGTGATCTCAAGAAGTATTATAGAATAAATATGGCAGTAATGATGATAATCGTGGAAACAACGATGACAACAATGATAGTGGTAATGACAACAACAGTGGTAACAGAATAGCAATGGTGATGGTAATAGCTACAGTGATACATACCGTCAACTGACAACGGCTTACCATAAAATAAACTGCCCATAAGCAAATGAAACTTTAGCCAAGGCGATGTCACCGGTGAGTATCAATAGGGCCATCTTATTTATATTGATCACTATTCTCTCAACCATCCTGAGGCTTTTATGGTCCACACATTAACAGCACGTTATTCAAAACACTCATTCCCCCCTTTTTTTTATTTTTATCAAAAGCGTCACACAAGTGTCCATTGCTCAAATAATCTAGACATACCACTATGCAACGTATCGCTCAAAGGTAATTTAAAGAAATCACTATACACAAAATGGAAATACGCTCTAAATATGTTTACATGACACAAGAAATTGTAGTTGATCATAAAGTTCTGCCTCGCTGTCAGATTCATATAATAAGCTCAAATGTAAGGAAAGGCGTGTAAACCGATATCAAATTTCTACTTGAAAAGCTTTGGTGTTGGTATCTAGGCTTCTTGACTCACTGATATTAAAAACCATATATGCCTGTCAATGATCCATTCATAGACTGGAAGCGTACCTTTTTTGAAGCTGATACTACTTTTTCAAAATTATAGGATAAAATCTTGTTGAAAGTATGTTTCAAGGACATGGTCTAGATCTACAAAAAAAAAAAAAAAAAAAAAATCAGTCGAGCCGCACAGGATGTAACCAATACATCCTCAATGCATGATCAAATAAAGCAGCAAAGAAACGGAGATTTACATCCACGCGACAATTGGTTTCAATGTCCTCACAGACATTTTATTTTTAGACACGCATTGTTCTTTTGCATAAAGTCAACCACATACTTTATATAGTCAAGGATTTCTATTGGCTAAAAAGCTGTAAATTAAAAGAAACTGTAATCTGAAGCATAAAGGTTACTATGATATCTTTAAACCTACACTAAACTTTTTGCATTAAGGAATGATATTGTAGTTACTCTCATATGTCTACAGTCAGGGAGAGCAAAAATGTGCATATATAGACACTCTTTTGAACTTTATGCCTCATGCTTCTCCTTCCTGCAGCCATGGTCTGATTTTTTGATAAAGTTTCAAGGAGTCAAACCTTTTTATTAAAAGACAGAAAAAAAAAGCAAACATGACCTGACATCCTAAACAGTCCAGACTTGTTCCATAGACTCTTGCATAAGTAGATAAACTTTATTCTCCTGCTCAATTGACACTGGTTTCATGGGATCAACTAGATCTAATGTGGGCTGAGGTATGACAGGAGGTGGAGGCGGCTGAGGCATAACAGATGTAGGAGGTAACATGGCAGATTGGGTCTGTGGCTGATAGCTAGAGAGATAATGAACGCCTGGACCCATATTAAGCTGTGTTCTACCAAAGGATAATCTTAATTTAGCTCCTCCCAGATGTGATCCATTCAATTCTGCGATAGCTCGTTCTGCTGAGACACGTTTTTCGTATTGAATGAATGCGATATTCTTTAATGGAATAATCTTTACGGCTATAATACTTCCATAAGCACCAAAGTAAGCACGCAGTTCTTCTTCAGTGATCGTATTGTTCAATCCACCTACGAATACAGTCGTAATTTCCTCAGGACCATTGACCACAGTACCCATCTCAAACTTTGCTCGTGGCCTAGCAACGGATACACGGATACGAGATGCGCCAACATAAACACCTTGCATTTCTTCTAGACTCCGTTGTTGTTCACCCTCATCAAAAAACTTGACAAACCCAAATCCACGAGAGAAACCTGTTGCAGGGTCGACCATCACCTTGGCTGAGGCGGCAGATTTGTATCTACTTTGAAAAGCTGCCAAGAGAATATTATCGTCCACATCAGCGCCCAAGTCACCCACGAATATACAGTAATCTCCCAAAAAGTTTGCCATCAGCGTAGGTCTAATGAATGTGAGCAATAAGTTGCTTGTTTAAAAAGATTTACCTTTGAGGTAGAGGCATACCGTTGCCATCTCTATTCGACCAGTTTAATTTAAAGATTTTATTCGTGTTTGGAATCTGTGTACCATTAAACGAAATCAAAGACTTGCTTGCTGCTTCGTGAGTTGTAAAGTCAATAAAGGCATAAGTCCCACCATATTTATCAATACTGATACGACAAGTCACTTCTTGACCCATACTCCACCATAACTGCCGTAAATAATTGTCGTCCATCCAAGGATCTAATTCACCCATCCTTTTGACATGAGTTTTCATATTTTATATTTTCTCGTGTAATTACCATAATGTACGCGTCGGTGGTCCTTCAAAAAAAGTATTATTATTTGTTGTTGTTGTTGTAGTAGTAGGAGGAGGAAGGGTAGGAGTCGTGTTATTTGTTGTTGTAGAAGGAGAAGTAAGGGTAGGGGTAGCTACTATTGAATTGGTGTTTGTGGCACTATTGGACGTATAAGAATAAGCCATGAAAAAAAAAAATACAATTAAAACCGATCGATACAACCAAAATGGCTTTGCATTAAAAATTCAAGCTTATTGGTGCTTTTAAATTCAGCTGTTACCAAGGTATCGGAAACGTACAAAGCTGTCTTAAAATTAGATATTTCCTAATTTGGAAAATATAACGAATTCGATAAAATTAACAAGGTTTTTGAAAGGTTCGAAAGAGGTGAATTGGATTTAAAAGAAGGAGAAGAAGGAAAATAAAAGAAAAATAGAAATTGGATTCTATTTTAAGGAGAAGGGGGGAGGGACAAGATGCCCCAAAAAGAATAAGCATATAAAAAGTACAATAGACCGAGTTAAAAAGAGGGGATTGGCTGTATAGAATGACATGATTATTGCAGGAACCAATAAGATTAACATCCTTATTCCCCCCTTTTTTTCACTTTGACACATTCTAAAATGACCTTCCCGCTGTTTCCTTTTATGTAACAATAGCCTGTTCAACATTGCAGATTATAACTCTATTATAACTCTATTATTGTTTATTATCGATCGATATGTATTTTTATGAATCCTTTTGTCTGAGACTTAAATAGATCAATTCACATAAAGGCATAAAAATTCTTTATTGTCAAACCTTAAAGCCGACGATCCCATTTTTTTTTTTAGTATTAAAAAGCCATTCTGACCCATTAAAGCCCCATTCCCTTCCTCCTCTTTCTCTCTCTCTCTTTTTTCTTTTCTTTTTTTTGTATTTTCTTAAATGTCAAAAAAGAAATTTACTGAATACCAGTTTATTGATGTCAATGATCCTGAAAGATTTAAAAAAATTAAAGTTATCAGAGCTTGTGATTTTTGCAGAAAACGCAAATCAAAGTAATCCAATTACAACTATTTTGATCTATTATATACTAACTTCTTTCATTAGATGCGATTTAGCTGTGCCTGGTGCAGGCATGTGCTCAAACTGTAAAAAGGCAAATATCAATTGCGTATTCTCTCCTTCAGATATAAGATCAAAAAGACAATTATTTACACAAGATCCTCTCCAACGATTCTATCAGCACTACCTTAAACAACGTCCTAATCTTGCTGTCGATAAAAAGGGCCAATGCACTTTTGAGAAGAGCGTTAGTAGCGTCTATTCTCATGTTACCATGACAACGAGTGAAGATCATATTTCTACTCAAATGGAAAGTGAGCTATTTGACGCTTACTTTGCCTTTGTTCATCCATTTTACCCAGTTCTTGACAGGTATGAGACGATGCAAGCCATTAAGCGCCAACCGTCTAACCTACCACCTGCTTTGAAATCCACCATCTTAGCTCTTGCTCTTCGCTTTTATTTGCCATCAAGTACACATGCTGTCGCAGGATCCTACTATCAGCACGCTATTACTCAATTTGATCATGCAGTCTGTCTTTCAAATATTCAAACTTTGTTGCTCATGTACAAATATCAGGAAGTTGTTACACCTGTTGGAACTCCGCTTTCGATGTCTGCCATTAGTCATTTGAAAACAGCTAAACTCATGATGGATCAGCTCGTGGCAGATATCACAGTACCTTGGACATTTGAAAACGAGCTCATCTGTCGAGCATCCTGGGTTTGGTATATCAATGTTGCCTTTTCGAATCTCGCTGATACCCGTTTCAAGGACATGCTTCAGTTTGCGATCCCTCCTACCCGCTTGCCCTCTCTTACTGAAACAGAACAGTACGACAAGACAAGCTTGAACATTATCTGTAACTTTTTGCATCTTATCAGCCTAGCCATCATCTATGCTCAAACCATTTGCTTCATATCGAGTCACTCCTCGCTCTTTTACAATGCAGACTGCCCAGAGATTGCCGCATTTGCGAACCAATTGGAAGCGTGGCATAAGGCCCTACCGAACCATCTTTTCATCTCTCTCTCAGTCAATCCTGTTCCTCTCTATACCACACATGATTCAAACAACGCAATGATCAATGATCAGTCCAAAACGGAGGCTTTTGCTGCTTACCTCGGTCTCATCCGTGACAGTCTCGAGCTTCTGATCGCTGTTCACACCCGCCCGTTTACTGCGTCCAAAGTCGCTCTTAATCTGGCCTCAAGAGCATACAGTCTGACTCTCGGTGACGTTCATCCCGCCAATTACTCTCGTCTAGCTGCAATACAAGGAAGTCGTTTAATTGTCTACGGCTTGACGCTTGCTCTTCAAGTCCTACAATACGATACACAAGAAACAACCAGGATAGGGCCTATCGAGAGCATGGCCATCGATATCTTCAACACCATCTCGGTATCTTCCAAACTAACAGTTGGCATTCAGTCGCTCAAGGAAGAAGAAATAGCTCGAAAGTCTCTGAGAGATGACGACTATGCTATCTCTGATGACACACTCTATTGCGATACAGGCTTTCCGTTACCAACACAGCTTCCTCCTCTACATAGCAAACCCTTCTATCCCACAAGCACTCCTTCCTTTGAAAGATCATTGTCTTCGTCATCATCATCGGGTATTAGCCCGGTTCAGGAGCATCACCACTCATGGACAAGCTATCAATGGGAAAATGGTAATTACAATGTAGACCAACAAGACCATTTCCAACACGATTCCAAAACCATGCTTTCTCAAGGGACGGGCGCACCTCTCACGCCTAGAGAGGAATTCATAACACCAACCGTGGTAGATGACTACCTTCAGCCAAGACAAAAGGACACGAGCATTCTGGTAGCTCCTATGCCTTTTGATATAATCAATCCTTCTTTCGAATTGTTCCCTCTAAAGAGCTGTAGACATCAGCAGAAATACATCTAGGCTCTTTTTCCCCCTATTTTTCTTCTATGATTATATTTATGCCAATCTATTTACCCCCTTTATCACCCTTTAATGTTTTTATATGTATATTGTTGTTGCACTGTGTATATAAGGCATTTTTTTATATGTAAACATAAAATTATACGTTAATATGTAGATATATATCCAAATATGTCCTATTTGTCTTTATGCGGATTTATGTGTTTTTTTTTTTTATATTATTGAATAAAGAAATGCTACTATGGTTTTTTAAAGTTTGGAAGCTTGAATATAACTCAAATTATCACGACGATGAAGTATATCAAATACCAGTTTCTATTTTAAAGAATGAGTTATGTACTAAGAAAGTGACGTAACTTACGGTTAATTGTGCGCGTTGAGCTTCGTCATGATTAATTGGGTTCTTTTGTACTGCTTCCCACAAGGCTTCATATGCACGGCCATCATATCTGCCAAGAGCAGAGTTAAGTTGACGATCAGAGAATCCAAAGGCATCTGTGAGAGGTATAGCATCCTTGGCAATAGAAAGTATAGTCTGGTGATATGCCTGCTTGATTGTGATCAATTCTAATGGAGAAACTGTGCTAGTGGCTAGGAAAGTGGCAGAGGTAGCTAAATGATGCAAGCAAAACTATATATATATATATATAAACAATTAGCAGGGCGGCTATAATAAAAACATCTGTCTTACGAGATCGGTTAAGCGCTTCAACACATCGCCCAAGGGAGTCGGTTTGGCTTGTTGAGCTTTTTGAATCATTGAATGGGCGACAAGGTACTCTGCATGTGCGAAGTTAATGTCCCAGCACTCGACACTGACTTCAGACCAAGACAGGCCTGCCTGTAATTGCTGAGCCAACTGACGGACCAGCCTTGCAGATCTCGCCTTGAACAAAGCCAACTGAACATTAGGGTCCAACAGCTGCTCATGGCTCTTGATGGGCAATAACTTTACATCTTCCTTTACGTACGCTGCGGTGCTGTAGACTTGTTTCTGACTGGTTAACTGCTTGAGCAGGAATCGAGCTACCTGTTGTGATAAGACATAGTTATCTCCTTCATAAGTATTAGAAGGCACGAAGGTGGCAAACATATCTGCTACACCGCTAAAGATGGAATAGCCGTGTCCTCCCATAGCTTTGCGGCATTCCTCAATACCGTCCGTCGATCGACGCGTACCCCAACTCTTGAGCGCACAGGATGTCGCGTGCACCTCGGGCAACGACTGGGCCTCGCCTATCTCCAATTGTTTGGTCAATGCTTCAAATTGGCCGTACAAGTCCTTGCTTGTGATATAAATGCCATATGCGATAGAAATCAATGGCATCAAACGGTGTTGCACAGACGAATACTCGATCACTGGAGTTTCGAGGTTGGGTCCAAATTGACGGCGCACCGTACAGTAGCGTGTCGTGATTGTCGCAGCCTTGGCCAACTTGAGCCCAGCGTCCGCAAAAATATCGACACGAAGCTTGACCATACCACCATACGAAAGCTTATCATGAACAGGAGCCACATACTTGCCTTGCCGTGTTACTTGAGCAAACTTCATCAACATGTTGTCTCGCGGGATTCGAACATGGTCAAAGATGGCAACTATATACATGGGTTAATTTTAGACTCTTTGAAGAGTCCGCATCACCTACATCCGTTATCCATCGTCGCAAATCCTCCATAAGCCTTGGGACCTATATCACCTACAGTTATGCCAGGAAGTGGTTTGTGATCTATAGGTGATCGAATGGGAACAATAAACAGGTGAGGTCCATAAGATTTATTGGCAATCACAAGTTGAGCCTATAATTCGGGTTACATTTTCAAAAGTAATGTCAACCTGCTTATGGTCCTACTTGTACTACAGCATGGGTGCTCACAACACCTAGTCCACCGATCCACCATTTTGCAGCCTAAAAGGAAATATGAGCAACATTCACATGTTTTTCTCCGTTTTATAACTTGCTGTTAAGTCTGGAGTATGAATAATGAATTCCTCTGTCTTTTCATCAAATAAAGCAACTGTCTTTAGTCCTGCCACGTTCGATCCATGACTGTTTCCAAAAAGAAGGTAAACCAAACAAAGCAAAAAAAAAAAAAGGGAAAACTAACCTTAATTCAGTTTGTGCATAACACCCAATGATTGCAAGTCGTTTTGCTGGATCATACCATTTTTTAATCTGTTCTGGTGTACCTTGTGCTTGGATAACAGACATGAAAGCAGAATAGTGCAGAGAAAGCTGAAGTAACAGAAAATGTTACAAAAAAGGAAAGGTGTCTCTATGGTTACTTACAGGGTTGAGCATATCAACATATAACACCAAGGCACTAAACTCTTGCTGACTTAAATGATGCTCTTCTTCTAATTCAATCAATCGTTTTGCCATCTTTAATGAATGGGCCAATTGCTACAAGCAAATACATTAGTCCCCCTCTTTTATAATTACTTTCTTGGTTTACTTCGGCCCTATTTTTAAAATGCATAGGAAACTTGTCAAATACAGGTTCACTTTCTGCAATCTTTTTCGCTTTTTGGTTTGCATCATATGAATTATTTAACAGTAACTTGTTCATGTCTTGAATTCTAAAGGAAGCACTTTGACGTGCTTTCTCCACATCAATCGACATTTGCTTCAAGTAAAGATTATTATCCGTCATGAAAAATATAAAGTAAAGAAAGAAAGAAAGAAAAAGTTTATTTTTTCCCCTCTCCTTGTTTTGTGTTTTCACATAGTTACATAATGCATCAAGTGGATGTAGTAATTTTATGAGTGACTGTCCACTGGTAGTAATACAATAATGCTATCGTGGGTTGTCCGACAACACAAAACACAATCCTGCAAGAAAAAAGAAATGAGAGAAAAGTCATATAATAATAAACTGAGATTACCAAAAGATAGTATTGCCTAATGCTGTTCCTTTTCCTCTCCATTTTTCCAAAGGACGCGTAATGGCGATCAGGGGAATCTGACCAAGCATACCCCAAAAGGCAAATCCGGTGATCGAGTGAGTAGGGATACCTACTAAGAATTCATGCAAGACGGCCGAGACAAAAAAGACAATAAATTGACAGAGGGCTGGGGGCATACCGAGCTGAACTGAGGGTATATAGACATGACGCTTGAAAAAAAGATAAACTGGACGATTCCATAATCGCCAGTAAGTAGCCAAGTTGCCCGAGTTCCACCAGGCGAGATAAAACGTACGATCACCAAACCGCAATACTTCACTCAGGGCATTCAAAAAAGCATGAAAGAGAGCATAAAACATCAGCAGCCAGATGACCACAGCAGTTGTTGACAGTTTCAAGACACGCTCAACGATGGTTACAAAGTTCATGTTCTCGAGGGCTTGAATCGAGTTGGCCAAGGTTGGTTTGGCGTATTGCTCGGTCAGGACATACATCATGACCAAGCAAGTGACGAATTCACCTACACGTTTCAGAAAGAAGGTTGTTCGGAATGTTGGTGTTCGAGGATAAGATACTTGGTAACACAGCGTAGGCGCAAAGTAAAAATAGAGCAAATTTTTCACATTCACGTTGTTTGGGTAACTCTCTTCGTAAAAGTCAATGGTCTTGCTCTGAAGATAAGCTTGACGTAATTCGCGATTGACGAGAACAAAGGATGTGAGTTTTAGAAATGTGATAAGGCAAATAAATATGACGGCTGAACCAACTATATATGGATGTATTACAGATGAGATAAAAGACACATGAAATAGAATGTTATTACCTAATGGATGATAGATGCGAGTATAGACGAGATAAGAGGGGAATGTAAGCAAGAATACCAAATGGGATATATGAGTGATAGCCAAGACCCTTTCATAAAGAGCCAATTTCTTTATGAATTCAGGTTTATCATCCTTTGCTAATAAAGCAAGTTTCCCCATAGCAGATTCTATAATGTATGAAATAAAAATGCTTAGAGGAACACATAACCAAGCAAAAAAAAAGAAGAAGTAATCCTTGATAGGTATATAGCTGTGTGGTAATCGAATCAATAGACCATATTTCATCCAATTTTCAATGATTAATCGAATGTTACTTGCACCCAGCACAAGCACTGATAACAATGTGAGCTTTATACAAATCAAACCATTATAACTTACTGCCTAATCTTAAAAAGCCACTATAGTTCTCTGGGGGAGCTTCCTTGGATAAGACAGATGCCTTTGTGACAGTATGAATGGGTAATACATGTGAAAAGCCTTCATACTGTTTATCTTTTTCTTCCTTTATAGGCTCTGATTCTTTTTTATGTGTCAAGCGTAAATCTCTTCTTTGTCTTGGCTCTGATTGATCATCTTCACTATCTGTCAATACCTTTAGAGGTCTTCTTCTGACAGTAGTCATTGTTATTATTAAAAAAAGTTGTCAAAGAGAAAGAAAAAGAGATGAAAATAGTAATTGAAACACAGTAAAATAACATTAAGGGTAGATCACATGTAAACATGTATTTTTTAAACAACAAACACACCAATTAATCTTTCAGCATAACAATAATAAAAATGACAGGCCCCGGCTAAATTTTTATATCTCTCTTTTTTCTTCTTTCATTATTATGCTTAGAACAACTCTTGTCCGTACTTATTCTTCACTCAACAGACCAGGACCACTTCCACTTGGAAATAAAAAGCAGCAAAAAGAAATGCTGGACCTCATTCGAAAGAGACAAGAACAAGACGTACAAAGTACAGAATTACACCAAGACGCAATAAAAAAACCACAAGCCGAATTCGAGGGTGATGTCAACCCAAAGACAGGTGAAGTCAACGGTCCAAAGACTGAACCTGTTAAACACAATGACTGGAGCTTTGGTGGAAGAGTGACTGATTTTTAATAAAGATTATTGTTTCTTTGATTTAGCCTGTCTTGCTTTCTTTCTTAGGTGATATTGTCTTCGATATCCTTCAAACCCTTCTTGAAACTGTTTGGGTAAATCAGACAATAGACTCAATGACTTGTTGTTGGCGTCAAACTCCAAGTTGAAGGCCCTTAGTGCATTATTACAATGAACAACAAATCTATGATTAATGATGAGTAATGCCTCTTTTTTTTTTTTTTGTAAATGTTGTTACTTTTGTGCATAGATAATCTTTTCTGAATACATTCCAGATCTATAAAAGAAGACAAGACCGCCTGCTACAGTTAATAAGGCAATAGTGTTTATTAAATGAACAGTAAAGATCTAAGATATAGACGTCATTACAACTCTTCTTATTCATAATGTCACTCACTTTGCTGGGATCAATAAAGACAGCATAAAAAAAGTAGGCTAAAAATATAAATAAGGCTACGAGAAGGGCTATATATCGTATGTTAACTATCTTTTATTTTATTATTATCATAAGTTACCTTCATATTTTCTTTTTCTTTTCAATAATCTCGTCATGTTGCCCTTTAATCTTTCTTCAAATATAACAAGATCTCGGTATGTTGCTTGATTCAGTCGGGGTTCATTCTCCTCTTGATTAGAGTTCATTACAGTTTTTAAACTAAAATGAGACGATTCAAAAAAAATAAGTTAAAATAAATGAGACACCCGCTAAAAAGATTTGAGACAAGTGAATAAAAAAAAAAATACAGTCCTATTTTTTGTAGACACATGCTAAAAGCCTGTAGACGAAACGAATTATTGTCCAAAGACTTACCTGTATCATGGGTTAATGTAGCGGTAACTACAAAGGGCTGGTTGTTTTCTTGGTTGGTCTACTACTGGCTGATGAGGTCGCCTTTCTTTTGAAGCCAGTAGAAGGAGGTGCGCTGAGTTTGCAAAAGCGCTCTGGTCTTTTTCCGTTTTTATGCAGCCCAAAAAGGATGCGCCTGAAATTTAAAGTGGCCACCATATTACGGTTTCAAAGACGATGACGAGGAATTGTACCACTCGTGGCCTCCAAACATTGTTGGTTTTTGCACCTAAATAATAAACATAAGAGTTGGGTTTATAAACACAAAAATAAATCACCTTAAATGGCCATGACGTGTTACAGTTGATTGCTTTTCTCTCTGGAAAGGTCTTGGATTTTGTACATTTTTGAACTTTCAAGTTTACCACTCAGACATGAAGGGCACAAGCTAGATGTTTTAAACTCATCAAGAAAGTATATCTTGAATCCTTGTTTAGCTAGCATCCTTCTCATTCTAACGTCTCTAATAGGCTCGTGGAACTTGACATTTCCGGAAGACCAGTTGCCAATTATCAGGGTAGTATCATCACCGAACTTTGTTCTCAGATTCCTGGCCAGCCGTTTGTCTGCTTGCTGTCCATTTATAAAGCTGGAAAGCTTCATTTTTCGAAATGGCAGCAAGTTTGTTTCTACAGCAGGAATATCTTCATTTGCGTAATACTTACTCAAGACTGGTGTTACTGTTGCTCTTTTCTGGAGGTACTTGGCAAACTTGCCTCCATTAGCTGTTGAAGATTTGCACTTTGACAATGATACTTCGACAGTTCTGACATCATCAGGTTTCAAGTTTTCCCGGAGCTTCTTGAATTTTCTTGACTTTGTCTCAATAGCTCTTTGATTACTTGTGTATCTGTATGTCCTCTTGTTTTCTATGGTGCTTTCTTTATGCATGCAACATAGCATGTCGCGCCGACCGGGATCTATCGACACACACTTGCCGACACCAGCCAATAGCTCTTCTTTTTCCAGCTTTTCTATATATTTGAAGTCCTCTTCATCCACAGCTTTCGCTCTTCTACCAGCACCACTGCCGCCTTTCTTCATATCATCATTTTGTTTCAACACAGACACACCAACACCATCAGTGAACAGCATGCCCCTAAACTTCATTGTTCTTCTTTCACCCTGTGGCTTCATTGCCTTTGCTGCGACATTGAGAACAGAAGCCCATACTATTTCTTTATCCAAATGGCTGGTAACAGGGTTTTTCAAAATTTGCGTGTTTAAGATAAGCGTATCGATAGTCATATAGGATGGAATGAATATCCTCCTCAGCGGAAAGCAATTAAACGATTTTTCTTGAAGGATTTCACACATACTTGATATTTTGTAAAACGCTTTTAAATGCTTCAATGCATTTGCTTTGCAGTCATAATATATCAAGCCTTTCACAAATTGATAGTTAAGAGGATAAGAGCTAAATATATCATGAATTATGTCGACATCTTGGGAAGACAGTAGGTCTCTTGGTAAATCGTTTATCTTTCTAGACGAAACATACATTTTGACTTTGTTGCATTGTTCCACGATCGTCTTCACTATAGCCGACACTTTTTCTTCCGAGCCGCTATCCTTCTTCATTTTGTTTTTTACTGCCTTTATTCGTTCATCCTTTTTCAAGATCATGTTCAAAAACATGCGTAACTTGTTTCCAAAGTGAAAAAAGACACGGTTCAGGTACGCAGTATTTATCTTTGTTACTTCATACGAGTCTATTTGTTGGGCATACTTTAAATCCATTGGTTCATAAGAGCAATACTGCAAATACATATCTCGATGACTGTTGATAAGCTCTCGGTAGGTCCTTGACTTGGATGGTATTTTTTGTTTATTTGGCTTGTAACTTTGAAGAAGAGATAAAAGGACTTCTCTGTAAAAGTCAATGTTGGCGAAATCCTGCGTCAAAGGCAGAGTTATATTCCAATGCTTGAATGAAGATGTACTTCAAAAAAGAGAACGTGTGGGTTACAAGTGCCTTGAGTGACGAAATATACTGTGATTTCCATCCTATACCAGTAATGGAGCTTTTAACTGTTATAATTTTAAAGGTAGTTTCATGAAGAGAAAGGAAAAGAAAAAGAAGGGTTGGCAACTCTACATAGTTGTCAAATTATACTTAAATACGTACGGCATAGAATGCTAAATAGTATAAATGCCCAGCTGATTAATTACAAAAAGATGATGAATTGAGATAACTTGTAGACTTTCAAAAACAAAAGACAGGGATAAACAAGTATTTGTGAACTTAAATATTTGAAAGACAATGAAAAGGAGGGTTCTGCTTATACTTTTGGTGCCTGCTTACTGCTTATATATCATTTTATTTTCCTTATTAATTGCGCGTAGACTCTACTTTTACCTTTTATGGAAATTATGATCTTCATTTTATAACAACAGTCCACAAGTTTTTGGCATGTGTCTACAAAAAATAGGACTGTATTTTTTTTTTATTCACTTGTCTCAAATCTTTTTAGCGGGCGTCTCATTTATTTTAACTTATTTTTTTTGAATCGTCTCATTTTAGCTTAAAAAACTGTATGAAAATATGTACAAAAAGGAAAACAAAAAAGCAAAAGCAAAAATAAAGTGATGACCTCAGTGTGATCTCAAAAAGGACATGCCATTTCTATTTTGGGTATACACTTTCCAAAGAGCGACAAAGTATCGTCTTGCATAATTATGACATAGGAGCATAAACCAAGAGCATAAATACCCTTACGAATTGCGCAATCGTGGCATTATTTATTGTTTTTCTTCTCTATTTTATTTTACACATAATATGAACTCTTTAACTAAATCTGTCGCTGTATTCGGTCGTGCTACCAAGCAAGTCTACTTTACTCCTGCTGCATCACTTCATGTATCCTCTTTACTTGCTCGTGAATCCGTCGTTGACAAGGCCAAGAATGTGGCTGACCGGGTAAACAAGAAGACCGGTGAAAAGTTGAGCGACGTTCTCGAAGGTGCCGAAAAGGTAACAGAAACTGCTACTCATCAAGCCCAAAAAGTCAAGGACAAGGCTGCCCATTTGACAGATGATGCCATGCACGAAGCTGACAAACGTACTCCTTCCGAAAAGACAATCTTAGAAACTTTAAAGGGTGGTGTTGAAGCCGCAAAGGAAGCTGTTGGTCTTGGTTCAAAGAAGGCAAGCCATGCTGCTGAAGAATTCAAAGATGAAGCAGCCACAAAAGCCAAGCGTGTTATGCACAGTGTTGATGAAGCCTCTGATAAAGCAAGTAACGCTGCTCACCACGCAAAGAAAACGGCAGGTAGCGTCGCTGATGATGTCAAGGCCAAGGCAAACGAAACTGCTCGTGATGCACGCGATACAACCACAAATGTTGCTTATGAAGCTCAAAACAAGGCTGCTAATGCTGCTACGGGTGCAAAGGAAAAGGCAAAGAAGGCTGCTGACTCTATGGGACACTAAATTTTGTATTTATTTCGTGTATTTTGTTTCTTTACATAATAAACATTTCTTTTGTACATAATTTTTTCTAGTCTATTTCATATTGAACAAGCACAGTCTCTTCTATATAGGCAGGTTCTTCCATAGGTCCAGGATGACAGTCCTTTTGACAGACAAACGCCAGGATAGTACCAAATTCCATACCGGCGCTCCAGCTGTCAAGCAAAGATTTTTTGTTGTTTGCATTAGCAGACTTTTCTGCTTCACTCGCGTACTCCGTTGTTGGTAAAATAGAAAGTACGTTAGGCATCAGCTGGAACTCAAATACTTTAGGTCCTTTACAGTATTTACAGGGTGTCGTAATCAGTTGCTGCTGCTGGGATCGAAGTGCAGAGTAAAACAACGGCTGGCCAGCGAATTCATATCGCACACACTGTGATGGCTCCAATTCGACACGTTCTGTGAACTTTTTGAATTGCTTATCGAATCCTTTTGGCAGTTGTTGTTTTTCGTAAGTCTCACCCTGCCAAGTCTCTCCGCTATTCTCATCGACCTCCATCAGCAGCTCCTTTTCCATTTCCAAATATTCTTTATACCGACTCATGTCAATGTTTCCATAGTGTGGTTCTTTTGGTTCTTCATCAATATAAAGATATTGTCCAGGGAATTTAGGAAGATCGGATGCATTCACAGGCGGTGATTGAATGCTTAGCTTACTCAGTTGATCGGCAATGTCTACTGTTTCTTTCTTTGGGTCAAAGGGTGAGGTGGGTTTCATGCCAAATAAAGGTTTGGGCTCCGCTGCTTTGGCTGCAGCCTTTGCAAATGATCCAGCTGAGCTTCCCCAAAGATCACCCAACTAATAAACAATTAGCTCAATTAAAAGAGAAGATATATACATATCACTTACCTGAAATCCTTGGCCGAATCCTGTTTGATTTGCAACAGCCGCCGCCTTTCGCTTTTCTTCTTTTTTTCGCTTTTCTTCTTCTTTTTGTCGCTGTGCCTTCAAATAAACTTCATCCACAATATGCGAACGAACGATCTTGAAACTAACATACATAAGTCCCCTTCTTTAAATGTTTTTTAAAACAACACACAAACCTTCCTTCTTTCTTCATACATGCTCGTTTGTTACATGCCCAAACATAAACTACTCTGTGATAAGCAGATTCAGGAAGCGGTGCATAGCTCTGAAATAAAAGGTACATCAGATCTCCACATATACGGCAGGTGCAATATTCTGCTGAAGGTGGATGCTTTGGATCAAGCCACACCTAAGAAATATGAATGAAGCAGGGTAAATACATGTATAAAAAGTAGTTTTTTTTTTCTTTACAGGAATACCACCAATTTTAGAAGCATAGGCGTCATTATCAACTTCTATTTCTCCATCAGGAAGTCCTAATTGAACATTGCTTTGCTTTGATTGCTTCTTATTTGACATTAGAAAAAAAAATATTTTTCAGCAAATTTTAAAGCCGGAAAAACTTGTGGAAACTGTTGTTAATTTGAGAAAGCGCTAAGCATAACTCAGGAGTACAGTGCCTTCTATTCGTACAGTTCAAGCGAAGAGGATAGTCCTAACCACAGGTCAAGAAAAAAAAAGAAAAAAAAAATAGAACAATACGCTTAGAGGGCTGTGAAAGAGACATAGAATATAGAAAACTTTGTACCTTATTGTTATTAATTTAAAGCTATGGATAAAATAGCACGGCTTAGAGAGCGTAGTACCACATCTAAAGTCGACGTTTATTTTTGCGTTCATTTGGACCATCAATAAAATATTACGTTTAAACGAAATTATGTCGCGCAGGCGCTGCTTTTCCAGGTGTTTTCTTTTCTTTTTTAATCTTTACAAATTAATATGTGCACAGTATTTTTATATGAAGATGGGTGTGGGAATGTAGCTGATGGAAATGGTGGATCTGAACCCATGGACTACATCGCTGATCAAGATGAATTTATAGTTGAGACAATTGCCACTCATTCCGAATATTTGAAACATGTTACTTCTAGTGAATCATTTCGGACTTGCCCAATGCTGGTAGAGAAGTCAAGAGAGGAAGGCGCCCGTATGAAGGAAGCAAACATAAAACGGGATTATATTCGATATACTGTATAAGATAGAGCTAAGTTTTTCGATCTGAAGATTGAAAAGTGTATGAGTGCATCAGCTGCAGCGAAACAGTTGGGCATTCACATTCGAACTGCTCAGAGATGGATTAAGCAATATAATGTATGCCCTGATGGCATTTTTGAGAGTTGTAAAATAGTAGGTCGAAAGTGTACCTTGACCGAAGAACATAAAACGAGTGTTATGAACTACATTGATGCCAATCCCTCTGCTACTGTTGTTGAAGTGACCGAGGATTTATTGAAACGATTCAATGATCTCAAGATGTCATGCAGCACTGTTTATAACTTTATGAGAAGCGAATGCAGCCTTTCGCTGAAAAAAGCAGTTTTCCATTCCATCGAACGAAACAGTCCAGCAAAGGTTGAAGAACGGTACGAATGGGTTTGTAAATGGGAAAATACAGACATGAACTTCCTGACGAATTGCGTATTTCTTGACGAGTCTGCTTTTGACATTAATATGAAACGCTCAAGAGCTTGGTCCAGAAAAGGCACTCGCGTCATTGTTACCGGGCCCATTATGCTGGCAAACACAACATCGATACTGGGTGCTATCTCAGCTGCAGGTTTGATCGCAGTTGGCGTAAAAAAACCAAGATCTACTAAGAGGAGAAAGACTGAGGGATACATAAGCTCAGGGACTGTAACTGACCACTACATAAGTTTTTTAAAAATGACCCTCAATGAAATGGACAAGCATCCGCATATGAAAGGTCACTATATAATCATGGATAATGCGCTCATTCATACGCTTGAAAATATAAAGAAATATATAAAATATCGAGGATATAAATGTGTGTATCTTCCTACTTATAGGTTTTTACAAGGAGATACTTTATCAAAGAGAATTATGGAAGCCTGCAACAGCGTGGAAAAAGGTCACTTCAAAGGATTCGTCTCGCATTCTTACAAGTGCTGGGATAAATGTCGAAATAAGAGTCCATGTAATGCTTACAATAAGACAGCGATAAGAATCAGGTAAGCAACAATCGGGTAAGCATAAAAATATAGGTGGCACCGATAGCACTGTGGGCTCACCAGTTGTGAACTTATTAATTGACGAACAATGATTGGTATATTTCAATTTTCAATAAAATGGGTCAAATGTAAGGAATCGCTAAAAAAAAATAAAAAAGCAAAACAAGGGATGACTACTTAAATCGGTAATATGAGCGCTTGAAGCTAACCGCGTTGGCATAGCGAACAACTGCATTTGACAGTGAGGGATCTTTTGTGGCAGCAGCGTAACAGACATTCCAATTCATCCTGCCCTTGAATTCCTTCTTGAACTTGTCAATGAAGTCCAAAATGGCCTGTTTATCAAAGTCGGATTCAGGCTTCCTTGCTGGATCATTGCAGACCAGGTCATCAGCGTCAGGTTCCTCCATGGGAGTAACACAATCGTCCTCGTTGGATAGCAGGTCATCAATTTTTCGAGCCATTTGAGAGGTGTATTCCATTCCAGCTGATGCATAACGGACAGCTCGACCAGGATCCAAGCGGACATATTTGACAATTTTTTCGAATTGATCGTGGGTGTCAACACATACTCGTTTCAGTGTATCCAGCCGACTTGATTCCTGTGTACCATCTTGAGTAGCAACTTCCATACTCAATTGATAGAGTAATTTGATATGTTCATCGTCCCATCGTGAGTTGCCGATGATGCTTGGTTCACCAGAAATCAAAAAATGGGCAACGGCAGCAAGAGGCGGTAGTGGTTCGTCCGCATTGACCAAATCCATGATGCTATCCTTCGTCAAAAAATAAAAGTGCCTAGATACAAGCGAGCAATCTGTTTCCAGCATATAGGGCCATTGTTGCGTTGTCTTGAACTTTTCCACCAAAAGAAACCGGTCCATCTGCTTAATACAAAACACCAAGACAATAGGAAGAATGCCGTATCGTTTGTAGGCCTCAATGCAATACGAGAATGCACGATGGATGAAGTCCAAATCCACTTTTGCCTAGAATTCCAATATAATAGGTGGGAACCTACTCGCCATCTTGGAAACATAGATTACGCCGCATTCTTTGTCCAGGAATGTTGTTGGTGCAGAAATATATGTTCCACTGGGAGAGTTTACGAGAGCTGCAGTCACCAAGTTAATGAATTCTGGTTGCAATGCAAGAAGACGGCTCAATCTATCTGCACCAGGTTTATGTTGTTTGAGCAATCTGAATTCCAACAAATCCGTATCAACTAAAGATATGAATTAAAACTAATCATATGTACAATGAAAAAAACGCTCACCTTCGTTCATTGCCATGCAAACGACAGAAAAAGGGGCAAAAAAAAAAGTGGTGCCAGCGTGTCGTATCTATAAGAATGAGTAGCACAAAGATACTAACAATAATACACGTTATTAACATATAACGCGAAATGCCCAACTATTATTGGCCATAGTTAAATCGGTTCTTTAATAATTCTGCCTTCATACGAGGACCCCTTTCCACTAACATAATGTTACACGGATAGACAACCAATTAAATCCCGCTATCACCAGCTTCTACAAAACATGAGTCGTCTGCATCTACCAGGCCAACAACATCAGCTGAACTGTGGAGAACATTCACAGCCCACGCAGGAGGATTCCGAGGAGCTAACCTTACAGTATTTGAGAATACAGAAGCAAAAGCAGCTGTTAGAGTTCGCAATCAGAACCAACTCTGGGTACAATCAAATGAGATGAATAGTGCAGTATTCGACCTGAAACAGCTTTCTGTTCTGCCTGCAGATTTCTATGAAGCTCTCCCCAATCAATATTCCTCCGCTGTTGTGGCAGTTCCAGTGCGTCAGGGAGCCATTAATGGAGGCATCATTGCTTTTGATTCCGCAGAATCTCGCATAACCGCTTGCAGTGTTGGTATAGCAGTTGGAGGTTTCACAGTGATTGGCGCACCAACGTTACCTCCTACTAGCTCCATTTACCCAGTTTCGCTTGAAAAGTTACCTTTGATGAGACCAGACAGCTTAACCCCACTTCTGACTGAGGCGCTCTCTCGCTACGGCACAGTTCTCCATGTTGGTTTATATCGCGATCCGGTTAGTCGTCTTTTCTTCGGTAAAGGGTATACCTTATCGATACCACGCCTGAGGATCACACCGTAATTTCTCTCAGTCACGAAATTGATTTAACGAACCAACGACTTATTTACGCTTCGTGGAGAGGTATGGCACCCCATTGTTTTTACTGCCATAAGCCTGGCTACACGAAAGGCAACTGTTCTCGCCTATCTCAGCAGCGTATTAAGACTTGTTACAGCTGTGGAGATCCAGACCATTTGATTAGGGAGTGTCCTAAACGTAACACCGCCACAGTGGGCGAGAAACGTATCCGCTACGATAATTCTTTGCCTGACATACCTATGTCGTCTTCATCATTGAATTTAGGCTCTTCGCCCACTCAGAGCTCCTCAGCACTAGCTGCTATTGTATCTGCTGTATCTAAGTTTGTACACCAGTCTGACATTGAGTCTTCTAAGATGACAGCCAGCACCCAGAAAAACGTTGCACGAACTAGGTCAAAGGCATCTACCACTATCATTACTGCAGTTATCCCTGAGAAGGATGACGATGCCGACGACCCAGATTACGTTCCTTCCGATGATCAATCAGAATCGGATGAGTCTGACCACGATTCTGATACCATGTCAATTGATTCACAAGAGAGGCAAGATATCGAAGACGATGCCCGTCTTCTACAGAGTAATTCTACTCCGGGTGCAACCCCACAGTCAGATGGGGAAGCGGCTCATTCATCCTCCTCACGACGATTATGAGAGATACCATACGTGTCTCAATAACCTCGCTTAATTGTCGAGGCCTTAAAAAAATCCTCTCTCCAAGAGGAAAATCATTTGCCCGTTATATTCGTTCCTTAGAAACCGACATCATAGCCTTACAAGAAACTCATGCCGATTCCTTCGATCTTCATTCTCAATTTGAATTATGTCTTCAAACTTGCTCAGCTACATGGACTCGCCATTGTGGCCTAATCTCTTTTAATCGTCAGCTAGCGATTGAACCGCGCTGGTCCTCTGTAGATGGGCGGCTCCTCGTCGCTCAAATCACAGATTTATCAGGAGCCTATGACCCTCTTCTTATTTATGTCCTCTATACTCCAGCGCATCACACAGATGGCCCCGCTTTCTTTCATTCTCTCAACTCCATGTTACACTTCGATGATGCGCCTCCACAACGCGCTGTTCTTCTGGGAGATTTTAACCATGATATCCATCTTCCTATGACATATCAGTTACTCCAACCTTGGAAAGAATGGCTGCACTCGTTTTGACACGACACCTTTCTCAGCGACTCCAATCAACACCGCATGCCTACTTTTGGTACTATTTCAATAATCGATTTCATCCTGGTGACAAGCGATCTACAACGTCTCATCACTTATCCACGCCTCACTTATATCAAAGGCTGTGATCACTCAGTACTCACAATCTGTCTCACCATGGGTTCTGTGAAAGTGGATCCTGGCATATGGCGATGCAACCCCTTTTTAATGGGTAATCGTAAATTCCGCTCAGAACTAACTGCTTTTTGCTCCAGTGCCGAGAGACATTTACCTGCCGGTAATGCTCCTCAGCGATGGGACCACTTCAAGGTGATCCTTAAGAGTTTCGTACAATCTTTCTCCAACAAACAACAGGCCGCTCGTCGTCATACCGTTAACTCCCTTCAACGACGCCGACAACAACCTCTACGGAAAACAATAGGCCTCTCAACATCAGCTACGATTGCCGTTATAGAGTCTGAGCTAGACAGACACTACCAAGATAGCGCCTCGATTCTAGCTTTGCGATCTGAACATAAGTGGCGCGAGCTAGGGGAGCGCTCTAATGCCTATTTTTACAAATGTCTAAAAGGCCGCCAACAACAACAGGCAATTTCCGAATCGGCCGCAGACGACGATACTATATCGTCGACGCCAGAGGAACTAACCAACTGTGCAAAAGGTTTCTATAGTAAACTTTACTCTACCGAACAAGTATCTCCTCAAGCAATTAATTTTTTGTTATCTCAACTCCCAGACACCGCTCGGCTTGATGAATCACAGCAAACACTTCTCCTTACTGAATGGACTGACGAAGAGGTCGAGACATGCCTCGCTCACACACCTTCTCATAGCAGTCCCGGAATCAATGGCCTACCGTACGAAGTTCTACGGTTCCTTTTCCAGCAACCATTTTGTCGTAGTTTATTCTGTGATGTGCTAAACACTGCACTAACTGAACACCTCTTCCCGGCTACATGGCAACGCTCAGTGATAACTCTGTTGCCAAACAAAGGAGACCGACGACATTTGAAAAACTGGCGTCCAATTTCACTCATTTGTGCTGATGCCAAGGTGTTTACACGCCTTTTGGCAAACCGACTTGGGAGTACCGTGTCAAACCTTCTACTACCACACCAGACAGGATTTCTCGCCGAAAGATTCATCGCTGACAATGAACTTGTTACTCGCTTGGCCATAGACATTGCACACCGTTATCGCCTACCAGGCATTGCTCTTCTTCTCGATCAGGAGAAAGTATACGATCGTGTGCATCCGACTTATCTACGCGCTTGTCTTCTCCGATTTGGTTTCCCTACTCAGTTCATCGACTGCATCACCCCCTTATTCTTCAACACATCCTTATGTGTTAAGGTGAACGGTTTTCTCTCTACTGCTTTTGCACAAGAGCGGGGTCTGAGACAGAGCAACCCTCTATCGCCTTTTCTCTTTAATTTGGCTCTGGAACCCCTTCTCCGTGCGATTAACTCGTTCTATTACCAGGCTTCTTGTTCCATGGCCCAGCTCTCGGTCAAACACCACAGCCTATTAGTCGACCATCTGTTCTTAAGCTGCTTGTATACGCTGACGATGTTTTGGTGTTTCTAAAAGATCCGATAGAATTGACCTCTCTGTTGGCTCTCATTAACGCATATGAGTTAACTTCAAACGCTAAGCTCAACCTAGACAAGGCTATCGCCGTTTCCTTATCTGGACAAGCCCAACCTCTTTGGCGCAGTTGCCTCCAGCATTGGGGCATAATGCATTGGCATGATTCCAACAGTCACATGGCGGCTATCTACCTTGGTTTTCCGCTGACCAGTTCTTCCACACGGATGATGATTTGCTTAGGCGAATTGTTTGGTTCCGTTCGATTGATTGCTCATTGTCTTGCCTTACGGAAACTCTCAGTTTAAGGGCGCGGCTTGATAGTCAATACATTGATACTCAGTAGAATATGGCACTGTCTATGTGTCCTCACTGTACCTGCTTATTTTCTCGCCAAGGTCCGTTCAATAGTTGACCAATTCATCAATTTCAGATCCTTCCCGAAGGTCAGCTTTGACACTAGTCGACGCCTGCGAAAGGAGGGCGATTTAGCAGATCTGGATCCAGCTACCCAACTTCATGCACTTCAGTTACGTTGGCTCCGATCACTCATCCAACTTGACACGGAATCAAATTACAACCACTCTTTTGCCCTACAAACGTTACAATACTGCTTATGCAGTTTTTCTGGTAGCCCCAGCCCTATTCTGCCTTTAGCCTTTGCAGAACTACGTTCGCCGGATGTAAAAGCAATGGGTTGCTGCAAGCTCCTATTTCAAGTAGTAGACATGCTGGGTTTCTCTGTTAACTGGGAGGCGTTGAATATATCGGTGATCTTAGAGATTCCGGTTTTGTGGATATACCTCGATTTACCGACTTGGAACGGTTGTGGTCGCCGAATAAACTGGGGTCAACCGCGGATGAAGGATGTCTTCGAATATAGCCCAATCCACAACTGCTTGAGACAAAGATCTCACTTTCATGCTTCTTTGCTCTTTATTTTTTCTTTAATATGTACAAGCCGACGGGCTGTACTTGAATAAAATATACCATTATACAAAAAAAATTCTATCTTCATATAAAATGACGCTGTTTGTAATAATGAGCTCTCTCTCGTCTTAATATACAATAAAAAGGCTATATAGAGACTCATCGACACACATTTCCCTTATTACTTCTTTATCACACAGTGGTGCTATCAGTGCTATCGGTGCTATCGGTGCTATCGGTGCTGTCGGTGCTGTCGGTGCCAGCGGTGACCTTTTTCTACGCTGTTGCAGGCTTCCATAATTCTCTTTGATAAAGTATCTCCTTGTAAAAACCTATAAGTAGGAAGATACACACATTTATATCCTCGATATTTTATATATTTCTTTATATTTTCAAGCGTATGAATGAGCGCATTATCCATGATTATATAGTGACCTTTCATATGCGGATGCTTGTCCATTTCATTGAGGGTCATTTTTAAAAAATTTATGTAGTGGTCAGTTAGTGTTTGGTGCTGGATATTGGGAAAGCAACACAATCGATGAAAGTCCAAGTAGTGTAAGTGACTTTCGAATGTCAACTAGCTGGTTTCGAGCCAGTTCAATGCAGTTGAATGTATGCACTAAAGATAGGCAGGAGAGGCTGCCAAGTTCACTAAAAGCTTGCCTTGACCATGTAAGTGGTTCGACTCGGAGTCTCGAAAAAGGTACTGAGGCTTTCCTAAGCTAAGGCCTACTACATCTCGTGCATTTGCGATTCCCCATTTACTAAGTAAATTAAATTGAAATATATGCATATTATCAACCAATAAGCACGTAACCATTATGAACGCGCTGCTCAAGCTGTTCCCTTCGAACTATGACATTGAAATTAGTATAAAAAGCATCTATAAGTCTACTTCATTATTTCGTTGACTTTTCTCTTTAAAATTAAAGAATCATATAAAAATCAGTTTTACATTAAGTGATATACTTAGGATATATTCATCAATATAAAAATACTAATTTTATGAATAAAGCTGCTATTATAAAAGAAACTATTGTTAGCTATTAAGAAGTTCACGAACAAAAAAAAAAAAAAAAAAAGGGGGGGGGAGGGAGTTTATTAATTTATATTTTGGCTTGTTTACCAAATACAATCTTTGCTTCCTCGCTTACCCACTGTGCTGACTTTGAAGCAATGTCCTGCACTAACTCATGCGGAGAACACCAATGCTGAGCAGCCAAGACGTCCTCTTCTGCACCTTGAAGTTGATTAGATAAACCAAAGGCAGCTTGTTCTAAAAGTAAAGATCCAGCAAGTACTCTTCCGAGAGCAAACATGAGCTGACGTGAGTTTATTTCTAAATAGGAGCGTGACTGATCCTTTTGAACAAAGTCTTGAATATTTCTGAGAGCTGTGCGGACCGTTTGAGCAGGTTGTCTTAGACGTTCAGACGCTTGGACAGCCTTGTCTAATTTATCATCCATAGTCTAGAGCATATAGATTGTTAGTTTGCACCCTATATGAATGCGTTTATAGTTGCACGTACCTTCTTGAATACATTCAAGCAAGCAAACTTTGTTTCCTGCATGACTCTTAAAACATCCATGGCCATCACATTCGTCGTGCCTTCCCAAATCGTGTTGACTTGTGCATCACGTAAAAGACGACCCATACCGGTATCTTCCATGTATCCTTGACCACCGAGAGCTTCCATAGCTTCACTGATCGCCTGTACACCTACTTTGCATACATACCCCTTTGCGATGGGTGTAAGGAAGCGTAGCATTTGAGTATCTTCCTTTGTAGCCTTTTGACATTCAACGCGGCCTAAAAGCTCAGTGCAGTAAAATGCAATCTGTAAACCGGCACGGAAAACAAGTTCGAGCTGAGCAAGGGTAGTGATATGAAGTGGTGTCTTGTCAAGCGTACGACCGAATGCTTCGCGCTTACTGGCGAAATCTTTGGCGATGGCTAAACTTCTGCGAAGGTTACAGACAACGCCGATACAGGCATAAATACGGGTAATATTTAATATGGATGCAATACCAGGAACACCACGGCCGGGATTTCCAAGCTACATTTAAATTAAATTGATATACTTATACAATAGAGAGGGGGGGGGTAATGCTTCTTACCATGACTGCATTCATACCGGATAATTCAAGTTCTGCAGTGGGAAGTCCCTTTGTACCATACTTGTTTTTTAATCTATGCACACGAACACCGTTCAATGTGCCATCAGGATTTCTCATTCTAGCGACAAAGAGAGATAAACCTTTGCTTCCCTACGTATAACTTTTTTTAAGAAAAAAAAAAAAAGATAGCAAACAAAAGTATTGCTTACTGGACGAGCAGTGCCATCTTTAGGATTCACATCACGAGCTAAGAGAACGGTCATATCTGCTGTAGTAGCACTGGAGAACCATTTGAATCCAGAAATTGACCAAGTGTTGGTGGATGGATCCTGAAGTTCGGCGATTGTTTCTGTTCTTCCGACATCACTGCCACCTGGGCGTTCAGTCATCCACTGACCGCTTGTCCAAAATACTTTAGGATCACGACTAAACAGAACGTGTCTGTTAGAAAGAGGTTTACATATATTAAAGAATCAAAACACCTGATCAATCGAGTGTAGATGTCCTCTTTCATTTCTTTTGTGCCAAGTAATTCAATGACACGAGCAGCGCCGTCTTGAAAAAAAGGTAAGTCTTCGTACAACATCACTCCTATAATCTTTTTACCAGTCATTGCCAAAGGACATGAATACATGGCAGAGGAAGGAGCATAGAGGTATTGTTTTGCAAATTGATAAATACGTGAGTATTCGTTATACTTGCGTTCATAACCAATGGCAATAAGACTGTTTATATATATATAAGATTGTGTATGTGTATCTAAAAAAAAGCTTACCCTTCCTCTGCAGCTACATCGTTCAATTCCTTCCATCCTTTTGCTGTGGTTATTTCATCTACTCTTTTGCACCATGCATCATACTGCTTTAATCGAGGATAATTACTGGGATCTTCTACATCATTGCCCATCGCCAACACGTCTTGTAGACAAATGTTAGTCTCTTTGTATAAATAACATATATATATATATCTTACCGTGAATCACTCTTTCACCAAATCTATTCAAGTCAGGTTCAATGTCATCTAATACAGACTTGGGAATAATTCTTTTCAAAATGTTTTTTAATACGATATCATCTTCATATTGGTTTTTCAAAACAGGTGGTTCCTACAATAGAAAGTTGAAGAGTCTGCAGCAACAAATGATATGTATTTTTACTTGGATAAATCCAGAGTCAGCACTTGCAAGCTTTGGTATCATGGCTTACGTATAAAAGAAAGAAAGTCCTGAGAACCAAATGCATTTTTATATGTAAAAGTGAAGAGCATGTGAAAAAACCCTTCCTTTGGGATATAAGCGGATAAAATATTTAACCATTCTCACACAACAAACAAAAAAAAAAAAACGATATGCATAAAACAAGAGGGTGACAACATATGTATACAAATTTAGAAAAGTATGCAATTAATAACCAAGCAAAATAAGCCTATAAGCACATACGCTTGTGAGCGATTTAGTTTACAACAGACACACACATGGGTTTTGTATTTTTGACAGGATGCATTTCTGTATCAAAAAAAAAAAAAAAAAAACTTGCGATTTTTTTTTCGTCTTTTTTTTGTAATGTCTTCAGAGCCTTGTCCACTTTGTAAAACTGATTTAACTTCAAGTCAATCCAATTTTGATACGTGGCTTCAGTGTGATGCGTGTTCTGACTGGTATCATGCTCATTGTCTAAAGATTGATAACGTTGAACTAGTAGAAAAATTTTATTGTCCACAATGTCAAGCAAAATGGGGACCAACAACATGTGAGTTTAAGGATGTATATAAATATATATATATTGGACATATTTTTGATTGCTGAAAAAACTGCAGATAAATCCATTCGAAAATCATCCCGATCTCAGGCTAGATTGAACTATGCAGACCTAAACGAAGGAACAGCTGCAGGAGATGAACGGATCTGGCAAAAGCTACTGAGAGCAAAGACATTTCAAAAGGATCGATTTGAAAGGTATCCAGCTGATAAAGTCAACTTGGATTTGTTCAGAAAGACAGGATTTAGAGAGCCTTTTGTTATTGAAAAGAATGAATCCGCTTTTGGAATGAAGATGCCGAGTGACCTGACAGTCCAGAAAGTGGCTGATTTAGTTGGAAGAGACCGACCAATTGAAGTGATTGATGTCGCGACACAATCTGAGATCACAGGCTGGACACTAGGTCGTTGGGCAGATTACTACACTCATCCCGATCGAGACAGGATTCGTAACGTGATCAGCTTGGAAATAAGTGAGACGGCATTAGCAGAAAAGATAACAAGGCCTACTGTTGTCAGAGAGATGGATTGGGTGGATCATATGTGGCCAAAGAGGATAAAAGAGCGTCCAAAAGTGCAATTGTATTGTTTGATGGGCACAAGGGACTCTTATACTGATTTGTAAGTTCTTGTCTTTAATATTTCTTTTCTTTTAATGTATAAAATGCCAATTATTATTCTAGTCATATTGACTTTGGTGGAAGTTCGGTAAGGAAAAAAAAGGCATTTAAATGGCAAGATACTTACTTTTTTTGTAGGTATTCTATCACGTTCTCAACGGACTAAAGACGTTTTACTTGGTTGAGCCAACACCCAAAAACTTGAAAAAGTACCAAAAATGGTCATCATCGCCCGATCAATCTGTTACTTTCTTTGGAGATTTAGTAAAAGAGTGTTACTCTATCGAACTGAAGGCTGGAAACACAATGTATGTAAAAACACATAATCTATATATATATAAAATCAACTATCCCTTTCTCTATATAGGTTTATTCCAACTGGTTGGATCCATGCTGTTTATACACCTGAAGATGCACTTGTCATTGGTGGTAACTTTTTACACTCATTCAATATCGCTACCCAGCTACGTGTCTATCAAATCGAACAAGCGACGGATGTGCCCTTGAAGTTTCGGTTCCCTTACTATAAAAAACTAAATTGGTACGCTCTCATCAAGTTTGATGAATGGCTAAAGGAGAAGAAGATATTTTCTTACTTTGAGCTTGAAAGTATGGCTGTCTTGGCCCTCTTCTTTGCAAACAGTCTTACAGAAGACATTGGTCATGAAAGGAAGGGTACATTGAGTCAAAGCATCAGAAATCGACACGAGATTCCAGACATAATTGAAGATCCTCTTGATTTAACCAAACGAGTGCTTGAAAATTCAAAATTGGCTTTACTTTCGATTGATATTCCATTGGCCAAGGCCAGTCCAAAGAAGAAGAAGAATCCAAAAAAGCCAAAATTGTCCAAAGATGAAGTAGCAGTAACTGATGATGATGAAGATACGGAAGAAACGGGAGCAGTCAAGGATGAAGAAGATGACGATTGGAATCCCAATGAGGATCATGATGATGACTATGAAGATGTGAATATTGTGAATATACCCATGCAAATGAACAATCCATCTGTGAAGCCTATAAAAAAGATCAATCGAAGGCAAACTTTAGGAAACAGTGATGAAGATGACATGGGAACATCCTCAGCAAGAAAGCCAACGAAACCAATTGAAAAGAGAAAGAGGTCTGACTCATGCAGCTCTTCACAGAAAAGCACAACTGTAAAGCAAAGATTGCTTGAACGAATGTTGAATAAGCGCCGTTAGTTTATTTTTACAGTATTTCCAGAAAGTAATGTTGCAAAAATTCAATTTTTACAATACAAAATATACAAGAATGTGCCATCTTGGCGCGACATTAGTTTTTAAAAACTGTACAGCAGACGATGTTGGTTTTTTTCTTGAACGAATCAAAATTAAAATTTAGACATCCTGCTTACCTTTTTTGGACAAACAAAAGAGGAATTTTTGATAAAAGGTTATTTAGTTTTTAGATGAAGAGGGAGAAAAGTCAAATATAATTTACCTGCATCATGATTTACTCTACCTTTAATCCATCCCTCAGGCAAAAGTGCAGCCGTCATCGGGAGGTGTAGAGCGGAAGTGTTTGTGTTGCGAACTGTCGTTGCTCGTGGAAGAAGAGCGCTTTAAGGTTTGTCTTTTGGATCTTGAAGGACGGCCAAATGCTTGCCTATGGCTGATCATAATTTGCTCAAAGCTCAGCACTGCTGTCAAGTCTATATCCCATAGTCGCGAGGGCTCTGAACAGCTTTGATTTGTACATCTGGTAAAAGAGGTTATGAAAAAGTCGTCTATATTTCAAAAGTTGAGGTCTTATTATCTTAAGAGCCCATGGCACTCGACTACTGGATTTTTCGTTCGTCTAAATAGTCGTGGGTTGGGAGTCTTCAGAAACTTATCCAACCTTCCATATTTGTATTTCGAACAAAGTGATGTCGTTTTACGTTCATCGATCAAATGCACAGGAAACCCATACTTCTTGAGTATCCTTCGTATGCCTTTGCCACTGATCGGCTCGTGGAACTTGATATTGGCAGCAGATCAGTCACCCATAACAAGGACAGAGTCCTTTCCAAATTTCTCCCGCAGCGTTTTTGCAAGTCGAGTATCTGACTGCTTCTTGTTGATGATCGAAGAGGGTTTCATTTTTCGAAAAGGAAGAATGTTATGGTCATGCTGTGCTTTGTCTTCGTTTGAGTAATAAGAGGACAGTGCCTCATCCGCTTTTTTTGGCCTTGCTTTCAAGTACTCGGAGAACTTGGCAACATCGACTGTAGAAACTGGACACTTGGAGAGATATATCTCTCACTCTTTGACTAATTCAGGCTTCGTATCTTGTCGCAACTTCTTGAGCTTTCTTGCCTTGGTCTTCTTGGCTCTTTGACTACTTGTATACTGATAAAGATAACCTTTATTTTTAGCTTTGTTGAATGTTTCGCGCATACAGTACAGCATATTTCTGCGTTCAGGATCTATAAACACGCGCTTGCCAATGGTATTTTGGAGCTTTTCTGTTGTCAATTTGTGTATATATGTAGATACAAGATGTACTCAACTGGTTGAAAAAGTACCTGAAGATTTTATTTTGGGGCAACAGCTTGTGATAAAAGGCTTCGATGTATTGTGGATTATATGTGTATAAATTAACTACATACAAAATATTCTAGTACAAACAACAAAGAGTGTGGTATATGGAAGACAAATAATATAGATGGTAACTTGATATACGAACATGATAGGCGATTATTTACCAAATATATATATGTATACGACAAGGCAAGAATAAAACAAAAGCTAAAGTTATCTCAGAAATTGAAGTGAAACTCAGTAAATGCAACTTCCAAGAAATACGTAGCATAGAGGAATTAAACAAATAGTATAATGAAAGAATCGCGCACCAAGACGTACTTCGAGATTACTATTACTCCTGGCAAAGAGTACATCAATTACGAATGTATGAACTGCAAAAGCGAATGTATATCGGCAGGCTATGTTCTCAAGAGCGATCTTTTGTGACCTTACGCAGTAAGAAACCATCAACAATGTTTATTGGAGATAGCGGACTCTGTTTTGGATCGTCTATAAAAAGGTTATCAAGGATATGGAGGATACTAGAAGCCTATCAAGCATAGCCTCTACACTTCGGTTTGCATAGCAAGCGAATATAACACGTCGCAAACTTACATTTTTTGTTTTAAGAAGTTACTACATCCAAAGCGCAGTACAACAGACAAGAATGGTTATATCAATTTAAAAAATGTGAATGGAGCTTTTGTTTGCGTGAACCCATCCTGTCCGTCAGTAAAAGCAGGTCAAAACACTCATGCCAGAGACAATCTGAATGCTGTTGCTATTGGCTTATCTGGGATGGCAACTTTACTACTTGGAAAAACATTTCCTCAATTCAACAGAAATATCAGTCCATCACAGACTGATCAGTTCAACCAACTTGCTGCCGCTTTCTGTACAGGAAACGCTGTTAAGCCTATTACAGCTGGTTATAATACCTAAGGTAAGTTTTATTTGAAAAAAAAAAAGATTATAGGAAAATACTAACTTTATTGATACGTCTGTTTTTTTTTATTCCTTTTTTTCATTTTGTTTCGGTATGTATTTAAGAATATATGCATATCCCATTTACTAATTTTATATCTGTGTCTCAATTCTGGGACTCGTAGTTCATTTACCCTCTCAGTATATTTACTGTAAATTTTGAACGGCGCTGAGATACTGTAGTTATCGTCTTGAAAGTATTCCCATAATTCATCTGGAGTTGATGGGTGACATTCGATTAAATAACCACACTGGACTATACGACGTTTCTCCAAACAGAAATCACTGCCAATTGACTTTTCTAAATATTGACGTACGGCTTCCCAGACATCTTTTTGATTATGGATACCTCAGTTGCTAGACTTATCATTGACGTGGTCAATTTTTTCTTTTGCTAAAGGAGAAACAGAAGGATCTAAATCTGTGGGGAATGCGTAATTATGATATTGTGAATTCAACATTGTTGAAAGCAAGAATGTCTTTTTTAAAACGCTGAAGTCATATAGGTTTTAGTTACACAGTTTAACACTCCTTAAAACACAATTTTAACTTTTTAAGTCAAATAACGTTATGAGTACACTAAATATGAAAAGTACAATGGAGCTACAATTTCAGGTACTGGTAAGGTAATACAAAAATTTAAAGGTTTTGTTCCCCAAAACTATGCTTTTTTTTTGGACTTGTAAAAACTGCAAAAGAGTGGATTTTTATTTTATCAACAGTAGCATAAAAAGAAAGTACGCGGATACTTATATTTTCTCATTTTTTCATTAGGACCATTGTTTTTGTTTAAATGCAAGGGTAAATACGTGGAACTCCAAGCTGGATAACTTTTTATTTGAATTACATTTTCGAATTTGAAGTGCGAACACTGTAATGTCTAGATCCACGAATTTCCTTTTCTGGTTATGTTCGCGTCTGTAGTGGAGAATGAAATCCGATCACTGCCGTTTACAATGACGTATTGGTATTGAGCGTAGTTGTACCATGATGTATAACATAGCAAATGAATAATAGTCCTTCATATAAGCATATATATATATATACACGCTTAATGCTGCTCTTTGTTGTCAGTAGAAGCAAACAACAAGAATAACTAAATGTGTACATCCTTGTGAATAAACAAGAAAAGCTTTGACTTTCCCTTTATAAAAACTTTTTATTTCTCCACTTTAATAAACAGCTCTTCTTTTCTTCTTTTCTATTTTTATTAAAGAAAAAAAAAAGTAAATGACATAGTACACTCATCTAAAAAGAAAATGAGGATACGGCATCTAACTATTGTATAGATCCACTATCGATCATGGGACAAACACTATCTGAACCCATTGTCGAGAAATCGACTCATTCTGGAAAGAATAAACATTTATCATTTGCGCTATCAGCCATGCAAGGATGGAGATTAAGTAAAAAAAGAATTGAAGCATAAAAGGAATAATAACTTATATACGCTTATAGCTATGGAGGATGCTCATTGTGCACAACTAGATTTAGATGGTACTGGAACATGTTTTTTTGGTGTTTATGATGGACATGGAGGTTTATATACATTTATACATATGCTGGAAAGAAGAGAAGAGAGAAACTGAAGATAATATATGCATTTAGGTTCTGCTGTTGCAAAATATACGGGAGAAAGCCTTCATCATCGTGTACGTGAGTCAGATTACTTTGACAAGAAGGAATACGCCAAGGCTTTGACAGATGCTTATATGAAGTTAGATAAAGAACTTGCTGAAGGTATATATATATATATATATATATATGAACAAAGCAAGAAGGCGGGAATGTGGTATTGACCGCATATATATATATATATATAGATCAATCATTCATTTGCGATCCCTCTGGTTGTACAGCCATTACTGCTCTTATTATTCCCGAAGAGAAAGCTATCTATGCTGTATGTAAATTCTACAGAGTAATAATAGAAATTGAACAATAAGACTGAAATTTATCTTAGGCAAATGCAGGAGATTCAAGAGCAATTATCAGTGTAAACGGTAAAAGCAAAGCATTGTCATATGACCACAAGCCATCTGATCCAAAGGAATCTGAGCGTATCAACAATGCTGGTGGTTTCGTAGAATTTAATCGTGTCAATGGTAATTATGCACAAAATTGATTCAAAAAATCATAATGGTCGTCTTAATATTTTCAATAGGTAACCTCGCCCTTTCTCGCGCTATTGGAGATTTCGAGTTTAAGCAGAACAATGATTTACCGCCTGAGAAACAAGCAGTTACTTGTCATCCTGATGTTTTAGAACACAAGATAACAGATGAAGATGAATTTTTGGTTTTAGCGTGTGATGGTATCTGGGACTGCATGACAAACCAGCAAGTGGTCAACTATATACGTGAACAACTCGCTGAAAAGACGAAATTGGATGACATTTGTGAGCAAATCATGGATCACTGTCTTTCACCTGATAATGATGGAGGAGGAGTTGGTTGTGATAATATGTCTATTATTATCGTAGCCATCTTGAATGGAAAGACAGAGGAAGAGTGGTATGAATGGATGGCAAGTCGTGCAGCTCCACCAAAGAAAGATGCACTTGGTAATGATATTTTATCAGATGGAAAGTTAGAAAACGAAAATGTAGCAAGTAAAGAAGAGACAAAGCCATAATGTCTCTCTGTTATTTCTGTCCATCTTTGTATTATGATTTTTGTTTGATTGTGTTTGCGTCTAAGTGATCGTATATATATATATATATAAACATATGCGTATATAAATATATGTGTGTGTATTTCATATAAATATAAAAAAAATCGTTTCTCTCTCTCTCATTCCTTGTTTTTTGGTGCAATTTCAGTTTTTAATACTCGATTTGCCTTCTTTCTTGGTACAGGTGCTGTTTAAGTGTTAGCTTACATAGAATAAAGAGAATGGTTCTTACCATTTTGATTTTCTCGAACATAAAACTTTCTCAATAGCATAATGGCTTCTTCATAAAAATAGCCTCCCTTTGATTCATATCCTTTTGAATGATCTGTTTCTAATCGTGGACTTGTCATCTATTATTAGTAACCATTCATTCTTGAGCGTATATCTTCCCCTTACTCTGAATGCATGTTAAAGACCGAGCCGTTTCCTCCAAATTTATCATTGCCACAACCAAAATAGACATGTCGTATTCCAATCTGTCTTAGTGCAGAGGCACACATAATACATGGTTCGACAGTGACATACAAGTCTACATTGGAGAAAATAATTGGATCATGTTCTTCTAATATTAAATCAATTGCCTCAATCTCTGCATGTCGTGTTGCCTGTTCAATGGATCATTTGTCTGGGCGAACTCGTTTTAAATAGTAATATTTACATTGCATGTCTCGTTGGGTCTGTTACGTCCTCTTGCAAGGATAGTCTCGTTATTCAAAACAAAGACGCATCCAACAGGGACTTCCAAGTTATCGTAAGCTTCCTGCGCTACATCAAGAGCCGCTTTCATAAATTTAGCATTGTATTGTGACATGAGCAAAATAGATTGTTTGTTTCCCTTGCCAACTGTCGGAGCTATGAACTGACGCGAAGAAAGGGGAAACCGCGCGATTGTGAATATGCTACGCGTTTTGCACAGCTACTAGAAACTCTAATAAAATGTCAAGAGTGAATAACCTGAAAGTGAGAGTGACCATGTTGATGAACCAACGGTAGAACAAGATCAACTCCAAAAACAAAAGCCATCTATTGAATTAGGCTCTCAAGATCAAGGTCATCCTGTAGAAGCTGTAATTGTATTAGATGACAATGTCAAAGCCATGATGTTCATTCTTGTTTAGTCATGTAGGCTTCATCTTATTGGCACCAATGGATCCGAATGATCTGTATCGAATTGTACTCAAATGCTTATTGGTATCCTTGTAATGATTGGTCATAGATGTATTGCTTTAAAAGAAAAGAGCTCCGCGATTGAAGCATGGATTTGAGTCTCTTCAAGTCAAGATGGATATTACTTTTCTGGCGAGACATTTATGAGCTAACACAAGAGTGTTATTAGTAAGCAAAGAGGACAAACCATTAGCTGGACTGTATCTGAAACTGATCTTCAAAATGAGACCTGGTAGATGAATGCATATAAGAAAAGTACAAGACTTAATGCCCGTCGGAGTGAGAATAGCTAAGAAGAAGGATAAAAAATATTGCACTACAACCACCATGATTGTATTTTTTTTTCTTTTTTTTTTTCTTGCTATTATGGAAGTATTGAAAGCACTTGTTGCTAGAATAGCTCGCGCATTTTATGATCCTAAATATATCGTTATTCTGGATGAGTTGAATAATGCTCCACCTAATAGCAATGGGTAAAAAAAAAAAAATACTTCATTATAAATGACTAAACTGTCATAAAATAAGAGTCAAGGAAGACGATCTTGTCTTGGCTCTAAAAATAACAGCACGCGACATTCACAGAATTTGTGGCAAACTGAAAGAGGATAGGTTGATTAAGATGTGAGTTAACCTAAGAATATGATCCATCATATATTCATACAAATGTCAGGGTGAATCGAATGGAACCAAGAAAGCCCGATCAACGCATGGTTCCTAAAACATACTATTACATTGATTACAAAGAATTCGTAGACGTTGTTAAATGGAAAATGTATAAAATGCAAACAATTGTAAGAGATAAATTACGAACTGAATCTGAGAATAAGGGCTATGTATGCCCGACTTGTGAAAAAACATTTACGCCTTTGGATGTACTCTCACTCGTTGACGTAGCAGATCAGCTATTCCATTGTGATCAGTGTGAAACTGTGCTAGTAGAAAATGATAATGCAGAAAATGTCAAAGGAAGCCAGCAGGTACTTACAAAGCTACGAGAACAATCTCAGCCTATCATTGCACTTCTCAAACAGACAGACTCAATTGTCATTCCCTCGAGCTATGTCTATAAACATGTGCCTGGTAGCAGAACGAACGGGAACAGAGCGGACGACTATGAACTTGCAACTGCTCAGGACACAGGTGCTGGACAGGGTGACATCATTGTTGATCTACAGATGGACAACGAAGCAGCCAGACGGGCTAAGCTTGAAGAAGCTGAACAGAAAAGACAACAAAATGCTTTACCTGTTTGGCATCAACGATCGACTATTTCCGATACTATCTTGGTGGGTACAGGTGATCGTCCAGCTGAAACTCAGGAACAAGAGGAAGAGGATACATTTGAAGAAGTTGGACAGACTGAAGTAGATGCAGATACTGAAGACTGTGAGTTAATATATCCTTTCTCTTGTTCGTTACTGATGGATATAACAATAGATTATGCCAAATACTATGAGAATCTAAGCAACAATATCACAGATCAGCCGGACGAAGCTATGGGCGAAGAACAGGAAACGTTTGAAACAGTCAATACGGGTGAGATAGACATGGCCAATGATGATAGTGATGCCGAAGAAGAATTTATAGAAGATGTTCCACTTGTCTCTGGTAAAATGGGATAAAGCATATTTAATGCCACTTTAAATAACTCCATTTTATACATGTAGTCAATGGAAAGATGATACCTATAAATAAAGTACAAGAAGAAGACCAACACAATATGACGACAGATGAATACAAGGTACTATGTGAATACAATTATAAAAACAAGGTATAAACTCTTTGATTATAGGCATACTATGAAGCATGGGAACACTGGCAAAACAGTTAATTTATTGAAAGTTGACCCATTCGAGCATCAAGATTCCTAGAAACAACAAGACTTCATATCATTCTTTTCTTTTTTCTTTTCTTTTTTTT